CTACGGCAACGCACTCCAGGCGGCTTCATCTGGAGGCCACGAGCAGATTGTGAGGCTGCTAGTTGACAAGGGCGCCGACGTCAATACCCAGGGTGGATAGTATGGCAACCCATTTTATGAGGCCACTTACGAGTGCTTGAGCTTCTTATATTAAAAGAACCTGCAATACCGCTCTATGATCGTTATGAGCGCACGTTGCTCTGGTGGGCTGCGGCTGGCAGTAGCACTGCCACTGTGGAAGCGCTTGTTGCCAAGTACAACCTTGATCCTTGATGTAAGGCCGGATGTCCCAGAACGGGCCAGTATGGCCTCACCTGACCTGTTTAGAGCTCACATGACCTGTACTTTGTATATAGGAATGAATCCTGACAAGCGAGGCTTGGCAGCGATTCGTCTCTCCTACAATACACTCCTATTTCTCCGAAACCTTGCTCTCTGTAACGATTCGCATGAATCGTTCCATTCAAAGTTACCTGACGAACCTTTATCCGAAGGTTCCGCGTATCTGCCCCGACCCTGCCCCTGCGCTACCCCTATCTCTAAGTATTTAGCTGCACCTCCCCCCTTTAGCTAGCTTAGTAATTTTCTAATATCCTTTTGTACAAGGCCTATAGGTGTCAATATAATTCCCAGGTTTCTGAGTCCCCACGCACTCCCATATCCTCTGAGTGAATTCACACCGCATTCGGACCCATTGTCTTGCCTGCGCCGTTACAGGGCTAGTGCCTCTTTCCTACGCACAGGGCCTTTGCGTTTTATCCTAGGAAAGGCGAGACCGCAGCAAGCAGGAAGCAAAGCAATTTGTATGAAACATGCTAATTGATTTAGAGTTAAATTCTAGGTTTACCTAATTTATACAGCTATTCCGGCTTTAATAGTGAGGGCACTTGATGTACTGCCCTCCGTAACAGAGACGTGTTATACGCTATGCTTATAGGAGATAATAGCTTGTAGGACAAAAGAGAGGTATTTTATATACTATAGCATAATATATTGTATATTTTAGAGTGTAAAAAGACTATGCGGCGTTGTTGTGGCAATAAGAGTGTCGTATAGCTAAGAGACGAGCACCAAACAGCGTATAGGTCAACTAATCTTGTGTAATTTTTAGGCGTCGCCTAAAATACTTCTTGAAGGCTACCTTGATAGAACGATACTAACTTTTTAATAGAGATAGCATTATGTAGGTGGATTAAAGTCACTGCGAAGTCGAAGTATCTCTCGATTCTTTCAGGATACATGGGTCCTTCGCGACGCAGGGGGGGAGGTTAATTCGCTTGTGGGATACGCTATATACTGCTAGCGCGCTGTCTAGAATATCTACCTGCTGGTCGACTTGCTGAGGCACCAACAGAGGGCGTTCTTCTCTTAACTTACTTCCTCTCAATTCCCACTTTTCTACATCTTAGTTAACAGGATTTAGCTATGGCGGCGTCGCTACTCAAGACAGGTATGGTGGAAATGAGCTCGAACGATTCCAATAATGGTCGGACACCGCTGTCGTTGGCTGCGGGGGACGGGTGTAGGGTGGTTGTAAAGATGCTACTCCAAACAGGCACGATAGACGCAGACTTGGGAGACGATGTGGAGTCAGACACCGCTGTCGTAGGCTACAGAAAGTGGGCACGAAGCAGTCATGAAGCTCCTACCCGATTGCGGTAAGGTGGACCTGGACTCGAAGGATACAATGTGGGGTTGGACGCCACTGTCTTGGGCTGCAGGGAGAGGGCACGAGGTGGTTGTGAAGCTGCTGCATGATACTGGCCAAGTGGACGCAGACTCGAAGGATGCAACGTGGGGTAGGACGCCGCTATCGTAGGCAGCAGAGAGTGGGCACAAGGCAGTTGTGAAACTACTGCTCGACAACGGCAAAGCGGACGTAGACCCAAAAGGTAGGAGTTGGACACCGCTGCCGTGGCCTGTAGAGAGCGGCGAATTGGGCATGGGTTTGAATGGTGCGATGTTAGGTCAGACGCTGCTGGAGAGGGCTGCAGGGAGAGGGCACGAGGCAGTAGTGGAATTGCTTCTTGATACTAGCAACGTAGATGTCGACTCGAAGGACACAACGTCAGGTCGAACGCCGCTGTCATGGGCTGCAGAGAGCGGGCATGAGGCAGTTGTAAAGCTGCTACTTGATACTAGCAAAGTGGACGCAGACCTAAAGGATACAGCATCAGGTCGGACGCTGCTATCGTAGGCTACAGAGAGCGGGTACGAGGCGGTCGCGAAGCTACTGCTCGATTCCGGCAAAGTGGACGCAGACTCGAAGGATATGGCAGGTCGGACGCCACTATCGTGGGCTACGCGACGCGGACACGAGGCAGTTGTGAAACTGCTCCTCGATACTGGCCAAGTGTACGCGGACCTAAAGGATACAGTGTCAGGTCGGACGCTACTATCATTGGTTGCACGAAGCGGGAATGAGGTGGTTGTGAAGCTGCTACTTAAAACTGGCAAAGCGGACGCGGACTCGAAGGATAAGTATGGTGTGACGCCGCTTTTGTCGGCTGCGGAGAACGGAGACGAGACGATTGTAAAACTACTGCTTGATACCGGCAAGGTGGACTCCAAGGTCAAAGTAGGCCTCGAGGTCGCCTATCGGTTTCTCACTCGATAGATTAAAGCTTGCGACGACCGGCATGATCGTCACTGCCAGTCTACTCCAGTTCAAACACGGCAGCCTCACCGAATCCCTAACTGGGTCATCGACACTCGGAACGCACGCATAGTTCCAGGGCGTACTGTCTCCCAATACATAGCTCCAAGCTATGTCTGGCATAACGATGAAGAAAATGCACAGCCTCCAAAGGCAGAGAGACTCATGCTGAAGCAGAGCAATCTCTCTGACTTCCAGAAGCCCTGCAGTTCACCTGCCCCGGGTAATAAAGGATATTATCGATTTGGTACGGAAGCTTGGAGAGAGGCACCTGTAGGTCAATTGCCTGTGCATTGTCCAGCACAACGGAGACACACGCGCACAGGTCGAGTGTATGGATGAGATCTATTCAGGCGCGCACTGTACCATCATAGCCGCAGCGTCATCGGGGTTATTCGGCATGCAGCGAAATACTAACAAACAAAGCATGGAGGACATGTCAAGATACAATCCGTCGCCCACTATGGAGTATATTGAGCACCTTTACCGCAACCTCTTCAGGTCCAAGTGGGCCACGCGCGGATGGACATTTCAGGAGCAGATTCTGTCGGGAAGAGCCATCGTTTTTGTTGATGGAGACATGTTTTGGGGTTGCTAGCGTTGCATCTGTGATGAGGACAGCCTGATTCCGGGGTCGAAGACAGAAACGGACGGCTCGTATACTGGGCCCAACTATAATAAAGCGCGCCAGATGTCGTCTATCTCCTGGCCAGATTTTGGCATGTATCGAACTGCTGTGTCTCTACAATAGCTGGGACCTCACCTACCCCCAAGACTCCCTACCAGCATTTTCTGGTATTCTGAACTCTTTTGTGTGCAATTTTCCCTCCGGATTTGTAAGTGGATTACCACGGTTATTCCTCAATATTGCGCTACTGTGGCAGCCTTTCAGCAAAGCAAAGCGCAGGAACGCGGAAGACGGGGGTGCAATAGCACCACCAAGACATCTTCCGTCATGGCCGTGGTGCGGTTGGCAGTGCCCAGTCGATACCTTCAGCCTTCGAACTAGACTCTCGTACCCTAATTGCGAAGACTACCAGTCTCGAGCGTTAACTTAGCGGACCCAGGGGCTAGTTCAGTGGTCTGTTTTGTCCGAAGACATGCAACAGGAGCAGCGACTAGATGAACCTGTGACGCTCGAGATGTACAAGAACCTCCGCACGAATAAAGATGCTAAGCTTCCTGACAGATGGTCTCGAAATACAGAAGGCTGTTGCAAGCTCTCCGGAGGAAGTGATGGGGTCTATTTTACCCAACGCTCTCAACCGTACAAATTACGTTTCATACTTTTCGTCTCAGTACTGTCACGTGAGCCGTAGCAAACGTAGTATAGTCCTTGTACGTTTTGTTTTGTCTTGTAAGTTATAGCTGCGGACTGTACTGCGTCTTAAAAGCTTAACTTTTAGGTAGGGATTACCTATTAGCTTAGACATTAATAGGTAGAGACTTATAGCACTCAGCGTGCCCAACAGTCCGTACTACTGTACGATTAGGAGATTTTGAGGCCTGTACGGACGAGATTGCCTGTACGTACGTACAGTCGTGAGGAGGAGAGGCAGCTGTACAGACAGTAACCGCACTGTTTAAAATAAGCTGTACAGGTAGTACTATACAATTAATGTACGTTGTAACTATTAATACACTATACTATAAAAGAGGCAGAGTTAAAGGCCTAATAGCTCCCTATAAGGCTATTTTCCCTAGTAACGTGAGCAGCTAGAGCTAGGAGCTTACTCCTTACTATTTAGTGTTTAATCTAGTGCTTCTGCAGCTGTATAGCCTTAATTATTGCACCTAATAGGTTGTTATAATTATTAGTTATAGTACAGCTAGCAGCACTAAAACACCTCTTACACTTATAGCTTATAGCTAGAATAGTAAGGAAATTAAAAGTAATTTTATAAAAAATAAAATAGCTTAATTTACCTTTAGTAAGCTACTACTATAAAAGATCTCTATGTAGTAATAAGTAATTCTTGTAAAGATTAAGGTGTATAGTGTTATAGTAAAATTATAGCTTATTTAATAGCCTTTTATGCTTATATAAGTGCTTATTTATTATAAGGGAGAGGTTAACAGCAAGGCAGTTCTTATAATTAATGTTATAATAGTTGCTACTAAGTAGTTTACAACACCTTAGAGATAAAGCCTTAGCTTTATTTTTATTTTTATTTTTATCTTTATTTTTAGCATTTATATACTGTGTAAAGATTAACTTTATTAACTAAGTTACTTTATTAATCTAGGCCTTATAATAGCGCTAGTAGGTTTAAAACTACAGTAATTACAGCTAAAGATAAAGTATAGTTGCTACTGTGTAATATAAGGCTAGAGGCTTAAGAATTAGCTTGCCTTAGTAAGTTGTAAGCTTCTAATAGCTAAACTAGACAGCACTTTTAAGGTAAAAAAAGCTAGGCTTATTAGTAAAAGTGTTACCTATTTAATTAAAGTAGATTTAAAGGCACTATAGCTTTATAATTATTTACTAAAGTAAGCTAAATAAGCTATTACTTTTAAGTTTTTTTATTATTTAATAAAACTTTTTTAAAAAGCCTATAAAGCGCTTAATCTTATCTTAATTATTTTTAGTTATAAGATCTAATAAAGTGTTAAATCTAGCATAGTAAGCTTTATTTTTAGCATTAAAAAAGCTTTTTTATTACTTTTAAAAGCAGCTAATTACCTCTTTAAGCTTAAAGCAGCGTAGGAGCATAAGATATACTAAGTGCTAGTGTACTTTACTATTATGTATAAAATTAAGTGTACTAAACTCTTAAATAAGGTCCTCTTTAGCTAGGTCTTTTTATATAGTGTTAAAAAGCCTTATGCGCTTATGTAAGGCTAGAACGCTGTTTACAAGGTTATAAAAACGCCTAATAACACTGCGCTTTTTATATAGCTTAAATTAATTATAGGGAGTAGCTCTAGTAAGCTCTTACTTAAATTTAGTAACACCTTTACTATATATAATAGCCTTTACAACTACCTAGATAGTGTGGCTAGCGCAGCAGATTTAGTGCTGCCTATTAAGCTTATATAGTAAATTTAAGTAATTATTAAAGCCTTAGATAAGCTTATTATTATTATTTAATATATTATCTTTAATAAAGTAACTAAATTTTAACATAATATTATATTTAATAATAGTAGTAGCTACTTTAAAGGCTTATACACTTTTAGTATAGTTACTATAAAGGTTTTTAAATTTAATAAAAAGATCTTATTATTTATATAAGGCATCTAGTAAAGTTAGTGTTATAGAAAAGTAGTAATAGTAGCCTATGCACACTTACTAACAAAATAAGCTACTACTGCAAGAAATAAAAGGTAATTTCTACTACTCTACACATCTATGCTTAATGTAATTTTTAATAATGCTAAATTTAGTACTATTAAAATCTCCTACTTCTGCTACATAAATGCATCCTAAATATTAGTAAAAAGTGTAGTGTATAATTATAAAAGAGTAGTAAGAAGATTTATATAATTTTAGCTAATAAAGCCTTAAGTTTCTATAAAAACAGCATTTCTAAATAATTAATCCTGCACTATAACCTAATCTACTAGGGCACTGCGCAGAGGGCCTTCCTGCTAAGGTGTATAAGATAGCCTGTGTAATAAGCCTACTACTCCTACTCTAGCTGCCTTCTATAGGTGCTAAGGAGCCTAAGGGCTATTAAGTAAAAGCTTTTTATTAATGTTAACTTTATACTTCTTCTATAAATGCTTTACTATATAGTTATAACTATTAACTACTTTTATAGCACTTTTATAATGTTACTTATAGCACTAATAGTAGAGCTAGAGGTGTATAACCTTACTTTACTTCTTATATAGCATTAAATCTGCCTTATAAAGCTACACTTTTAAAACTTTATAGTTACTTTTTATTATTCTTTTATTCTTTACTTAGTAACTTAATTATGTAGCTAGTAGAGCCTTTTTTAAATCTAATAGCTATATATTACTCTAGTTAATCTTAAACTTAGCACTAGCATTATAATTACACTTTTTTAGGTACTCTTTTAATTACTTGTTACTAGTAAGTAGTGTAGCCTTATAAAATAAGCTAGTAAAAGTGTTATAGATTACTTTTAATTTTTTAAGCTTTTAAAACTTTATAAAGTGTATAATAGTAACACTAAATTAACTTAATAAGGCCTATAAGGCTATAAGGCGCGTAAATAAGTAATTCTATAATAAAAAGTAGTTAGTAATAGGCATTATTTTAATTTTAATAAGCTATACTATTTAGATAGGTAGGCAAAGTTTCCTCTAAGTAGCTAAATTAGCGTTGCACATAAGATTTTCTACTAATTAGCCCCCTAAGGCAGCTTCTTTAGTAAGGGCTCTTTAAAACACTAAATTAAGCCTTATAAGCTATTCTAAAATGCTAACTGTACACTGTACTACAGACAGTACTTAGGGCAACAGCTATTGTACGCACTGACAGAAGATTGCTGTACGTTCGTACAGTCTAAATCAACCGTACACCGTACTCAGTACTGTCAGTAGTACGGCCTATTAGGCACGCTGATAGCACTGTTAGACAAGTTTTTTAATAAGCTAGTTATTAATTAGGGAGTAAGATTACCTAATAACCTAAGTGCAGCATTTCTTACTTAAATTAACACTGCTAAATCTTTTTATATCTTAATATTATGTTAACTATGTGCAATTTCCTTAGTTAACAAGCCTTTATGTAGAGCACTAGCTAGTTATAAAGCTCTTAGAGCTCTTAGTTAACCTAGAGTAGTAATATAATTTATTACACTTATTTCTGTTACTTAGAGAAGTTGTAATTATTATTATTAAAGTTTTTATTCTATAATAGCTCTCTAGCTTTTATATATAATTCTTATATAAAAGAACACCTTAAAGATTCTTTTCTTAATCTAAAAGTTATATTTTTAATAGAGTAGAATAATATATAGCTTGCTAGTAAAAAGCTAAAAGTAAAGAAGCTAAGTTACTATGTAAAACACTTTTTTTAGCTCTAAGGTAACAGAAAGGTGTTAGTAGTGTAAAACTATAGAGCTAACTTGCTATACACTAGAAAAAGCTTAAGGGTAAAGCTCTAGCTCTACTAACTCTGCTATTATAAAAGTAATTACACTACTACTTGTAACGATTCTACGAATCGTTCCATCTCGGGTCGCTCGGATCCTATCCGAAGGGTCCCCGTATCGGCCCCGACCATGACTCGACCCAGTCCCCCGCAGTTACCCCTATTCCCGCATGTATTTAGTCGCACCTCGCCCCCGTAGCTAGCTCGGTAGTTTTCTGATATCCTACGTACAAGGCCTATAGGTGTCATTGGTATTCCCAGGTCTCTGAGTCCCCACGCACTCCCATATGCCTCTGAGTGGATTCATACCGCATTCGGACCCATTGTCTTGCCTGCGCCGTTACACTACTAAAATAGTTAACAGCTATAGCTATATTAGCTACTATCTTAAAAAAAAGCATAGAATTAATATTAGTAGTAATAAAAGTTTTTTACTTAATTTTCTTTATACTCTACTTAATCCTTAGGCAGTAACAGCTGCTACAGTAGCAGGCTTAGCCTAAGTTGCTTTCTATAATCCCTAGCAAGAGAGGTTATTGCAGAGGTTATTAGTAGACTAGGTTATACTTTATAATATATTATTTATAACAGCATTTTTAGCTAAACTTTAAGGCTTTTTTACTTAGAATTAACTAGATCTTCTTGCTGCTATCTTAAGCTTAAATGTAATAATATTATTATATATAAAGTAAAAGTTAACACGCTAAAAGAAAAAGATTTAAATAATATTAAAATTAGCTAAGTTAAAAGTAGTGTTAAGTATTAATATATAGACTTTACTAAACTACTTTTTTTTCTTTAGAGTAGTAGCTTACTTTTTTAGTAAGTTTAGCAAAACTTTAGAGGGGCTATTTTAGTGTCTTAGCTTAGAAAACTAATAATAAATAATAACTAACTTCTACCTTATAGATGTTAATTATTAATAATAAGACTTACTTATTAGCTTCTATAACCTTTATAGTAACTATATAAGAGCTAACTAAGCGCAGGCTATCTTTAAAATTATCTAAAATTATAAAATTATATTAAAATTTAGTTATTTTATTACTAATAATATATTTAATAATAACAACTTTACTATTAACACTTTAGCTAAATATCTTAGAGTTAACCTTAATAAAGAGCACTATATACACTGTACAGGCTATATAATTTAATTAGTGCTAAAGGCAGTTATCTATAGTAAAGGATTATTGTAATTTAAAGCTACTCTTATAAACACAGCTCTCTAGGATTAGTTTAAGCTCTATTATAAACATAAAGTTATTAGTAAGCTATATAACTTTATTAATACTATCTTTTTATTACATAAACACTAGAAGGCCTTTATAGCTGTATAATTATCTTTAAGGGAAGAGAACAAGCTTTAGAGCTTTAGCACACTTAATTTAATATAGGACAGCAGTGTCTGCTAGCATTCTGTATATCTAATGCTTATATAGTGCCTAGAGCTTAAGGATCTAATTACTAAGTTTATCTAAAAGTAGCGCAGCATAGATAATAACACTAAAAACTCTAACATACCTAGTAACATAGCTCTTTAAAAAATTATTAGTAAAAAAAACTAAAAAAAAGTTAAACACCTTACTAAGTTTTTTAAAGTCTTTTATTAAATAATAAAATAGCTAGAGAGTAATAGTAAGTATAGTTTTTTATAAATATTTATTATTAACATATAAGTGCTATATAATAAGCTATTATAGATAAAAAAAAACTTTTTTTTAAGCTTAATAATAGTTACTTTAAAAATAGTGTTTTCTTTAGACTTAAAAAAATTAACACATATTTTTAAAAAATAGTTATTAATTTTTTTATTTTTTACTTAGTAATTACTACTATACTTAACTTATAACTTTGTATACTTTAGTTTAAGGACTACTAGCGTTATTACTAATTCTAGTACTAGAAGGCAGAGACCTTAATAAAAGTTATTTTCTAGCGTTATATTAATGCTAAAGAAGATAAGAAAGTTAATATAAATCCTCTTTAGTAAAAGCTTTTAGTAATAAGCTCTTATAACTTTTATTACTAAAAGGCTTTTATAGTTAACACTTCTCTTTTTACTAAAGCCTAGAGTTATAAAAAAGCTTAGAAAATAATAAAGTTATAGTAATACTTTAACACTTATATAGAAAACCTTTAAGATGCTAAAGTAAAAAATAGCTATTTTTTATAAGCTAGCTTTTTTACTTAGTAGCTTAAAGTAGGTTAAAAATAGTATTTTACACTATTTAAAATTACTCTTAACTTCCTTACTATACCCTCTACTAGCTGCAACTGCGAGAGAGCCTTTAGTAGAGGCTAGCGTACAGTTACAATTAATAGAGGTTCTCTCTTTAAGGCTACTATTAAGGCGCTTTAATTGCAGAAGAATTAGCTATGTTATTAAGTTATAAAAAGTAACTTAATTAAGCTTATAAACCTTATCTAAAAGCAGCTAGTTACTATACTGTAAAATGTTAACAGCAGCAAGTAAGACAAAATGTTAAAAAGTATAAGAATTTTAGTGTGTTTTAGTTTAGCAGCAAAACAGACAGCTAAGTTGCCTAGGCTGTACAAACGTAGCAGGAAAGTGAGACGTTGACGTCCGTCGATTACTACGTTTCGTTTCGTTTCGTTCGGTTGAGAGCGTTGATTTTACCCACACATCTGACACCACCAGCCGTTTCAAACATCCAGTGCCTATCAATGATGCGGCTTTGTCAACAGTATTGCATCAAAATAGCTAGCCCTTTCTGTCTTGCGAAGCGGCACGGGGTTTCTTCCGCATCGAGGCGATCTTCAAGCCGCTAAGTAGTTTTGAGCTTCAAGCGGCATCCAAAGCATCAGTCTTTGAGCTTTCCCCAATTTACCAACGCTCCGGCTTTCGAGGATACATCCCATGTTCTTTGCCTAGAAGACAGGCAAGGTAGATCAGCAGGACTGCTCCAACGGATGGATGGCGCCGAGATTGAACCCGGCGAGGAGGTCGAGCTGATTGCCATATCGTCAGGAAGTGTCAGCCGCGCGGACCTCCAGTCTGCGGTGGAGGAGAAAATCGACCGGGTTCGTAGTTATCCATACCACCACGAGTTAACGACGATCCAGTTCCAGCGGGTTCTCCCGGGCTGCAACCTCGAAAACGACGGCGAGACTGAAATGACCGGATTGCTCCATGATCATTTTGACGGCCAGAACAACACGCTTCAAGTTGATATGTTAGCTCAAGCCAACGGTTCCCTAGATGTTGAGAGCGGCGATGAGAGGATTGTGGAGAGAGATCCCTCCGTTCCTATGAAGGACGGCGAGAGTGAAGAAGACTATCAATTCTACAATGTTCTTTGGATTGAGCAAAAAGGTAATATTACGTATCAGAGAGCTGCAGGGCGCGTTCCAAAGATGGTTTGGGAGGAGAATTGCTCTGAGCCCATCAAAGTTATTCTTAAGTGATTATTCACTACGGAATTGGGGTTATGAGCCAAAGGCTGCCTATGAGGCTATGGATTCATCTCTGAGGAGGACTACAGCATCTCTAGGTACGATCGACGCTAGCGAGAAATGGAATAGCCTCTAACCAAAGAGCAGCCAATAGGTTGATACTATTCTCAGCCTTATCAGTCCAAGTTCTAGAGCAAGTGGAGGGGCAATGTGGCTCACGACTTTTGCTGGACAAAAATGATGCGTCTCTTCCCGCCCACGCTGATGCTCCTGTATGCCTGTCATTCGCTTTAAACTGCGAGGACCCTGTTCTTTCGCCCGTTCATCTGTGATCTCACCCACCCCTACCCCACTTGACCGACTTCTACTCCAGCCTGCCCCGCCTTCTCTTCTTGCACCAACAACCCCGCTGCTTAGATATCATACCCGGGTATTGAGAATGGATGTTAGGGACATGTCAGAGGCGTCTGCCGCTCCGGGCGATGACCTGAAGCTTGTCAACCGGCTTAATGAGAGCAGGAGCCCGTACGTGAGTGTCGATGTGCGCTCCCTGGCTGGATAAGCGCTAGAAGGCTGATTGAAAGCGCTGTAGGTTCGCGGACACATGAACAACCCAGTCGCATGGCAGATGTGGGGACCAGAAGCCATAACCCTTGCGAAGAAGTCGAACCGGTTGATGTTCGTGAGTATCGGCTATGCGGCGTGCCACTGTGAGTGCTCTACACCACGCGCGAGAAGGCCAAATGCGGCGAGGCTCACACGGTTTCGTCACAGGGTGTCATGTCATGGAACGCGAATCCTTCGAGAACGCCGAAGTAGCCTCCCTCCTCAATGCATCCTTCATACCCATCAAGATCGACCGCGAAGAACGCCCCGATATCGACCGCATATACATGAACTATGTCCAAGCTACGACCGGTTCTGGCGGCTGGCCCCTCAGTGTCTTCATTACGCCCAACCTTGAACCCATCTTCGGTGGCACCTACTGGCCAGGCCCAGGATCGACAATGGCCATGGGCGATCACATTGGCTTCGTTGGCATCCTACAGAAGATTAGAGACGTATGGAAAACCCAGCAGCAGAGGTGTCTGGATTCGGCCAAAGAGATAACTGCTCAATTACGGGAGTTTGCACAAGATGGGACCGTGAGTCGGGCGGGTAGCACAGAGCCCGAAGGCCTGGATCTCGAACTCTTGGATGAGGCCTATGAACACTTTGCCGCCAAGTTCGATCAGGTGTATCCAGGTTTCCCACAGGGCGCGCCGAAGTTCCCCACACCGGTGAACTTGGCCTTCTTGCTGAAGCTGGGCCAGTACCCAAGTGCAGTGTCCGATGTAATTGGTACCAAGGAATGCGAGAACGCCCGGGATATGGCTCTTTGGACGCTGCGATCTATGAATAATGGCGGCATTCACGATCAAATTGGTAATGGATTCGCGCGATATTCAGTCACGCGTGATTGGAGTTTACCACATTTTGAGAAGATGCAAGTCCAACAACTTTCGCATCCATTGTGACGCCGCTAACATGGTATAGGCTATACGATCAAGCACAACTCCTGCCTGTCTACCTCGATGCATACCTTCTAACTAAAGACGCCAATTTTCTCTCTGCCATGCACGATATTGCGACCTACCTCACCACACCTCCAATACACGCCTCAACAGGCGGTTTCTTCTCGGCCGAAGACGCCGACTCGTTATATAGACCACATGATAAAGAGAAGCGCGAGGGTGCCTTTTACGTATGGACGCTAAAAGAGTTCCAAACCGTTCTTGGAGATCGCGATGCCGATATTCTAGCGCGGTACTATAACGTCAAAGACGAGGGAAATGTGAGCCCGGAGCATGATGCACATGATGAGCTTATCAACCAGAACGTGTTGGTAATCAAGAGCGATCCTATGAATCTAGCGAGGGAGTTTGCTTTGTCAGTGGAGGAGGTGAGTAAAATTCTAGTAGAAGGACGAGCGAAACTACTGGAGCACAGGAATAAGGAGCGACCGAGACCTGCGTTGGACGACAAAATCGTGGTGTCGTGGAATGGTCTTGCTATTGGTGCACTGGCAAGGGCTGCTTCAGCGCTATACTACTCGGAGCCCGACAAATCGAAAGTATACCTTAACGCGGCAGAAAAAGCAGCGGCATTCATCAAGAAAGAACTCTTCGACAGCTCGTCGCATACAATGAAGCGCATCTACCGCGAGGGACCGGGAGACGTCCCTGGTTTCGCAGACGACTACGCCTACTTGATCGCTGGGCTCATTAACCTATACGAAGCAACCTTCAATGACTCGTATCTCCACTGGGCGGATGATCTACAGAAAACACAAATCAAATTATTTTGGGACCAAGACCACGGAGGTTTTTTCTCCACGCCCGAGAATCAAGAAGACTTGATCATGAGATTGAAAGACGGCATGGACAATGCTGAGCCAGGAACCAACGGTGTCTCAGCCCGGAATCTAGACAGGTTAGGAGCGCTAGTAGAAGATGAGGAGTATAGTAAGAAAGCACGAGATACAGCATCGGCATTTGAGGCGGAGATTATGCAGCATCCGTTTCTTTTCGCTGGGATGATGGACACTGTCGTCGTTGGTAAGCTCGGTTTGAAGCATTCCGTCATAACGGGAGAAGGCGAGAGGGTGGAGGAATGGCTCAAGCGGTATCGGGCTAAGCCATCTAGCCTCGGGGCCGTGAGCAGAATATGCGCGGGTATGGGTGAGTGGCTAAAAGAGAGAAATCAACTAGTCAAGAGTATGGATGCAAATAAGGAAGGAGTAATGATTTGCGAACAAGGCGCTTGCCGAGACGATCTCGAGATGGGCATGGCAAGTCTGGGGGAGGCGATTGAGGAGGTGAAGTGGAAGGGGAATAAGGAGTAAGAGATGTGGGGTTAAGTTAAATGTGCAAAGGTGGGGTAATGCGGAGAGTACAGATGGTGTTTATCTTATGGACGGCGTAGGGTTTAGGTGTCTGATATCCCTTCCTTCCGCCCTGAACCCTAGCTTTAGACCCCATACACAGCGTTGTAATAGGCTTTAGGCAAAGGGTATGACCTGCTAGCTAATCCATTGTTCAATACATATACTGAGCTTTCGATAGAGATTAGAACCTTAGAGAGTCCTTCGATTGAGTTGGATGGACCGAAAGACATACCTGTGATCTCGCACCTTGGGGCCTTTTGAAAGAAGAAGGCTCCGAAGTCTAGCAGTAACTTAGTTGATTCGAATGCTTCCTCTTCAACGTCTATGGGATGTGTGGAGGTGCCGTGAGTTGAGCTGTCGCCCAGGTCGGCTTGCTGCTTCTCTATCAAACCCCAGTTCGTCACACAATCTAAGATACAGGCGCAGACACATTAACACAGATGCAGCCCAGGCAACAGTTCAAGTACTTACTGACAGCAATTCCCTGCCTCGAACTTCGAAAGTGTCTCACCTATCCAGAGACTCTCTGACTGGTTTGGGGTACGTAGGTAACATACCACGGAAGCAGTCACCCAACAGTCATATACCGAGGCATTGTGGGGAAGAGAGCATGCCAGTCTCGCTCATCCGGAAATGAGGAGTCCCAAGTTTCCTAGTGTCATAGAAGGCGAGGGGAATCATTGCCCTGTTTAGACTTAGAGGTTGAACAGGATGCTTCGTTGAAAGATGTGGCAGTCTACATTTTTAGCTGTGAGGACGAGAGAACCTAGAGCGTTGATCTTAGAGACCTTAGAGGGGGGCGGACTTGATGAAAAGGGTTTTTTTCTGTCCTTCTGTGTGAAAGTGGAATACGGGGCTGAGTGCGGGTGAGGGATGCAGGATGCAGGATGCAGGATTCTATCGCTGTGGACGGCGGATAGGATTCCGGACTTCGCCATTTAGATGCTACAGGGCGGAAATGTGGCACACGTGTCGCATTCCTATTCTCTTTGCACATCCCGGGATCTGGAAGCTGTTCTGAAATTGCAATTGAAGTTAGCGCAGTTTTGTATCACGGAGGCTGAAAGCAAATGTCCAAGTAACGCGACGTGTCAGGTGGATCTGGAACGTTTGATGCAGCGGCTTTTCCCTTACAAGTCGTCGGCCTTAGGGAGAATGTCACTTTCATTACGATAGGTTAGACAACAAAGCCAAGGAGAAGGGAACTCGAAAGGGTTACCATTGACGCGGTGTCGAAGTTTTGAACGAAGTTGGGGCTGCAGGCCATGCAGGCCGGATGGAAGAGATGGATTCTGTGGACGTTTCTAGATTGGTGAAGCTTCCAGGCCCTTTGTTGGTTGAGAGTTGGAACGGTCTTAGATGTATTCCTCAAAGTGATTTAGACTACTGTTGCAGGTTGTACAGGACTGGGAGAGCGGGAAAGCCACTTGCGTCGTTAAGCTTGACCAGTAAACCTACTAATCAAGTAGTAAGAGTGGCAACTTAGCGGTCTGTTTGAAGCTGCGGTTTGAGGAAACGGAAAAGTTACGCCTGTTGTCTCGTATATCGGCGCGCGAGACTCAACAGCGTAGCGTCCAGTTTAGCATGAAAGAACTCCCAACGTATGATCGGGTTCAGCCACAGACGTTGTGTAGTATATGGACCCCTCAGGGCGGAGGTTGCGGCATCAATGGTGGCAATTGTCTCAACGCCAGTCTGTAGTACGGATTAGCAACTTGCTTGCCTCTCGTAATAGAATGACTTACCGGTCCAAACACTTTGATGCTTCTAGGCTTTTGGACGACAATACTACCAATAATTCTACCAGTTAAGAAAGGCGAACCGGGGAAACATGATAATGGAACCATGGATAATTGATTGTCGAGACCCGGATTTTTAGAGTCTGCTTCGCTAGCCGCCAGTCAGCTTTAGCCGCCGGAGATATCATGTCGCAAGTATCCATAGCCTACCGCCCTATCGATAGGCTTCGAGACGTGAGCTGCTGTGCTTGTCCACCAAGAATCTTCATTATTGTTAGGTGGTCAAGCCGTCGTTATGGTTTCCACATTAGAGAGACCGGCGAGTTGGGTACGAGGATGTCTCCCCTGCAAAATATAGAATCGGTAGCCTATGACACGCGTCCACATCATTGACAGTCATGAGTGAGAGCAGTACCTTCATCTTTAGGTAGCAAAGGTCTACTCAATGAAACGAAGGTTTGTCAGCAAATTTCCTGTCCACCCCGCAAATTCGCCTCATGCTCCAACGGCTTGCCCAATATAACATTCAACAGCGCGGAGTAGCGTTAAGCCTCGAAACCACTTAACCTCAACATCGAGATCCAGACTCGTGGAGATGGGAGCAGTGAAAGGAAAGAGAATTGTTGCTTCAGGAGATGCAATGGCTCTTTGGAAAGCACTAGTCAATGAAGGGATTTCCTTTCGACCCCCTTGTTAAGTAGTGAGCAAAGGAGCCAGCTCGGTAATAATTCCAAAACCCACGGCACAGCAGGAGAGTCCTGGGCAGCATTGGTATGAGATAGCTTGCTATGAAAGGAAATACACAAATTGGATGAGAATTCGCGGGGCCAAGGTCTATTGCCGCGAGCAGAGTTAACCAGGAAGAATTTCAAATTTCAAGATAGGTTGACGGTTCAGACGCTGCTGTTGATGTCATCTTCGGCGTCCCAGGAGCAGACGCTGACGGGGTGGCGCTGCCAAAGACAAACTGTACCTAATGCCCAGGCAGCGCTTGAGGATTCCGACTGGGGGGCAACGGTACAACTGGCAAAGCAATGCAGCCCGCTGCTGGTTAAGATGAGGGCGAGGCGCCGGAGGGAAATGCATCCCCAGCTGGTGGCAGATGACGATGTCTTGGCCATCTGGCTGGCCAGGCCGAAGGGAGAGGGGCGCCATGTCCGAGATGAAGGGGAAGGATGGCTGGTTGCCGTTTCCGCTTTTGGGGCCATGCCCCTGCCAAGCTTTGAGCACCCCGCCAACGACCAGCAAAAACCCCAGCGCCCTCCCCAGCGCCGATCTCCCACGCTGGCCGTTTCCCGCCAATCAGTGCCCCAAGCCTGCGCCAGAGCTCAATCTGAAGCAAACCATCGACGCCCCGCCCCTGCAAACTTCTGCTCCCTCATCAAACCGCAAGACTCCGTCGAGTCCTTCACGAGACTCATCAAACCCTACCCTCACCAGCCAATCTTCCCCCCAGGCCACGGCTTGCAGCTGACGAGTGACCACAGGCACGCAGTGAGACTCTTTCTCACGGCCAGATTTTAGAAATTTGTGCAGCGAGTGGCTAGCGCTCACTCAGACTACAAACATGGTTTGAATAAGGGAGAGCCGCGCCATCTCCTTAGGAATGCAAAGCAAAGAATACTCCCCTTTGTCTTCGTCTTCTGCCTCGTTGTTGTTAATTGCCCCAGCGCGAATGCGAATGCGCCTATCAATTTCAGCAAGATTTGGCCGTCAGCTGTGGCACCCTGCGCCCATGGGAGCACACTGAGAAATTGTTGCTTCAAGCCGTGCCTGTGCGTCCAAAATGAGGTTGTGTTTCAAGTCCGGGCGCCTTCTCGCTTAATCTGCGTTTGTCCAACTCATAAAACCGCCTGGCCGGCCTGCCCATCTGCTCCATCACTCTCTTCGATCACCCACATTCCTTTGTTGATCTGTGATCCCTCCCTGTGCAGCCTTTGTCTGAATAGGACCACGTTCTTTATTTTCTTTCAGCAACTCACACACTCTTTTGTTCCAGAAGTACGCCTTAGTCGTACACTGACTCCCTGCAGCCTCCGTTCAACACTCCTCGTAAGCCATCCCTCGTCTACTCTTTCGTTCCTGGTCCTGTATAAAGTTCTTGGTTGCTCGTCCAGACCTGTGATCATTGTGTTAACTTTCTTGAACCACAGCAGAATCATTCACACCCTGATATCGAGAAAGATCTGAGATCCTTAACTGCCATATCAACTCAAGTCACGGCTCTTCCACACTTCAAAATGCGCTCAACTCTTCTCCTCACTTCGGCTTTGGCCATTGGTGCTCTTGCTGGCCCTCTCCAAAAGCGATACATCGTCACAGAGGTCGATCTTGAAATCAAGACCGTAACCGTATACGTGACCCCTGGCCAGGCCGAGCCTACCGTAGCTGCCGTTCCAACCACCTTTGGTGGACGTCACCGCCACTCTTACCACTCCAAGCCGGCCTCAAGCGCTCCTGTGCCAGTCCCATCGTCTAAGGCAGCCCCTGAGCCATCAGTCGTATACACTCCACAACCTTCTTCCGCACCTGCGCCGACCCCTACCCCAACTCCTTCGCCAGTTCAATCCAGCAAGGCCCCTGTCGCTTCTGTTGCTAACGACGGCACCCATAAGAGTGGAGAAATCCAAGCTACCTTCACTTCTGGCCCAGACTATCAGGCTATGGTCCTCTTCCACCACAACGCCGCCCGCGCCAACCACGGTGCCGGTCCGTTGGTATGGGACGATGATGTCGCAGCCACAGCCAATCTTGCTGCTATTAATTGCACATTCGAGCACTATATCCCAGAAGGTTCAGGCCAAGGCCAGAATATATTCGCCATGTCTGGTGACAGCTTCAACGTTTCGGCCGCTATCACCGAGAGCTGGTACAAGGGAGAGTTTGCCGCTATGCAGGGACATTACGGTCAGACCTCACTTCCCATGGACGTCTTCGAAACAGTAGGGCATCTTACTCAGATGGTCTGGAAGGAAACGACCAAGGTCGGCTGTGTTTCACAAAACTGCGCCGGGAAGATGAGGTTGGGTAAGGAAAGCAACTATGCATCGACCACCATGGATAAGTTCACGGTGTGCAACTATGCCAGCCCTGGCAATGTTGACGGTCAGTACGCCTCCAACGTCGGATCTCCCATCTCCACTTCCAACTTGGGCAGTTGGTTGGACTAAACATCTCGTCATTTTCTGGGGCGGATCGATTGACACTCTCCTCGGGCCAAAATGCATTGTTGTTGAGCGTCTTTTCATGAGCATGTCGGGCTGCAGGTCAACGGGACATTTGCTTGCATGACTGGGGATCCATTTCACAAAATTTTTGTCTGTGGCTGCCTCTGTTGGCTTAACCTGCCGTGTCAGTTCAACAGAAGCTTCATTTCGATGTATATACTTACTATGATGGCCCTCAAAGCCCGCTTTGGGGGTTCACTTCTTGCACACATGCAAGTCAAGCTTAAACCAATGTGTAACAGACATCTCTTGTGCGAAAGTATGAAAATGCACGTGTAAAAAATGGTTTGTAGAATTCATGACGGACAGGAATTTAAGTCGGTGTGTATTCAGACCGTTCGCTCGTTCAATGAGTCGTAAAGCCATGGAACTTTTCTGCGCGAGGAAAGTTGACAAATCACTGGAACAATGCCTTTGATAGTATTGGCTCTCTTTTGTCCGTCCGTCAAACTTTTGGAACTTGAAACACTTCATGCATCATGAGCCGATCAACCGCATCTCAATTGAGCCCTTTCTCACTCAGCCATCAACTCATAACTGCAATATCGAGTGAAATTGTGGATGGTGCTACTTCTACCACGCCTTCTCACTCAATGTATAACATGATCAAGATAGTGTCGATCTACTAAACATCTTGCTGGAGCCAGGAAGGGCACTAATAACGCACAGTATTATTTGTCCCTCAATTGAGCCAACAGCAAGCCCTAGGTCCGCGGCTCATAGAGGCCGACCCTGAGATGCTGCTACAATCCTGCCCTAACCGCAGTCGCTCTATGGTGAACTAGCAGTCATGAAAGCAAGCGCTCTTCAGAAATAGTTAGTAGATGAGGTGGTTCGTACACAGTCGCGCCGAACTATTGATACCTGCAGCCGCCGGCCCCAATCCCATATGTGCTGGGAAATATACATACAATTCTGCTGCTGTGCCGCAGCCGCCGGACAATTTAATAACGCATATTTACGCCCCAACTTTTGGTGATAAATGTTGGTTTTGTTTCCTGGCTTCATACTTTTCATTCTCTCAATATTGCTTGACGTGTCTGGGTAGTATTTCTTTAGCGCATCTCTAGTCGCCAGCCATGAATGTCTCTCCCCTCATCAGCCCTCCAGCGGGCGGAACGCACAACACGCTTGGAAATGGACACCTCAATCGAAGTCTACCCCACTCGCCAACAAATATCGAGCCCCTTTCAGCTTCTGAAGAAGGGCCAGGAGGAACGGCGTTGGGAAAGCACCCGAGTATACCAATATGGCCAGGCGGGCCTCAGCCTCTCCATCGTGGAAGTTGGCTTGCCGTGTTGAGTTGTATGGGGGATGTCATTGTTATAATGACATCAACAATGTTCTTGGTACACGGGTCCCTGGTGATCTATTTTGAAGGGGTGCCTGTATCTGAGGTCCCACATCTCTCCATCATGCAGGATGCATCTCGTTATGTACGAGACGCTGATCCCCTTTTACAAATATGCACACCAACGCTAAGTTCCACAGGGCCCTACCGTATTTCCCATTCTCTTCGCCGCCATTGTTGGTCAGGCCATGCACGCAATTGCGCACTGGAGGCTCGAGAATGGAGAGCGCATGAAGGTGTTGGACCAGCTCTTGGGTAGCACTGGGCTGTTCTCGACGATCGTTACCCAACTCAAATTCCGAAACATGGGCATCGCTGGTTTGGCACTTATATGTCTCTGGGTCCTTTCCCCTATCGGCGGTCAAGCTTCACTACGTGTGCTCGATTACGGTACCCGTGTCGATTCTCGGTGGCGAACTTTGTACGCCATGGATTGGAATTCAACGATGCATACGGCAGATCGAATTCCTCTCTCATCGATCGCAGGCGATTCCTCAGAAGCGATATTCATAGGCCAATCGATCTTCTCAGCCGCATTAGCGAGTCCAATAGACGTCAAAAGGTCCACAATGGATTTATGGGGAAATGTCAAGATTCCGATGGTTGAAAAACTTACAAACTCGGTGCTTTATAGCGATGGGTGGCGCGAGGTGCCAAGGACCAACGTCACTTACGCTGCATTGGTCGGTATACCCCTTTCGAGAGTATCGTCTGAGACCAACACAACGTTTACCTTGGAAACTTCATACTGGACGCTGGTCTGTCCAGTCCTGGGGGACTATAAATATGGAGTCCCAGGGCTGGGTAAGAAAGGTGAAATGCTCCCTGGCTGGGCTGCGTTTCAAACAACTCAGTGGGGACTGTCTACTCTCAATACCCAGCGACAGGTGAGAGAATCCGATTCAAATCTCACGTCTCGTATATTTTATTACACCAGCGTGGATCAATGGAACTCCTCTACGAATGCGGAATGTCATATGAATACCACTTATGTGGAGGTAGAAGTTTCATGTCAACGCCAGGACTGCTCAGTAACCCGAATCCGACCCTCTACAAAGCCCCACCCATCACCGGCCTATGCTTTAGGATTAGATCCTGGGAATGTCCTCGATTTTACCCGCAGCCTCTTCAGCTCTGTTGCCGGGAACATGAATAGGCCTACAGCCATCCAGCGCTACTTTCGACACCCGGATGCCCCTTTCAACAACACTGAAGAGGACCTGGCATTACGCAATCTAACGAAGACGGAGTTTGCGACTTCGCTCGTTCAGCTCATGAACACCTATTGGTTAGCTGGATGTGGGCTTGCGCAGGTGGAGGTAGGTGTCCCAACACGCATTGCACCGGAATTTCTGCCGCCAAGGAATGCTTCACTTCTCAGACGATATTATACACCTGTGAATGCTACTGAGACTCTGGCGACCGAAGTGGTCCGGTGCTCGAAGCCTTGGCTTGCCGCACTGTTCATCGCCACTGGAGCCATGTTCCTGGCTGGAGCGTTTGGTCTCGTCCTGGAATTTACCCGTAAAGCGCCTGACTTCGCACTGAACATATCCTCTTTGACCCGTGACAATCCATACATACACCTCCCGCCCGGTGGAAGTACGCTGGACTCGATCGACCGCAGTCGGCTGCTGCAAAATCTTCGGATCCGCCTTGGGGATATAAAGCCAGATGATCCCGTGGGATACATTGCTATTGCGAGTTGTGAAGGGCAGGGAAAGGTCTTGAGGCTGAAGGGGCTAGAGAGAACAAGGACATTCTCGTGATTTGATACCCTGGTTAGGATATTGCATTAGTAAATTCCTGGAGTTATGTAGCATTTTTCGGCCGGACTGAGTAGCCTGCAGCTGTACTACACAGTGTTACCTTAAAACATGGAACATGAAGTTAGTCTATTAACCCACTCACCAAAAATTAGGAGGAGTGTTAAAAGAATGTGCCTCTCTGTCCCAAATTAACCCACTATTTTATTCCATGCTGGGTGATCAGATACAAGGGTAGGGCTCAACGGAGAATTAGAGTAATGTAGAAAACGACGAAGGCACAGTACTGGATGTTACAACAGCGTGTAATCAGCATACGATCTCCGCATTTCTCGAGATTGTAGAAGGTGCATGAGCAAGCTAAATTTACCCTATTTATGCTCTATAGCAAGCTCTAACACGCTTTCCATATTGTCGAGGGGTTATTAAGAGAATAACGACATCTATATCGAAAACAACAAATATTGGATTGGAGGGTCATGGCTTCACTAGCAAGATGGAAGGTAACAGCGCCCACACATTGCTGCCCTTGAGTTAAGAGGAGAGCATAACGCTTCCAGAGGAAGATATCGACATGGCGGAGTGACAGTGAAACTCCAAATTCCATAGTTGCTTTTTCTGGGCCATGGGTGGTTCGTGCGCAAGACCATTACGAGAGCGGGAAAGTGGTACACGTGCGCATTGATTGGTTGACGGATCCTATCACCAGCCTCCGATCTCTTCACGCAGCATTGCACCCGCCCTCTCCTCATATCCCAGTAGATTTCGATATCTCAATGCATTGCTATCCCAACCTCACAGAGTCTTTCTTTAACTACAGTCTATCATGCGCTTTGGCAGCAACCTCCGCAAAAGCATCTACCCACCATGGAAGAACAACTACGTCGATTACGATAAGCTCAAGAAGCTGCTGAAGGAGAGCGATGGGTCACCCGTGGATGAGGACTATGACGCCTGGACGGCCGATGATGAGAGTGCATTTGTCGACGAGCTGGTCAATGTTCAATTGGAAAAGGTTCACAAGTTCCAGACCGAAACCTCCCAAAAGCTACGCGATCGGACGACAGCCTGCGAAAAAAAGCTCGAGCCATTGGCCGTCGGTCTGAAGCCAGAGAAGGCACATGAAGGAGAAGCTTCAAACTCCCAAGAAGAAGCCCCGTCGAAAGCGGAGATCAAGCCGGGAGAGAAGGAGAAGCTCTTGAAGGAGGTGCTGAGGGAGCTGGACCACATCACGAAGGAGATCAACGAGCTGGAAAGGTACAGCAGGATCAATTATACAGCCTTTTTCAAAGCTACGAAGAAGCATGACCGGAAGCGAGGCGATGCCTACAGACTTCGTCCTTTCCTTGAAACGCGGCTCACGGCCCTGCCACTCAACAAGGAGGACTACTCCCCACTACTATACCGGCTGTCTGCTATGTACTCATTCGTGCGGCAAAGCTTGGATGGGAAATCTCAGGAAGCATTGTCGTTTTCGGAGAGCCTGACGGGCGGGGAAAGCTTCAACTCATACAAATGTACTGAAACCCTCTTCGCTCAATGCCTATGTTAACCGACAGCAGTCTGGGTCCACCCCGAGAACCTCCTCGAAGTCAAGACCATCATTCTCCGCCGCCTTCCTGTCCTCGTATACAATCCCCAAACCTCTAAGATCGCCGAAGGCTCTCAGCGCGATCCTACAATTACATCCATATACTTCGACAACCCAAAGTTCCCTCTCTACACAGCCAAGGTCAATCATGCGCCGGATGCAGTCTCGCTACGCCTTCGTTGGTACGGGCAGCTCGCAGACAAGCAGGAGATACTATTCGAGAAAAAGGTGATCAAGGACGGGGACGCCAGCGAAGAGGAGCGGTTCCCGATCAAGGAGAAATACGTGCTGCCATTCATGAAAGGAGAATACAAAATGGAGAAGAGTGTTCAGAAGCTGCAAAATCGAGCCGGTGGAGATCATCATGAAGTGGGTGATTTTCAAAAAGCTGTCGATGACATCCAATCTTTCATTGAGGACAGGGAACTGCAGCCTGTCCTTAGAGCCAACTACACTCGCACCGCCTTCCAAATACCTGGAGATGATCGGATCAGGATATCGCTCGATACGAACCTTGCATTAATTCGTGAAGATGCGCTTGACCTAGACAGACCCTGCCGAGACCCAGAAGATTGGCATAGGAAAGACATCGATGATGTTCAGATGGAATATCCTTTCAAGGGAATACGAAAGGGAGAGATTAACAGGTTTCCTTTTGCACTTCTAGAGATCAAAATAAAGGGTATGAAGAAGTACGAGTGGATAGACGATCTTACGAACTCTCATCTTGTCAAAGATGCTCCACGCTTCTCAAAATTCGTTCACGGAGTCGCCATGCTCTTCGAAGATAATGTCAACAGCTTCCCATTCTGGCTGAGCGAAGTCGATACTGATATCAGGCAAGAACCCCATAAGGCCTTCGAGGAAGAGCAGGAAAAGAAAGCAAAGGCTGCAGAGGATGAATTTGCAGTCGGCAGTCTTTTTGGCGCTCGAGCAAGCCCCAGTTACCGCCCTTCTGTAGCATCTCCTGTTGGGTCACCTGCTGGAAAGTCCGTGACCAAAAGTAGCACTCCCGCAAGACCGTCACCACAGCTTGGTTCCACTGTAGGGAGCAAAGAGAATGGCAACGAGGAAGCCGATTCAGATGAGGACGGGGCACAAGCGACCATCTGGAAAGATTCGACGTTTTCCAAATCAACCGGTCTCCGCTCATTGTTCCCTTCGTTTTCATCATCGAAGTACGCGCGCGCACATCAACAACGCAAAGTCAAACTGCCCCCAGGGATTCATGACCCAGGAGTCTGGATCAAAGATCAAGGGCCCGTGCGCGTCGAAGCAAAAGTATGGCTTGCGAATCAACGTACTTTCATCAAATGGCAGCATGTCAGCGTCCTCCTAGCATCGCTGTCACTTGGTCTCTACAACGCGGCCGGTGAAACGAATAGCGTTGCAAGAACCCTCGCTATTGTTTACACACTCGTTGCAGCCTTTACATTGATCTGGGGTTGGGGCATGTACATGTACCGCAACAAGCTTATTCGTGAGAGGAGCCCGAAGGATTTCGATAATCAGTTCGGTCCCATTGTGGTTTGTCTGGGGTTGATTGTAGCGCTGTGCTTAAATTTTGGCTTCAAGGTACGTAAACTCTACGGACACCGTGAAAGTCATTTGAGATTATTGTGCTTGTTGCTGATGGAACCCTATAGTACCGAGCCATCCTTAACGACCGAGTGGACAGGAATCACCCAGCGAATTCGACATTCATTGACGAACGGATTGAATTGCTGTGATGGGGGTCCGGAGGTAACGGGGCACGAGGGTGTGGGTCAGGAGAAGTTGCACGACGAGTACAACCACTGTTTCACGGCAATTTTTGGGCGTGCGAGGTTGGATATATGCACAGGCTGCGGACTTTGGACTGTGCATTCGTCTGAATATGTTTAGTGTGTCCTTCGTTGTATTTAATTGTCTGGATATGGAGCGGTGCATCAATATACTATGAGTGGCAAGTACTAATACAAATTGAGATTGCAGGGAACATTTTTCTGGTTAGAATCTTCACGAGACGCAATGTTTGGAGTTTCTAGGTCTTGGAGAGTAGCTATTTTGAGGGTGGGTGTCACGTTCCAGCTGTGGGTTCTATGGGCATTTGAGCTATAGTTCCGCACTCGGTACAATTGCAGACTCTTGCAAGATTAGACAAGATGACTCGGGCGTGCAATTTGTGGGATCTTGGCGCAGGTCCCTACATGTGCGAGAACCTGGGATATTGGGTTGCGCCTTGGATATCCTAGCTACAAAGTGCCCTTGAGGCATGAGGCCTGTTGCCTTGAGGGAGTTGGAGTGACGTTAAAGGCGGAGATGTCCTTATCATAAAGTGTAGAGCGTGTGCTAATCCTTGAGGATGAGGCTGTATTCGCCAGAGGGCATATTTATTCTGGATTGACTGGTAAATATTTTGAGACTCGAATTCGAAGAGTTGGAGTGGGAAGGTGCTAAATTTTTTTGGAGTCTCAGGTGACCACGAAATCAAGACATGTTCCTTAAGGAAGAGGCGAAGCAGCTTGGCAAAGGCGCAGCTCTAGGAAAACAATGCGTGGGAGGAATTAACCGTCCAGTAATCGGATGCTTAGAATATGATAGCCACATTATAACCTGGGAACCTCACTAGTATCGACATGAGCAAAGCCGCGTGCGGACGCGCAACTGTCTCAAGCCCAGTGACCATAGCGAACAACCCACTGGCGACAGGAGTGGGCCTTGTGCCAGCAGATTTGTGATGGTTCATGAGCTTGGTATCGAAAGACAGCAACTCCAACCGTTGAGTCGCAGAAGCCTGGGAACTGGCCATCGGCAGGACAGAATCTTATGAAGGTACATGTGGTTGACGAGCAAAGATGCTCTGAAGTTGCAGCAGCTGACTAAAACCATGCCGCTTCCGCGGAACAAGGTCGGATCACCCTCGGAATGATTTTCGTTGTGCTTTTCGTCGCGTTGTTAGTCAACAAGGAGAATGCAGCGTTGTTCTTGTGCCCCACTACTCATGATGTATCATGCGGTAGGTCACTGACACTCACAGGATATGCAGCTAGCAGTGGTCACAGCGTGACCGTCCTGGGGACCCGACGGCCGCTTAAAAGTCTCTCGAAAGATCATCCTTACGCCGTCATAACTTGATTGATGCGGTAAACATCGTCCTCGGAAAAGCAAGCTAGCAACAGATTGCAGGATGGAAACTGTGATCCCAATTTATGGATCGTAATGGATGCCAGCGGGTGTAAAACATCGCAATCAAAATGGAGGTCTCGAATGCCGGTTGTAAATTGCGTCTGTGGACACTCGCGATACGCTGATTGCTTGGAGAAATAGGGGCGCTCGTTTGGGATTTTTCGAGCATCCGGCCAGTTGGGCAAAAAAAGAATAAAATGGGTACGTACCGCCTGAGTGCATGCTGGCACATGGCACGGGGCACGACAGGGTCTGAATTAAGACAGAAATTTGTATCCTCTTGACACCTCTGTAAATGACCAATGAGTCTAACATATTAAATATTCTCTGTCCATTATGAAGGCCGTATTAGCTCGCGGAAGAACAGCAAAGCGTTGTTTAGGGATTTCGCTGCACTCGCTAGACAGCAGCTTCATAGATGCGATGTTGAGAACTCTTGTGTGCTGGTCGTACATGGCTGAATCGTTGCTGGCCAGGGGAGGGATCTACTATGTGCAGTCGGCTGTGTGAAACAGCGCCAAGCGCTGCTAGTTGCCGCCGCCGAAGCCGCAAGACCCGTAATTCGACGTCGCGGCCAAACAACCGGTCTGACAAGAAACACAGCCAAACACTCAACCACAGACACGCCATGTCAGGCAGGCTGAGAGGCCTCAAGCTACTGCCAATGGTGCTCCAGAAACGTCCTCCTTTTCCTTTTCCTTCTCCTTCGAACCCTGTCCACCCTTTCCATTTAGGGGTTACCCCCATCCTAGTTACAGCCGTAAAAGGTGCGGCTCTTGACAATTCATCAAAAAAGACGTTGCCTTATGGCCATATCCTGGGTGAAAGTCAGCATGGGTATTTCAATGTCCATCTGATGCTCCTTTGATTGGTGCTGCTCTCCCTAGATGCACGCCATTCCCTCCGTCTGCTGGCCCTTGTGCATGAATCCGTTTCCCAAACAACGCGGGCCGCCGAGGCGGCGCTCCACGAATGCAACTTTTTCTCTACTATTTGTACTCTAGTCCACTCTTCTTGCGTCACTCTGCTCATCAATGTGAATGTACCCAAAACCCTTGCATGCTCCCTCATTCATAAGGAACAGTTCTCCCCCAGATCATTACTCAAACCACTACCTCCTCTGAGTCCTCCCTGGTTCCCTCTGGATCTCGGTCCCATATTTTTTTTTGTCGCGGGTAACGAGTCTCGGAGAAATTCTGGTGACTGGTGACTGGTTCCGTGGAGGAGGACAGTTGAGAATCTCTGGCCCTTTCACGTGACCCCGCGCACTTTCCTCCCGCGCACCCATAAGACACCGTGGTCGACGAACTTTTCCGCGTCACACCAAAACAATCATTCCTTTCTTCACTACATCTTCCACAACCGACCCTGTGTCCTTCTTTTGTGTCTTTCGGGTTACGGCCTGTCCAATCTTTACGACTCTCGTTTACCTTGTCAACACACTCTTTAGTGCTGTTTCCACTGCTGCTGCTATCCGGCCTCACAACATGCGGTCGTCAGCACTTCTCGTTCTCACCGGCTTCATAGCTGCGGTAACCAATGCTACGCCGGTAGCTCCTGCCCTACCGCAAGCCCTCCCGCAGCTTAAGCGGCTTCACATCCGTCAAGACAACACAACCAACAGCACAGCTCCGTGTGCTCAGGTATCCCAGGCTATCTACAGCAATGGTGGACCCGCCTCTTCAATTCCCACCGTCCCAGCCAAAATAGCGTACGAATGCATTCAGAGTGTTCCATTCAACGCCACTTCCGCCATGAAACTTCTGGACTCTCTGCCTCCCTATCTCGCCTGGCAGAGCACGCTCACCGTTCTGTCTAATCCGCCGGATGAATATGCCAAGAAGGTTCAACCACCAGTTGATATCCTAGGCGGAGTTGAGAAGCTTAAGGCTAGCATTGGCGCTGGCCAATTCAAGTCAGAATACGAGTTTGGTTGGGCTCTCTACACCTTAATCCAGTCGGCTCACGATGGTCACTTTACATACGTTCCTGATTCTGTTGGTTCAATTTTCAATTTCGGGCGGCCGGTACCTTTGGTCTCGGTTTCTGAAGACGGGAAGAAGTTGCCTGCTGTTTTCGCCTACTACGACGTCTTGGGCATGCAGTTCAAGAACATTTCTTATACTCCATCTCCAATCGTTCAAATTAACGGTCAGGATGTCAACGAATACCTCGAAGGGCTCAGCCAATACGGCTCTCTCCAGGATCGCGATGCCTTGTATAATAACATGTTCTACGAGCTTGCCCAGATCAGTCTCGGATCATCTGGCAGCGGCACTGGAATGTTTACTGGAGGTGGTCGAGGACGATGGGTTTATCCTGGCCCAACGACAACCCTGAAATTTGCAAACGAAACTTCGTATACCATGGAGAATTACGCCCGGGTGCTGCAGAGCTTCCGAGGGATCAACACCGGCGAGGAGTTGGCAACCCAATGGTTCTACTATGGTTCTAATGCCGCCTCGACCCAGCTAGGGGAGTCCGCCTCTCCAGCAGCCCTTGCCGTCACCGCTCCTGGCTATCCCACTCCTGTCACCCCTGGACCAAGCAATCTAATCAATGGCTTTTATGTGGATGCTCCTGGCTATGAAGATGTTGCAGTTCTACAGGTACCGAACTTCGTGGGTGAAACGAGTGTAGAACGAGCTTTCCAGAAGACCACCCAAGATTTCCTGCCGAAAGCAGTTGCAGACGGCAAGACCAAATTGATCATAGACGTTCAAGCCAACGGAGGAGGAACTATCCTTCAAGGCTATGACATGTTCAAACAACTATTCCCCTCAATTCTTCCTTATGGCGCCAACCGCTTCCGAGCGACCGAATATGTTGACCTCATTGGACAAGCTTTCAGTGCCTATGCTTCCAAATTCCCCCGCCAGTCGACCTACAACCAGACTCTCATGTCGATCCAGGGTTCCTATTTCGACTACCACCAGGATTCCAATGAGAACTACGAGCGATTCACATCATGGGCCGATAAATTTGGTCCGATTGAGCTGCTTGGAGGTATGCAGTATACCCAAACGATGGAGGTTCTCTTTCAAGCTATGTGCTAACATTTTCCAGACAAATTCACTAATATCGCACGTTGGAATCTTTCGGACGTTCTGATTACGTACAACTCAGGTGGCATCAACATTACCGGATACGGAATATACTCCAATGCCTCCAGCAACCCGCCGCCTTTCAAGGCTGAGAACATTGTTATCCTCACCGACGGCTATTGCGCATCAACCTGTACGATCTTCGCCGAGCTAATGAAACAGCAAGGTGGAGTGAAAACCATCGCTATGGGAGGCCGAAGCAACAAGAACCCGATCCAGGCCATTGGTGGCGTCAAGGGTACGAACAACTACGCATGGAACTATATCCAAAACCTTGGTCAACAGGCAGTCGAAATTGCCCCCGAGGGTCAGGACGAGAAATACAACACCACATTCAAACCATTCTATGCTAATATACCATACAACCGTGCCGCTACCAATCCGGGAGCGAACGTGAGGGACGGGCTTCGCCAAAATGACACCTCCGGTGTTCCGTTGCAGTTCATCTATGAGGAGGCGGATTGCCGACTCTACTACACGCCTGAAATGACAGTCGACGCTACAGCCATATGGAAGGCAGCAGCTGATGCGCAGTGGGGCGGAAAGGGCAATTGCGTCACGGGCGGGGGCTATGGTACCAAACGTGAGGCGCACGAGGTCACGACGAGCTTGAAGCCAAGGCGCGTCAGCCCAAGGGCTCAAGCCTCTTTGCTCCAGCAGTTCGAGGCTTTCGAAAAGAGTTTCGTTCTACAGACGGACTGCACGATGCACGGTGATGGATTCATGCATCCGTAAAGAGAAAGGGTGTTCCTACGGCAGCTCGCTTTCCGAGAAAGCCAGCGTACACTTAACGATTAATATCACCGAAGGACGAATGCCGGATACAGGTGGAGGCATGTAATATCTTAGTTTGTCATAGAACAGGCCGGGTGGCACAAAAACGTGCAGGCTAAAAGCCGGAGAGGTCGACCTCTTTATGACCATAATTCTCAATGACGAAAATACGGACCATATCAATGAATTCAAGAGGATATTTCCACCCTCAAAGTTTGTCTTTTTTCGTTGTCAACCGTGAAATGGATGTAGAAAGAAACCGGAGCTTGCTCGCTTGAAGAGAATGACGTCTCAAAACCCGAGCCATCCGGGCGACAATCACACCCAGCCCTACGAAAGCCCTGCAAGATATGGAGGGTACCAACGTGATCATCCTTCGAAAAGTGACCCAGCGCATCAAAAGAGGAAGATGCCGCGAATATCAAGATCATGAAAGACATTGCTGACCTCTTAGACTGCAATGCATTCTCTGCCAACACGGCCCGGAGTCAGGCGTTGAATCAAGAATTATTGCCATGCTTCCTTTTGGGATCCACGTGTGGGCCTTAGTGCTCCCAAAATAGAACCCGAAGAAAACCTGGGTGTCGGGTGGCTTGAAGCACTGCAACCCCACAACCGCGGTTATATAAGGCCTACAGGTTCTGTACCAACCAAATTCGACAGTATGCTACCCATACGACATCAGCACTGGTGGCCTCCTAGCTTCGCAAGGTCTGAGGTTGTTAGTGAGGCTGGAGGATCACGAAAGTCCGGCTCTCTCGGAGAAACCTTGGGCGACGGAAAGGGCTGAGGGGTGGCGTGTGGAGAAAAGGAGATATTGGCGCGCTCGCTTTGGACGCTTTTGACTTCGCTCTGCACAGACAAATTTCGGTTTACGGACGCCCTTCTCGTCGCTTTGACCAATTACGAGGATGTCTGGAGCCCTTCAAGTCATCTTTCATTGCCTATTAGCTTGATTAGGTGTGTTGGCTGAGTCTCTCCACGCCCGAGCGCGTTTGTTCCAGGGAGTCCCTTTTGCTGTTGTTTCTTAGTGCTGAACAACGCAGCCTACCTTCGGCAAGCCTCTCAGCTCGCAGATCATTTTCTGTGTCTGCGAAGGTTCGATGGCGTCTGCCGGGGAGACCTATTCTCGTTGTGGGTGTCGTTTAACAATCCCTATGATGCAGGTACAGTACGGACCGCACTCGCGAAGCTTTCCTACTTAATACTGACCATGCCTCCCCGTTGGTGTTTCTGCCTCTGTCCACACCGAGTTTTGCGTCACCTTCATTTGCATCTCTTCAGGTCGAAGACCACGTGACTCGGCCTTCTTTTTCGAGTGGTACCTAGGGCGTAACTTTTCAGTCTTACATCTAGTATCTTATAGTTCATATTCGATCAACCTTCCGAGGTCGCTCTTCCACTCAATCCTACATAATCTCCCCTTCCCCTGCCTTCCTTTCGTCATTGCCAGAAGACCAGAAGTCTCTCCATCGTTCGAGACTCCACCATGAAGTCCTCATGCGGATCCAGTCTCCTGCTAGCCAGTATTTTGTCACTTGGCCTGGTCAGTGCCAACCCATTGGTTCCTCGTGCCCTCAAGGTGTCAACGGATGGCAGCTGTGGAGGAACGACTACGTGCCAGGGCTCTACGTTCGGGAATTGTTGCTCGCAGTATGGGTGGTGTGGTTCATCAAGTGCCTGTCAGTACTCCCCTTTATTTTAGCGCATAATACTAATACCATGTCTAGACTGCGGAACCGGGTGCCAACCGGCCTTCGGGACTTGCTCGGGAAGTCCATCAACTGTGAAGCCTACGTCAACTCTCAAGCCAACTTCTACTGCAAAATCTACCTCCACTGGCTCCGCTACCCCAACAGCCACAAGCTTGACCGACTGCTTGAATAGCAAGAATATCCCTATTTCCTTGATTACGTCTCCGGATTATGCAAGCCTCGCTGAACCATTCAATACTCGCCTTCCATACAAGCCTGTCGTCATCGTTCTTCCCATTACTGCCCAGCATGTTCAGGATGCTGTCATCTGTGCATCAAAGGCTGGTGTCAAGGTCCAGGCCAAGAGCGGTGGTCACTCTTACGCATCGTACAGCTCAGGTGGAAAAGATGGCAGCATGATGATCGACCTCCAGCCAATGCAAGGCGTCAAGCTCGACACTACGACTGGCATCGTCACCGTAGGTGGTGGTGTCCGCCTCGGAAATTTGGCAAAAGGCATCTACGACCAAGGAAAGCGAGCTCTTCCCCATGGAACTTGTCCTGGCGTTGGTATCGGCGGACACTCAACCCACGGAGGTTACGGCCATACTAGCCGCAATTGGGGTATGCCTAATTCTTTGCGTGAATCTCCAAATATCCTTACTGACTTGATACAGGTTTGGCTCTGGATACTATTGTGGCGGCTGATGTTGTCCTCGCCAACGGTACGCTAGTGAAGTGTTCCAAGACGCAGTATCCCGATATCTTTTGGGCTATTCGTGGAGCTGCTGACTCTTTTGGGGTCATCGTCAATTTCTACATGCAGACAAATGTAGCACCAACCGCTATCACATACTTCGCCTTCAGCTGGAGTAACATGTTTGGCTCCAAGCAGACCTTCACAAATACGTTCCTACACATCCAGGACTTTGGCAAGAACGCCTCCGTAATCGATAGTCGCATTTCATTTGGTATCTACATGGATGGGTCTACATATAACCTTGGGGGCACATTCTTTGGCACTGTCGATGAATTCAACTCCAAAATCAAGCCCGAGCTCCTTCGCAGCCTTCCAGCACCCACTACCACCACGGTTAAATCACTAGGCTGGATCGACTATCTTGTTCTGCTCTCAGACAAGACAACCATTGAGGAGCCCTTGACTGGCTACGACGAGCACGACAATTTCTTTGCCAAATCGATCACTGTTCCTGAGGCTTCAGGTGGACTCACTGCCACCACCCTCAATGCCTTCTACGACCAAGTCAAGACCGCAGGATCCGTCTCTTGGTTTGTCATCATCAATCTTTATGGTGGTCCAAAATCGTCCATCAACGACCCATCCAAGGACACTAACTTCGCGGCCTACAACGACCGCGACTCCCTCTGGGTGTTGCAGAACTATGGTGAAACCGCTGCCAGCATCCCGTTCATCAATGGTATCAATAATGCCATCACCAAGGCACAGCCTAACACCAACTTCGGCGCGTATCTGAACTACGTGGACCCTAGTTTGGACGCTGCGACGGCGCACAAGGTCTATTATGGAGATGCTTTATATGCCAGGTTGCTGGCATTGAAGAAGACTGTGGATCCTACCAGCGTTTTCTGGAATCCTCAAGCTATCGGTGCTTAGCGGAGAAACGCGAAATGGGCAGATGGTTGGGTGGAACGTATATGCATTATATCTGGCGCCTTACATATGGGAGCATTTTGGATGGAAATTGGGATTATCTTACATGTATTGTCTAATTCATTTCTTTCATTTGAAAGGGCTTGGTAGGCAAGTCCTGTGGTGCCTAATACTTGGCTTCACGAAGGGATATGAGGATATTTGGCACGGAAGATTATTGGCGCATAAATTCTGTGGCTTAGTTGAGACATTACTCCATACCTCGTGGATACAAATCAAGATGTGCATCTCAATCCTCTTGGTTTCCTAAATATGGTTAGCATGACTCGATATGAGAACTCCCTTCTCTGCTTATCTACTAGGGACAATTTCATCACATTAAGACTCACGCATCATAAACATTCAAATCGTATATATATATTTGATTTCTTTGGGCTCACGTACTATAGTAGCAATCCTTGAAAAATGTCTCGTTCTAACAATCATTCAGGGACAACCTCGCCTCACTGATGCTCACTCAATATGCCAATACGAACCCACACGGCTATCCTAACCGCGCTAACTCCTTTCTTTAAAACCAGCAAGACCCATTAATAGATATACCTGCTCTCATGACCCTCCCAAGATAAGATTTCCTCACTAACGCCAACCCATCACATAGCCCTAAATGCAAACGCACATTCTCTTATTCTTAGCTCCCTCACCTAACCCAGGAAGTCCCACAAACATGTATTCTCACTCCCACAACCTTCCTAGCACTATCGCGGCTACTCGTCTAACCTAAGTTCTACCTCCACAACTCTAATCTCCTTCTTCTCCTCAACCCCTTCCTCGCTATGATCCTCGTCCTCGTCATCATCCGTCTCCTCCCCCTTATATTTCTCCAACCTCCCCTGGATTGCCTCTCTAATAGCACCCACCTTAATCTTGCCCTTCCTTACCGCCCGTTTTACCTGTCGCTCACTCCACCAGTCCACCATCGCGATATACAACACCTCGAGGTTCTTAAACCACCGGAGATGATACGTGAACATCTTATATTCATCGTGACCCGAATATGTTAGCACAACCCGCCGCAAACGCTTGAGGTGCTGGAAAGGCATCAATCCCTCCATCGCACGCAGCCGGAAAGTTTCGGTGAAATCCGTGCTCGGGGCTATGGATTTCTCGAAACTACTAGTAGGTTCTGGGCCGAGGAATCGTGAGGATAAGAAGACGATATCGTAGGCAAAGTTAAAGTAGAAGAAAGTTTTGTTGAGAGGGGGTGTATGGAGCGAGATTATTTCGCCGCCGTGGAAAGCCATAATTGCCACTCGGGAGACGTGGGTTGTGTGGAAAAGCGCGGGGAGGGGCGGAATATATCGGATTCGGACGTTCTGGCTTTTGTGGGAGAGTTTTTGGTAGTTGTAGATTTCTAGGAAGTGGGTTCGTGGGGGCGGAGCGGCGAGGGTGAAGATCTTAGTTTGGAGGTTCGGCGGCAGTTTGGAGAAGAGAGAGAAGGATTTGAGGTTTGAGCCAGTGCTGTAGAGGAATGTGTGCAGTTTGGCCATTGGTTTGGTGTTATTGACAAAAGTTTTATTTAGTATGTAGTGAGAATTGGTAGACACGAGTTGGGACCGTATTGAGTGGATGGAGTGAGACCTTTTGTGTTTTTTGTGCGGAGGTGAGGCAACCCCTGAATCGGGACGCCCCATTTCATAGAGCAGAAGTTGGTGTGCTGGGTTTTGAGAAGGTATTGAAAAAAGCTTGAGGAATCGAAGTAATAAAGAGCTAAGGAGTAACCACGTGCGGTTCAAGCACTTAGGCACCAACACTATTGGCTAGTGTCACTGAACAGAGAGCAAGTGGGTGAAAGTAACAAAGCAAGGGCCCTGTGAGTGAAGTTCTATCATCAGTGCTTGTTCGGAAAATCAGCTCAGAACTATCATGCCACACTAAGCATCTGTTCAGAAAATAAGGTTAAGTCGGATTCTGTAGACACTTTTCCAAATCCTCCATGGGGTGGCTTTCGAATATCTTAGCTGGCTTGAGCTTATGAGAAAACACAAAACAATGAACCTTGTGGCGGATATAGTTATTCTGCGGCCCTATCAAACAACCGGTCCCTTATTTACTCTGTTATGTGTTTCAAGCTTCTTGCCGCAATCTAGGAACTTACCACTCGTCTTAGGTACATCTCGCTGAGATATCCGCCTCTTTCTAAGCTATGCTGCCCGATTGACTATGTTGTTCCTCGGATAAGTAACAAGAATCACACACGATAGTTTTACTAGGTAGTTAAGGATCTTCGAAGCAAACGCATGGCCTTAGTAGCGGGTGTGATTTCTTGACAGCACACGTATCCTAAGCATTCAGCTCTGATTTTCAACTTGACTGGTAATCCCAGTGAGATAGATCAAGTATGGTTCAGGGCCCAGACAAGACTATCAGTAGGTGAAACGAAGCTAGGAAGAAGTTGACAACTCTATATCGTATCGTTGACAAATATATTCATTTTTGAGGTGATGGAGCTCGGACGTTTTTTGGTGTCAAAGCAATGTCGAGGGGGAGCATATGACAGGTTTTGCTTAAAGGCAGAAGCCAATTCGAGGCTGTAGAGGGTCAGCACGAGGAGGTAAATAGAGCGGTTTTCTCCTTTGATCGCTAGACTATAGCTCAGTATGCTCTCTTGTGGGGATCGCTGGCACATAAACTGCTTATGTAATCTGACAGGCCTCCATAGTTACTTTACAGGCTGCACAATGATGGAAAACCTTAATATTACTATACTCTCTGGAGAACCTCACCACAAGAATAACAATACCGCGATGCATTTTACCACTTAACGTGAATCTTGGAAGGGCCAATTTAAACCAGAAAGACGCATCTTGCTGACGTTCTTGCTGACTATAGCAAGAGGTTTGACCGTGCAAATTTGTCCTGCTACTGTTCGGCAGTAGGAGCGAATATGTTGTGAAAGATACGAGTTGGAAAGAGATGTAAATATAGTAGTACCAAAGGCCTATTCCACTGCCAATTGATTGAATACCAACGTGCTCTTTGCAAAGATATTAAAAGTACGATGTGGAGGTGTGAAAGAGCGTTTCACTCCTCACTTCGAACACTTCGTCCGTGCTGAACTCTGGAAGCCTCGCCTCACTAGCTCCATCATGTGATGATGTGGCCCGTGCGGACTTCGTTTACTTAAATAGATCGCTGCCTGCACATTTTTCAATCATACTTGTTCGTTCTTCCTTCCCTCCCTGAAAGGTCTAACTTTGCTAACATTTCGATAGACCTTGTTGGGATCACCGAGCTCAAGTATTCGGTCGATCAATCAGGATCTCCTGCATTGCACAGCGCGGAGAGGTCTTGATTTGAATCTCCTTCGGGGGCTTCACCGGCGCAATTTTTGCTGGTCTGCCTTTGGCACTTTATTTTCATTGACTCATCGCCTTGTGCGATGGCTCGAGGAAGAGACTTAAGACAGTTAACCCTAATTTATTATGTTCCATCCAAGTTGTGGTCATGATATCTTGCGTTGTCTGTTGCAGGCTATTGCTAGCTTTGTTGAGTTTGAATGTTTTGACTGCATAATTTTGGTTGAGTGTGGTGAATATTTCTGGCAGTAGCAGCGGACTCACAATGCAATGAATAGCACATGTAGCTGAAATCACAATAGAGAAAGTATTTGTAACAGTCTATTATTTTCGTGGCGTGAGGTCATTGACGCTTGTTATTGCAGTGGCACTTGAAGGAGCTGGTTGAAGGCAATGGTGCCTCACATCGCAACCGATTCCCTTCATGCTTCCTTTCTATCAGTTATGATAACACACATCGGCACACTATAATAGCTAGTCATGATGCTGGAGTCATAACGCGCGATGATGCTTAGGTATCACAACTTCCCAGTGTCGCCCGTGGTCAACCGTTGAGCATTGTCCCTCAGTCCAACACAATCGACATCCTCCGCTACATCTTCTAACTCTCCACCCTTAGCCTCTCCCAATGCCCTATACTTCCTCCGCTTCTTCTTATCTGCACTGGCTTTCTTCTTACTCTTCGCTCTTGCCTTAATAGCAGTTCGACTCTCCTCACCCTTTTCCAGCTCCTCAATGCGTTCTCCTAGCACCCTCCTTGCAATCTTGCGGTTTTGGCTCCTCGACCTGGTTTCCTGGCACTTTACCACAATGCCTGTAGCAAGATGCTTGAGCTGGACAGCCGACGACGTCTTGTTGATTTTCTGGCCCCCAGGTCCGCTCCCTTTGAGGAAGTTCTCTTCAACCTCCGAGTCAAGTATCACGCGACGAGGAGGAAGCTGTTTCGTCTGGGACAAGCCGGTCGAAGTGAAGGGGCGGGCGTGCAGAATGCCATTGGGGAGGATGGAGAAGCAGGTGGGGCGGAGGAATGGAAGCCGGAGGAGGGAGGATGGTGGCATTAATGTGAAGTCAAGATTGGAAGGCGCAGAGATGCGCCATTACGATAGCATAATGCATGGAACGTTCGAAGGAAATATTCGAATTAATTCTCAGGGTTCCGCATTAAAGCGGATGATCCTATCTCGCACCAAACCTGCAACTGCCGCAGAAAGGCGCCGCTTCGGAGCAGGTGCGGCGGCCCCAGCCGATTGGGAGCGAGCAAATTTCCAGCTCACAGTAATCCCTTTCCCACACGACGACATTGACATTGACATTGACATTTCTCTCCCCCCGTCCAGTCGCTCGTTAACCACAGACCCAGCCGTCCCATAACCCTGCGATTCGCACTTCCTGGTCGTGTTACAGCTTCAGCGGACAAATCACGAGTCAACCATGGTGGACTCGACAACCATCTCGACCCTCGTCCTCCTCGGTGCTGCGGCCCTCCTCCTCGCGACAGCCACCGTCTACCCGTCTAACTTGCTCCGCTGGTTACAGCGAAAGCGATATCAATACGAAGTCACCTTCTCGTTGTACATGCTTACGTCGACGGAAAAATTTATATTCAGTATGCTCCCCAAGTTCCACAAGAACCCCTTTCTCCTTCTCCCAGATTGGATCTATCAAGAAGCTAATTGTCCCCTCAGACTCGATCCTGTTCCTCATTCTCTCCCTCCTCATCATCGCCGCCTCCCTCTATCTCCCCGAACATGTCCAAACCATTGCAAACCGCATGTTCTACTATTGGTTCGGTGACGAAGACTCGCTCAACGGCGCAAGCAAAGCTGCGCAACAAGTCCTCACCACTTCGTCCAAAGTAATCCGCGACGCGGCCACTTCCTTCCTCGGCAAGGACGCCCTCCACCATCAACGGGTTGCCGGTGGTCTTGCCGGTGCCGGCTGAGGCTACATGGAGCCGTGAGTTTCCCTTGCGCTTGAGATTGAGTTTGTGGAACGAGTTCGTCTCCGGAACTATGGAAGTGGAAGAACGAGGTCGGTATATAGAAAATAAGGGGTCAAGCGAGCTCCGACGCGTCCCTTGCATAACGGCTGCCGTGTTTGGTGTTTGTCGCTTGGGAAAATTCTAATCCTGGATTCCCGGCCCCAAGCCATATGTCATGACCCTGTGGTGATAGCATAGCTTGCGGAGCCGTTATAATATTTTGCATGGTTAGGCGTTCAGAGGAGGAGGCTCAGGACGGGCCGTGCCTTGGCGACCAGCCATCCAGCCATTCATGGCATACCACTTAATCTTAATGTCTTTTTCTCTGACGGGAGTATACTTGTTTCCTGTGAAGCATTTGAGGCCTCCCTCTCCTCGGCTTCTGTGCTTGACCTATGTCTGCCCACTTATTGCCCGGGGTCCTCAGGCCTCAAGACTTTGTACGTTAACTTTGTGTTGCATCCTAATTTGGAAAGCAACATATCACAGTGCCAATCAGGACATCGGATTGAGAAACATTTGATTCATGGTTAGGTACCGAAGTATTTGGAATTAAAAGTAATACGCGACCCAGACCCGTCCTCTTGGGCAAGGCCGATCGGCATAATTCAGACGAACAGGGGGGAAACGACGACAACTCGAACCCATATCAACCAGCTGTGACGGGAAAGAAACATAGTAGGTAAACATGGAGGAACGCCATCAGGTACCTATCTATACATGGTCGTGAACGTACAGGTGCCTTCCATATCCTACATACCGGCAGAATAATGACAAGGAAAATAGAAAGGAGATACAGCGAAATGGTGAACGCTGCCTAGTAAGGCTGCTCAATGTACATCCCACAATGCAGAGCCCAGATCCCGTGAAACCATATGGAAGAGCTCCCGACTCGGCTTTTAGCATCACGACGTCTGATAGGATCCTTGACTCTGTTGTCGTGTCTTCGTCTTGAAGGCGTGTACGACGTTCAAACCCCAAAAATGACACGGGCAGCATCCTCGAGAGCAGCCGGGGTGTAGCTGCTGCAAGTGATGAGGGCTGGAAACTCCCTGACCCCATCTTCGTGAACCTGGCTGCCGGCGCCGTTTGTGATCAGGAGTAAAAGGAGAGACACGCTGGTAAGGGTTTTGTCCTCTTGGACTTTTCTCGTGATGTCTCGGGCAAACTTCGTCTGATCGTCGTAACCGAGAGTACTTTGCACTGTAACGTTCTCAGTAGTGCACACGACCACTACTACAGACCCCGCCGAACTAAGGAAGTCAATGTGAGTTGGTGTGATGCCTCGGCTTGGGACGTAGGGAACGTGTCGAATGCGTCGATGGCGTTTCGAAAGTGATCTCCCAAGAGGCTCGAAGGGATCCATGTCTCTCTGGAGCTCGGTCGAAGGTGGATGGGGAACGACCGGTGTGAATAGGATAATGTACTCGGCCTGGTTCAGACTTCGAAATCTTTCGAGGGTTCCCGCCGGGCATCTGACGAGGGAGGCATTCCCTGTGGAGGCACTCTGCAGAAGGGCCGTAAGAGTCGATACTCCTGGAGTCGTCATCTTGCGACTGTGTCCAGTCTGAGATTTTGAGGATGTTCTGAATTTACGTTCGCCCATGTTGAAAGTGGGAACAAAGTGCTTTTCAAGGTACCAGCCAAAAGTGAGGTGATGTGTAATCCCACGTGGTAGATAGCGCGATGTACCAAAGAAGGAGTTAGTCAATGGAAAGAGGGAGCTGCTCCCCACTTCTGGCGCTGACGTCCTTTTGACCTGTGCGGCAACACACCAGACTATGGACCAGAGCTTCTATCAATTGCCTGAGAGATATCGGGTAGGGTTTCGGAAGCCGGATGAAGAGTTGAGGCGCGAAGACAGGATGTCGCTGCCTCCAGGGGCCGTCCCAAACAACGACCGAGCCGGAACAGGTATCGTCAATAGTGGATGAAGCACCGTATCAATGGGAAGTGTTTCAAATACAATCAACAAGAAAAGAGTAAGACGTTACCACCCAAGGACATCAGCCTCAATCCATAGGGATGTTGGGCAAAGTAGAAGTATTAAGTGTTGAGGGATCGCAAAATGGACCGTGGCCTCCTCGGTGGTTCCTGCGATAACTTCTGTTCCGTGATGTTAATTAAGGAAGAGGCTCTCCAAATATAATGTCAATAATATTGGAGGTGATCTTAATGGTGATACTGCATGAGAGAGAGAGAAAGGTAGTACGAGATCTTGGGCACGTTCATACCGCATGGTGTTAAAAAAAAGCAACAGCCTTTGACTTGGCTAGAGGGGAGGGCCCGCTGCAGGACGAGGCTTTCCAGAACCCGAGGTACCGCTGACACACATAGACGCTCCAGTGCGGCGCTGTTACACGAAAAGGATTCTAGTTCAGCGGGCAATGGTCCGTCTGGTGAAGAAGAAACACTGGATGTTGGGTAGCAAACCTTCTCCAAGACCGACAGGGGATGGAATGCTTGCGGAGATAATTATGTTAATTCACACGAAAATCTGGTCCAGGGAGTGGAACGTGGGCAGATTGGTACAGCTGAGGGCAATAGATGCTGGTGTGATTGAGAATGAGTGGTGATCCTCATGACCGAAGGTGACCCCCTTGGCCGACGCGCAACGGGACGAGAGACCACATTAACGCATGCCTGGGTGACGCCGCAGGCCAGTAGAGTTGAGACAGGCCACCAGCAACCCGGGATGAGAACTGATCCAGAAGATCCGCCATCTGTACGGCATCGTCAATATGTGTGGCGCGCGGGGGTTGTGACGTTTCCAGTCGACTCAGCAGGAAGTGTAAAGCCGTTGCAAGTTGATCGCTGAGCATACGAGGGCCGGCGACCACTTAGGAGCAAGCAAGTGCGCGCCAGGCGACTGCAGACTATCAATCGATGCTTGCTGTGTAACGTGGTAATCGAGACACTCTTTGCAAGCGGTCGGCGGAAGGCGAGGGCTGCAAATGGCGCCCAGTGACCAAGAGACCATGCAAGTGACTGCTGCAAGATAGAGTGCCGCAATTGGGCGCCTATGATGCGAGCCGCGGGCGAAAGTCGATGCCATGTCCGGCGTGCTTACTAGCAGCCGCTCCGGGAGCGGACGTTGCGCAGAGAGGATTGCGTTGGCGGACATTCACGATTGCAACATCGCGGTGAATACGCCGAGGTCTGCAGTGGAGAGAGGTTGATCGGGAACACAGAACGTGCGGAGCGGAACGACAAAATGGCTTGCGCGAGGCAGATCTGGGGCATGCATTCACTTGGCGGCGGCTCTCGCTTATGTAAACTCTCGAATAGGCGGAAGACGCGCCGGACCACAACACCACCTCCTCTGCTGCTTACGCCTTTGTCTCACTGCGTGCATAAAAGAGAGCAACGTGATGCCTTCTATTGCTGATAATAGTGAGAGCATGACCTTCTATTTTTCAACACTCTCCGAAAGCTAATGCAGTTATAGGCGAGCGGCCCACGAGCTTGCGCGACGCAGTGGAAGCTTTGGAGGAAGGTTTGTGTCCTCTCGTGTAATTAGATTCGTTGCTTACAACGGCCTCCAGCGTCCAGAACTCCATCCAAGAAGAGAGCTAAATCCAAGGTTTCTGACGCTATTGATGTTATTTGCCGCCACGCGTTTGACAGAGGGCTTGACGAAGACTCTCTTCGAACTCTAGTCCAGATAGCTGCACGAAAGACACAATTAGACCAAACGAGTGTGGCTACTCTGGTCCAAAACCTGTATCCTTCCCAGCAAGTGTCCGAGGATGTCGTAGTAACCGTCGTTGGGGCACTAGGCCAGGGGAAGGGCAAACCGTCACCGGGAATTCAGAATGGTCTGGTCAAATGGCTCACCTTCGTATACGAAATCCTTGAAGACCCCAGGACATTATCTCGTTTGTATGGGGTGCTTTTTGGAATGCTCGATATGATTAGCATCAGGTGCGCATTTCTTAAATCCGATGTCGCTCGTGCTAAGTTTATCAGGACATCACTGTGTCATCTGCTCTCTCTGATTACGCGGCGGAAGCATGTGAAACCCTTTAGGATTCAACAGCTGTACGTTCATCCCGCTCAGTTCTGAAATTTCACGATTCCCGGCTATTGACGTGATCAAAGACTAGAACTCTCCCGTAGTCTTGGGAACGAACCTGCAATACAAGGCCTACTTCGCATTTACAAGGATTACTATCCTGATATCATTCTCGGAAGTACTGCTACAAGCCGGCGTTCTTTTCCTGCAGTAAGTATCAACTCTCCGCACTCTTGGTACAACTGAATGCGTTTGAAGTTTTATCATGGTTACTGTGGCACTAATTGAACCAATCGCTAATGTTTCTAGCGACCTGACCCTGAATGGCGGGCGAGGATACTTGCAGTTCAAGAAGCTAGCGCTAGAACGAATGAGTCGCAGTCTAAGCAACACAATGGCTTTAGAGTTCTAAGAAAAGGACCGAAGAGGAGCAAGGTGTCGGTTATCCCCGAGGTGCACACATTCCACGCCAATGAGGTAAAGTGTCCGTCAAGATTTTAGGCTATATACCATGCTCACCTAGAATAACAGACGTCTGTGACACTGGAGGAGATTGACACTGTGACAGATTTCGTGGAAAAGCTCGATAGGATCGAGCTTCCAGGACAGCTTATCTCGTTTCTGACGGATCCCCTCCTGCAGAAATACTTGATGCTGAAGCAGTCGGAGAGAGCATCAAGGAGAATCAATCTATGGCTCTCGATATATCTTGAAGAGGAATATGAGGCGGTGAGACGCGGCACTGGTACTTCAGAGTATCTGGGTGAGCTTCTCGCGGGACTACACAAACAGACGCAGTACACAAAGGTAGCCCGGTCCTGTTAACCGTAACCAGAGCGCTTGACTAATTTTGGCCAGACACTATTACCTATTACCTCAACGTTCCTCAAAGCATACTTAATGGTGTGGGACGGCGTTAAGGATGTTGATGCTATCTTTGGCTTGCTCTCATATATTCAGCTCCAGCCATTTGATGGTCAGCCGTCCAAACCTTTGATTGGACAAGAACACGCACTAAGACCTTGCAGATGCGTATAACACCTTTCTCGGCCCTGCAGAGAATGCTTTTGTAGTACAAAGCCCTGAGGCATACTGCAAACTTCTATCCTTCTACACAAACCTTTTGCGCCACTGGATGGCTGAGGCGACTCCCCAGCCTTCTGACCCTATCCAACTTGCAACTGGCTCTCCTGACCAACAGGCTCTTGAAGAACTAGTAGCACACGTCTCCAAGATGTCCTCATCGCTACTCCTTTCTATTCCAACAGCCTCTAACGCTCCTCTGATATCCTCAATCCTCTCATTCTACGAGATCTTGTCGTTCTCCTCTCATCCACGAGTCGTTCCGATCCTGCTTCCGTCCCTACAGCTAGCATATTTCTTAGCGCAGAGCCACGCTCTGGCTACAGTATCACGAACCTACGGCATATATGCGAATTACAAGACAGCGTTCGACAAACATCCTAAGCCTATTCAATCCTATTATCTCGTCTCGGTAACGAACTCATTCAACATGGTCTTGAGGGACATTTACAACTCTCTGTGGGGATCTAAAGCTCTCTTGGCAGTCGAAAGCAAGTCGCATGGATTTCTGTGCATGCCGCCTTTACGAGCTTCTTTTCAAATATATCTTGGAGACCTTGATCATGAGTATGCTGTTGGGCTTGCCTTCGGGCTTTCACACAATGCCTCACTGGCTTCGCTCTCTGCTGCTGCCTGGAGATCCCTAGAAGAAGCTGAGATCGATGATAAAGGATATGACCGAGACTATGTCACCTGGCACACGGGTCCTGTGTCTCAGCGAAAGGTCGAGGTACTGAGTAAGAACGGAGGAGTGTCTGTTTCATGGGACCAGTACCGGATACACGTGCTGAAGTGGATGGCTGATAGAGGGTGCAGTGGCTTCAAAGACTTGTTGTCCGCTACAGTGTCGAATATCAAGGGCCGAGCCTAATCAGAAGGGAACAGTTTCTAGAGAAAGCCTGATTCTTTTGTTGGAGATCCATCCCTTTATTTTGGGAGCTCTGTTGCATCTCTTGTATGGATGATTATCCTGAGGTCTGTCTATGAAGACTGCCACATGCTCCAGTAGTAGTTAGTATGTCCCAAATTATAGAAGAATGCACTCCTGCACTGGCTTGGAAATTGTTATCACGTGATATTACGCCACTCATACATGGCGTTGAAGTTGCGAAATGACGATGCACGGCTCCGGATGTTATCGATAAAGCTCTCACCTCACCTTTACATCAAACTCTCTCAGGCCAAACCCATCCCTACCGCCACAAAGCTCTTACCACCGACAGCGATGAAGAAACTTATTGTATAATGGCTAAAATCATATCGTGCAGCTTAGCGACTGTGCAGCTAGGGAATTCCAGGGTAAGTTCTTGTATTTTCAACGGAGGACGGTTTGTTTGCTTGGAAGCGCTGCCGCTCGGTAACGGAACAGGGCTTTTGGACCACGGCACACTCACTCCATTAGCATACTTCACTCTAACGCGTCTATCGGTACTCAGTCTAGCTTAGCTCTATGCTTAACTTTACTAAGAAAGGCGCTATTGCATTATGTCCTTTCGACACGTAGTGTATCGATAGCCTTGTGGAACAAGGACTAATAATACATTGCTAGTTCACGAAACGAGAAGAGAGACCAGCCCTCAGCACCTGGAGATGTGAACTCACAGCACTTTCTCAAGTGTACAATCTCTACTTCGTTGCCTACAGCGAATATATCTATGTCTACCAGCCAAACTTTCCTGATCAACACTTGGCGGACGAGCCAGACCTAATTCTACATCCGCCAGTATCAAGTCCGAATCTCGAACCTGGGATTGACCCGCTATGTCCTCATTCAATCACTCGAATCCTTATCGATTTCCTCGGAAATGAAGAGATAGTTCTAGTAACCTGCGATGACGGCGACGTGATCGGCTACAGCGTTCCACAAATCCAGCAAGCCGTCGAGAAGCGCGCCGAAGGTCGATGCAGTGAACAGGAACCAGTCGGAGACGAGATCCGGGTCTTCTTGCATCGGAATGTTGAGGGCAGTGCCTGGGGTTTGGCAGTCCACCGGGAGGCCCGCATGATAGCGATCAGTGCGAATACAAAGGTTGTCACTGTGCTTGCATTTGCACTTGCAAGCCCTGAAGAATCCGACTCCTACTTAGATTCTTATATGCCGAAGTAAGTCCTGTGCAGTAATAGCCTGACAGACTTTGATCACTGACTTCTAAGCCACAGTGGGCCGGACGCCTCAGACTTTCCTTACCCTCGACAGCAAGATCACATTTTTACGTTGCCTGCAGAACACAACATTCCTTCTGTCTCATTCGACAATAGCGGAGCCGACTCCACTGGGAGGTGGCTGCTCAGCGCTGTCGTATCTGGCCAAGTCCACTTGTGGGACCTCCACAACCCCGACGCACCAGCTCGAACAATACAGACAGGATTCTGTGCGGGGGTCCATAATCCAAAAGAAGCCCCAGCTGTATGCACCTGCGCTGACGCCGGAGCGCTTCCCCACGCAGCATGGAATGCCATGTTTGTAGATACTAGGTCGTGCCGGAAAACCTACTCCATCCGCGACGCACTTGGATCCAATCCATTGCAGTACACACCCTGTATTTGGGTATCCAAAGCAAGTCTAGAGATTGACTGGAAAAATGGACTTTTAGCCGAGGATTCAAAAATTGACTTCGAGCCTATTACCCCTCATTTCGATAGCGACGATGAAGGAAATGGCAACGGCCACGAAAGTGAGAATGAGAGTGATAAAGACGAAGATCAGGAGATACAAGAGGCTTGGGAAGCTTTCGTAGAACCCGGAAATACACTGGATGATGGGAGTGCGTCTGAAAGCGAGTCGGAAGACGTGGATCACGAAATACCAGACGCTGCAGAGGATGTCGGAGAGCCTGGGGAGGACGAAGATATTTTCGCGAGTGGCCTAGAAGCTGAGGTTCAGGAGGCACCACAGGCCGCCGAAGGTGTTTCTAGCCTCCAACAGGACGAAGCTATCTCTGAGAGCGGATCGGAAGAGGAAGGGGAGTCTCAAACCGAACAGCAGCTCAGTGTCTCGGGACTTGGATTCCAACAAATGGTCGAGGCAACACTCCGACAGCCAACCACGGTCAAAAGGTCATATTTCAAATTGAAAACAGAGCCAGGTCCACGGCAACCAGCACCAAAATGTCCGATAATCATTATCACCAAGGAAGACGTTTATCTCGTTCAGCTCTTCAAACCCCCTAACAGGAGCATCATGTATGACCGCCGAAACGATCCTGTCATCGCCGCTCGCAATCCGCTCTTCGTCAACAATGGTGACCCATATACCCAGAAGCAGTGTGACCGCCTTTGCTTCGCAGCACAAATCCCCGAACTGGGCATTTTCATCGTCGGCTCGCCACTCGGTCGCGTCGCCATTTTCCGTCTCACGCAATTTCAAACCCAGCACGAGGGCCGCCAAGATACTGTGTATGGATTCAGACAAGAATACCTGATACCCGCGACGAACAGATTGGGTCATGTTGAGGCGACGCATAACCAGCTTGGCAGGCTGGTGGGTATGGCCGTGAGTCCCGTGCAGGGTATGTTGGACTTGCCAGCCGAAGAGGTCGAGGAAGAAAAGGAAAACCCAAAGCTTAGCGCAGAGCAGAGGACGTCAACCGCTGGTGGTAGGAGGTGGCGGCTCATGCTTCATTATTCGAGCCACACTGTGCTGACGTATGATATTGGGAAGTTCCAGGAAGAGGAAGAGACTAGTCTGGGAGCCCTTGTGGTTTGAAGGGAAACAGGGGCAAAGTGGGCAAAACGAAAGCATTGGGTAATTGGACTTGACTTGGACTGCGGCGCATGCTTCTGGATCTGGAGCTGGACTAAAGCTTGGGTTTAGCGCACAGATTGGGTGACTTCTGGGAGAGTGTTCATTTCCCTTCGTTGGACGCTGTAGGTGGGCATGGCATTGCATGGTAATTGGACTTCTTTCATTTGCATCACGGTAGCAGTATACCCTCTTTTAGCGCGAGGGAGCATAGCAGGAAGTATTGGGGGACACCACGCAATTTGAACTCGTTGTTAGCGCCTTTTTGGCTCGGTCGGGAGAATCCGGGTATCCCACAACCAATTATGAGGATGTTCATGTATGTCTCTAGCTCATTTCTAGTTTCCGGGAGCGGTTCTCTAGGATGCTCTCATCTGTCCTCAGTTGGGCAATATCATACTCCTATCAGATTCTTCATGTGTCCTGGATTAACTTCGGTCAGAGGGGTAGGTAAGGAAGCAACCAACATCATAAGAAACAGACGAGTTAGACAATTGGAGTCAAATCACGCACCCAAAACAAGAGATTACTTCATCCCTTACGAAAGTGATATTTCCCGTCCGCGGTGACCCGGACGGCATTATATCTTTCTACCAGAAAGAAAGAGAATTTACAGGACCGATTTCTAAATCCTGTTCTACCAGCATGAAAATCTTTGAGGACCAATAAACCGGTATCGACTAGTAATGAACATCGAAAAGTGTGGGCCATTTATAGATCCTTCAGACCCCGATCCAGAAACGCCATTTAGTGCTTTGCGGTAACCTTGTCGCCAGTGAGCTTTTCGACAGCTTCCTTGGCGCTGTTCAGGAGTTAGCGGGTACTTCTAACGGTAGGTGGGCGGGAGGGAAGGCGGGGACGTACATATCACCCAAAGCAACCATGCAAACCGTCTGCCAAACGCCAAGACCAATTCTAGGAGTAACTCCACGATACAACCCCTTTAGACCGTTATTCGCGTAAATGTATCTTGCCGTCTTACCGACGGTGAGGTTCTTGGGACGGTTGGGATCCTCCGTCTTGCTCTGCATTTCGACTCGGATGACCTCGATGGGCTGATTCCAAGCTGACAATCCACCACCGAGCGCAGATGCGATGATCTTCTCCATAACGCCCAGCTTTTCGCCGTGCTCCTTGCCAGTGACTTTTCGGATTCCAGTCTCGGCAACTCGGGATAGACCGAAGCGAGATCCCCAGTTGGAGACTTGACGGACAGCAACGGCATTTACGCCCTTGTTGATGCCGCGGATACCTTCCCGACGCCAGATGTCCATGAATGTCTCCATGGTGCCCGGAGGCTTCATGCCAGCAGCAGCAACCTTGTGTTTTGTGATTTCGACCGTCTTCATACAGGTGCAGAAGCCCATGGTAGCGTAGGCTTGGGCGAGACCGCCCGTCATGCCTCCGGTGATACCGGCGACGAAGTCAGGAGCACCAAAGCTTTTCGCATAGAATTCGGCTTCGGAGGCGACGAAGAGCAGCACGGCGCCCTTCGTTGAGGCTTCGATCCAGGCCTAGCATCTGCAGTTAGGTTTGCGGAGAGGGTGGTCGTGCGCAGCGGCTTACCCATGGGATCAGACCTTGGTAGACTACATGTCATACGTTAGCTAGATTGCCCAAAGTCAAGCTCCTTTCAGGCCTGCAATCCGCCGAATATCACCGAAGACAATGTCCACCGCGAGTTTGGGCTTCGGGGGTTGGGCTCCGTGCTGGAAGCGTCGGACGTATGATAATGAGGAGACTCACATCCAAGGACTCCTCCACGACTCCAGACCCTCGCCAAGGCGCCCGCAAAGCCATCAGACCTGTTGGCAGCCATTGTGGTCTTGACCACCTCCAATGGCTGTTATCCGGCCTCGATCAGCAAATGTATCCTTTCGCCTATTGTACGCTCCGAGGTGTGCATTTACCTGTCCCAAAGTAGTCACCCTGAGAACTTGTCAGCCCCGATTGGACCATTTTTGTCGGACAACACTTACTCGAACATGTTCAGTCCAGCTCCGACTGCATTAGAAACATCGGTCAGCTTCCACTCACAGCCGGGGATACAGATGTGGGCGATAAGACTCACGCAGCAGATTGCTGAACTTCACAGGCTTCTTCTCTAGCTTCGGAGGTGCAGGAATGCCTGCGACTGTTGCGGTGGGTGCGGACATAATCTGGGAGTATTGTCTCGATAAGGGCCCTGACCAAGGGAATAGGGTGCTTCTTCGCAGAAAAGGGAGAGAGAGAGGGGGGGGTGTTGTAGAGAGATTGCGGCGAGAGACGGGAGAGGTGGTGTTGTCTTATGCGACGAAATGTTCAGATGTGGTCGTAGCTTTGGAGCGCTCGACGGGCCTTAGTGAGAAACTTGGTTGACGCGCTAGTCGGGGAATGGTGAATTGCTTCTTTGGACCTGGCCCGCCAAGCACCTGCCCGAGCCACAGTAGGACACAGCAGCGATGAGCAAAAGGTGTCGGATACCGGTGAGTTGTGATTTGATGTCAACTCCAATGTTTACCCGTGGATGCCCGCTCCAGCTCCTCAGGAAGAAGCAACGACACCATAACTTCCACAAAGCCAAGATAATGAAGGTATGTGCATTATTCCCGTCATTCAGCGACCCAGCGCCTTGCCTGCGCCATGACACCGCCAGGCAAGACCCTTCGGCCAGTGTGTTGGGATGGGACCCGCGCGCCGCGGCTCCCCAAAGACAAGCGCACGTGCTGTCAACACTCAACAAGCCGGCGGCGGCCATCCTCACCCTCACCGTCTGTCACGCCAAGTACCGTTCCTGCTGACACACTTCGAATCCCTCCGCTCACCGCCGCCGGATGGTGGAGAGATCCCGAGTATTTTTCTTCAGCGTAACCGTGCTCAATCAAGCCACCTAAGTCGATATGCAAGCCAAACCCGAGCCATGCATCGGTTGCCGACATACCGTCTCTTATCGAACCGCGGATATGCGGACTGTGTTGCTGCGGGACACAAGGGAATTCTAGGGACAATCGCATTTATTGTCTAATGGAGCCTCTTCCGATGTCAAAAAAGGAGGCTTGACGGTCCATGGTGAACACGAATTGCATGGGTGTGGAGCCCTGTGGCGCAAATTCGGAAATGACATCAGCATTCAGGAACTGAAGGTTATTCATAGAATCTCCGAACCAAAAATGGCAACTTTTGATTTTGGAATGCATGGTATTGGTGACAAGATGTAGGCTGAAACGGCAGTACTACAACGAAGACATTCAAAACGATTGAAGCTCGGAGTGTGCCAAACACCAAAAATATACGCAGCCTATACCTACAGTTCCCATTCTATCCGTGAGGGGTACATAGAAATTCTTTTCAGTCTAAATCAAACCATGTCACCCTTCTCATTGGCCCATTCACTAACCTCGCGGCTATTTTACAATGTAGCGCCGACAAGCTTGGCATAGGCCTCAGTGCTGAAAGACTTGGGCCTCTCGATAGGAGCACCGACGGCACGGTCGATGATGAGCTGAGGAAGGACACCAAGTGCGCGGGAGACTCCGAAGAGGACAGTGTAGTAGTTCTGCTCAGTGAGGCCATAGTATTGGAGGAGAACGCCGGAATGAGCGTCGACGTTGGGGTAGGGGTTCTTAGTCTTGCCATGCTCGGTGAGCACACCCGGGGCTATTTTATAGACCTGGCTGACAAGCTTGAACATTGGGTCATCGGGGAGATGCTTCTGTGCAAATTCACGCTGGGAGACGTAGCGGGGATCGGTCTTGCGGAGGACGGCGTGGCCATATCCAGGTACGACTTGGCCGGCCTTAAGCGTAGACCAGAGGTAGTCCTTGATGGCTTGGTCGCTGAGGTCGTTGCCAATGGCCTTCTTCATCTTCTGCAGCCAGACGAGCACTTCCTGATTGGCCCTAGAAAGAATTAGCAACCACTCATGCAGGAAATGTACACCGGGAAACTTACAATCCGTGAAGAGGACCGGCAAGGCCATTGAGACCGGCAGCTAGGGACAGGTACGGAGAGCTGAGAGCGCTGCCGACCAAGTGGGTAGTGTGAGCGCTAACGTTGCCACCCTCATGGTCAGTATGGATGGTGAGGTACAACCTCATCAACTCGACGAAGTCCTTGTTCTCGGAGAATCCGAGCTGGTTAGCCAGATTGAAGCCATAGTCCTGATCCTTCTGGATAGGAGCAACGTTGCCATCCTTGTAGATATTGCGGTAGATCTTAGCGGCGATGGTTGGGAGCTTAGCAATGAGGTCCATGGCGTCCTCGAAGGTGTGCTCCCAGTACTGCGACTTGTGCATTCCCTTAGCATATGCCTTGGCGAAGTTCGACCCATGCTCGAGAGCAGTGACAGCGATGGAGAACTGAGCCATTGGGTGGAGGTCGTTGGGGCAGCGATCGATCAATTCCTCGACGAACTTCGGGACAGCGGAGCGGGCAGCCCATTCAGCAGAGAGGTCACGGACCTGCTGCTCTGAGGGAACCTCACCAGTGAGAAGAAGCCAGAAAAGACCTGGATCAATAAGCGGGAGCCCACGATGGAAGCAATATTGTCGTACCTTCTGGCAACGGCTCCGCGCCGCCGGGGGCCTTGGGGAGGACCTCCTGGCACTCGGGGATCTTCCGAAAGTTAGCAGTTCGTTCAGTCTGGAAGCCAGGTTGTATCACGCACAGTTTTGCCGCGGAACCGAATACCCTCTTCCGAATCTAGGACGGATCCCTAGCAACTGTAAGCCTATCCATTGGGCCGTGCGTAGTGATTGCGGCCACCAACCTCCCAGACGAGCGACTTGATACCACGGGCACCGCCATAGACCTGATCGAGAGTGACCTCGCCGACGACCGTGCTACCATGCTCTCTGTTTCGATGGGCCATTAATACTGAGGAGCAGGAACGGGCGGATGTGCGACTGTGCCTACTTTCGGAGCTTCTTGATCTTCTCGATCTCCCCGGGGAGCTTGGCGGCGAAGGTCTCCTTCAACGACTGTAATCGGCACAGTTAGATGATTTTCCACGCAGAAGGAGGCGTCTCTCGCACCTGTGTCTTGCCGGTAGAGTAGCAGCGCAGGCCATTGGAAAGGGCAGCAGATCGCCAGGGCGCGGCGGAGGTGAACAGGGAAGAGCGCAGGGCGCGGGAACCTATTCGCAGAGAAGAGGCCATCTGGAATAGGATTGGGGAGGGGAAGGGGAGGGTGGAAAGGAAATGGGAGAGTGAGGATGGGCTGGGAGGGTGTGAGGTTGTTGAAAAGTCTTGTAGCGAGCTGGGGGGGAAAAAGAAGTGTTTCGTTGGAGCTCATCAAATCCCGAAGCATGGACCACCTCCGTCATTCAGCGCTCCCAACGAGGCCAGCGGGAACGTTTTCGCTGGCCGCCGTCGCCCGGAGTTGGGTGGCTCTCCTCCCAAAAGCCGACGGGTGTGCAGCAGCAAATTGAGATTTGTGAACGCGGTGCCAACCTCAGCACCCACTCTGTGCAGGGACGGCATGATTTCGAACAGCCTTGCAATGGTCTCCGAAAATCGACCATTTCCGCTGCGTGGGGCCAGCCGTCAAGATCTTGTCGCGGCCTGCATGCTCTGATTGCTCGAGCTTAAACTTGCATCTGCAATTGGCACACTTTTTCTGGCACTTGGAGGTCCAGTGCCACACGTGATCAGATGCCTCGCTTAGCTCAGACTTAGCCCAGGCACGCTTACCTTCCTTTGCGACGCCGAGGCCCTTCAATGCCAACACCAGCACCGCACCTGCTCTCTGGCTCTCACCACGGCGGCATCTCCTGAGCGTAGAATCCCACCACCATCGCCGTTCATTTCACTGTTTCTTTTCGTTTTGGCGCCAGCTCGTCGCGACTCGTCCTTGACCGTGAATTACAGCGCGCCTTGACCTTCGCCTGAGGGCAGCCGCATCCTGTAGTGTGAGAAGAAAAACTGCCAGCTCCCAGTACTTCAACACCGCGACCCGCCACTCCACCGCGGACTTGCTCCCCCCATCTCGTACAACCCACAGTACTGCAGTACCACCTAGACCTTCCTACGTCCGATCTTGACCAGGTAGATCGAGTTCAGGCTGACGTGTTTGCCTTCGTCCCTGCCTCTGAAGCGCTCTGCGAGTCTTTCTGCGCAAACCCGCAGCATTTTCTTTGCTTTGTCGTCGCATCTGATATCTGGTACACCTAACCTAGCCATGTCAGCCATGGAGGAGCTGGGCGCTCTGCTGCAATCGCTGCAGACCCTGAAGCCGCCCGGTGTTACCAAAACAAAAATTGAAGCCATCACCGCGGTTTGCGTCCAGAACGTTCAGGTATGCCGGCTCTGCGGCCTTTGGTTCTCTCTATCGAATTAATACTAAGCCCTTCCTCTACCATGTAGTCCGATTCCACCGTCGTCCAGAATATCGTCCACCAGTTCAAGAACAGCCCCGCTACACATAAGCTGGGTGTACTTTATGTTATAGACTCGGTGACTAGACAGTGGGTGGAGAAGGCTAAAATAGCTGGCCAAGCCGTCTCCAGAAATGCTGCTCCAGGAACTTTTGCTTCGGGCGTGCAGAACGTAACGGATGCACTCCCCGCTCTTATGAACGATCTTGTCCAGTGTGCCCCCCGCAATCAGAAAGAGAAGATCTCGAAATTACTGGACATCTGGGAGCGTGGACAAACATTTCCGCTAAACATGCTCGTCGGCTTCAAGCAGCAGCTAAACAGCCCTGCTAAGAGTAAGAATGGCTTTCAATCATCTTCCCATGCTTTCCTTCGTTATGTGACTCTTTCTCGCTCTTTCTCGCTCTTTCTGACTCTTTCGTATCTCAGATGGTCATACCCCTCCCGGTAGCCCTCCAAAGGGCCATACCATCGCTGGTGTTCCAGCTTCCGGACCTTATGCAACTGCCCAAACTGGTCTTTCAGCGCCATCTGCGGTAGACCCGGGTTCTATTCTCGCTTCGCTTGCGAATTTCGGGCAGCAAAACCCCTCCAGTGTCGGTCTAACTAACTCTGCACCTGCAGCCCCACCTGCAATGCCGTTCCTTCAGAATATAGCTCCACCCCCGCCAGGATTCGTGCCACCTCTTCCATTGGCGACAAATGGACAACCTGCACTTCCTCCCCTTCCAATGGGTGGTAATGACTTGATGAATCAGATTCTTCACGCTATAGCGAGTGGCATGATTCCGCCTGATCAAGCAGTGCACGTATTGGCTGCTCTGACGACGAACCAATCAAGCGGCCCCCCTCTCATCCCACCTTCCTCACAGCCGCCAGCCGCAGGCATCGCGCCGCCGGTTGCTCCCAACAGTGCCCAATCTAATCGATTTGAACAGGATGGTAGTAGGTATCGCGACCGTAGCCGCTCACCTGACTATAATCGTCGTCGCAACTCTCCCCGTAGATCACCGCCACATCGTCGCAATAGTCCAACATATGATGCATACGATCCGGCTACCCGGAATGAAGCCAACACTTCACATCGCAGTGAGCGTAGCAGAGGCCGTGGTAGGCATCGAAGCCGTAATGAGTTTCGCCAGCGTACGCCTCCACCACCACCACCACCACCACAGCGAAGACAGTCTAGTCCAGGCGTGACTGCTGCTCGTCACGGGCAGCCAAAGTTCCTAGAATGGGATAGAACCTTGCCCCGTGATAACATTCGAGTTCTCAGCCGCACCTTGTTCGTAGGTGGTGCCGGCGGAACAGAAGGTGAGATACGAAGCATCTTCAGTCGATTTGGAAAAGTTCAGACGTGTATTGTCAACCAAGACAAACGCATTGCGTTTGTGAAGATGGTCAACCGTGTCGACGCTGTTTCTGCCAAAGAGGGTATGGATAAGATGCAAGACCAAGACGCCTTGGCAAAGGCTCGCCAGGTAAGGTTGATAGGCGTGCAACAGCGGACAGCTACTAATGATCAAGCAGACACGCTGGGGTGTAGGCTTTGGTCCTCGAGATTGTAGTGACTACGATAGTGGTGTTAGCGTGATCCCAATTAGTCGACTGACGGATGCCGACCGCAAATGGGTCTTGACAGCAGAGTTCGGCGGAACTGGTGGCCGAGCTCTTGAGGGAGGAATGGTCATTGAAGAGCCTGATATCGAGATTGGCGCAGGGGTCTCATCTAAAGGCAAGCAGTTTTTACCATCGCCTGAGTAACGCTAACCCACTCCTAGCTATTAGCCGTCGTGTCCCACCAGATGGAGGACGACGCGGAGGACATGGGTTTGGTTCTCGAGGTGGTGGTTTCGACAATGGTCCACGCTTCCGTAAGGACAACCGTCCACCAATCCAACAATCCCGTCATATCACACCACGTGCCGAGGTTACCGTAGCTGTTCCGCCAGCTGTCCCTGGCTTTGGCTTCCAACTACCAGGGATGTCTGGATTTTAAATGACTTCGAGCTAACCCGACGAGCTCCCGATACAGAGTAGAGGTAGTCTTTGTATACATGAGACCCTACTCGCGCTGTAGACTTTTTTTTTTTTTTCCCTCTCAGATCACCGGTTTGTTAACTCGCAGTTGCGAGACCACTCCAATTTGCGGGTCCCAGCCCCTACGATCACGAAAACTGTCCATTTCCCTCCATGCAAACTTTCTTTCTCTATCTCTGGGAGGCCAGTGTGCAGCATAGCTCAGTAGTTAGCGAGGCGGCTGGTTCTGCTTTCCTAAGCCTTCCCTAATTCAATGCATTGCATGGCGTTGTGGACGGAGTAGTAAGGATAAGCAAGCAACTATGAAAATCCGGTGGCACCTTTCGGGCCAAATTTCTAGGCTTTTACTTTCAATACATTGGATCAGATCCGATCGGATTGCGGTAACCCCCTACCAATTTTACCCCCTTAATTCGAGTAGAGACACTCGAAGATATATTCATGTAGTTATTACGATTAGGCATTCTCAAGGTTTGCATTTTCTGTGCGAGTTGTGGGATAGCTGTGTATTTCTAGTAATGCTGAAACTGCTTTTATACGTTCAATTCTGACGATCTTGGGCCACTGATGGAGTGCCTTGAACGTGATCTCAATACATCATGTGTGGCGATTGAAAAATAAGGGCAGTTCGCGGGTTGAAACATATCTCAAAAAATGACCTATCATAATCTGCACAGATCGGGCTAGTCACTTGCCATCAACTTCTTCCAGCCTCAACCCTCAAGCCCTTTCCCAAGCCCTTTCCCAAGCCCTTCTCCTTCATTTCCTCTTCCTCCCCTCCCCCTTCTTCTGCGCACCCGTTGTCTTCGCCTCCCCCTTCTCCTTCCCCGCCACCTTCGCTTTCCCGTCCTTCTCCTTCTCTGCATCCGGCGCCCCCTCAACCAACATATCCGCCTTCTTCTCCTCTCCCTCCTCGTCATCCCCACCCTGTCCAAACTCATTAATCCTAGAATAATCCACCTTGTACACCCACGTCTGATACAAATAAACAAAGAAAATAACATCATCTCTCAGTGTAGCTAGCCGATGCAACGTCGGCATTTTAATCGTAAACGCGAATAAATCGTCAATAAAAGTATTCAGGAACTTGTACGTCATTGCTCGGCCTGGCATGTGCGCGACAGATTTAAGCCTGTAGTTGATGTACAGCGATGGCACCATCATTAAGAAGCCATAGGCGTAGACGGAGCCCACGAGCGTAGTGATGATGAACGAGTACCAAGATTTATGGGATTCGTATAGCAAGGAGTATATAGCGTAGGCTAGGAGCAAGGGAACAGCGACCCAGTACAAATACTTGAAGGCAATTTGGTCGTATTCCTGTGTTTTTTTCTCCGTTTCGGAGAGGATGTGTTTGTCCTCGAATTTAATAGTGTAGGGGAGGAAAGAGCCGGGGGAAGTGGGGCGGATGCGGACGTTTACGGTTTTCGTAATTTTCCAGGCTTCAATAGCGATGCCCATACCCTGGCCGAAAAGGATCATCCAGGATGTGTTTTCGTTGTTGTCCATGAGGTAGAGGAAGATGATGCTCTGCATGAAGACGTTGGCCATTATGGTGCGGAAGGAGGTGCCGACGTTGTCTTTCTTTTTGCGCCAGTGGGAGACGTCGTTTTTGAAGGCGAGCATTTCGAAAAACATGTGCAGAACGGAGACTACGGCTGTGATGCCGAGAAGGTAGGTGTTGCTGTCGATGAGGATTTCTTTGAACAATTCCATTTCGGTGCCGTCGCCGCCTGTAGGGGAGGGCTTGCCGGCTGCAGCTGCAACGGCTTGGGAACGCATGTTTTCTTCCATAGAGGCATAAAGGGAGAACTTCCAGTTGCTGAGGTTGTTGAGCTTGACGTTGATGGGGAGCCGAGTAACGGTGGAGTTGAGTTCGGTCATGTGCTTCTTCAGCTGCCAGAAGGTGTTGGTGAACAGCACGGGGTAATACCATCCATGTTGACCGGACGCATCTCTGGCGCCAGTTCCTTCCAGTTGGAAGAAAGACCTGGGGCCTGGGTGCATCACCGGGTAGTTAACGACTCCAGAATCAGGGATTAGGGAGATGGTGAAGTTGGGATGATAGTACGAAGCAATAACTTTGGGCGCCTTCGCTTCCTGCGCATCCTGTTCAAGATCGTCTGCGCTGGCAAGTAAATTACGAGTCTTCGCTACTTTCTTCTTGGGCAGATACGTTGTCAAAGGGCGGACGAAATGGTAGGCCTTGGAGATATCATAGCCGATGGCGGTGGGGTCGGGGACGGCACCACTCTGAGCAACATAAAAGTGCGCGAACAGGGTCGCATTCTGCTGGACCGAACTGGGGACAGCGAACTCGGCATGGATCTCCCGATTATCTTTCCAATCACCGAATTTGAACTTCTTCTCTTCGATAAGGAGAGAGTCCTTGGGCATCGACTTCAGCGCGGGCATCACCAGGGACGGCGAGATGTACATGAAGATATCCAGCTCAGTTCCAACTGGCCACATAGGCGCGATGTTCTGCGGAATGGGTTGGTACTGCGCACCGATGTCCAAGCTATTAGGGCGGTCGGAATAAGCAGGAATCTGAACAGTTGTGCCTGCGACAGCGGCGCCTTTCGCGGGGTCTGCATTTTGGGGTTGAGCCTGGGGGAGGAACGTCTTGGTAGCGAATTGGATGAGGAAGAAGATCCCCACACTCTGGATGAGCGTCTTCACGAGCTATACAGCGAAGATAGTCAGCAATCGCACGACGGAGGAGGGAAAGTTGCGGCGCGAAAAGAAATGGAACCTACACTACTCCCGGCGCCCTGCTGCTCTTCCTGTCGTACCTCAGGCATGGCTCTAGTCTGGCAAACCGAGATGATACTCGGAGTTGGTGCCGCAAACGAGAAGTTTGTGATGGAAGGTAGGCGGCCGAGGGGCGGCGGACGGCGGAATATGTTGCAGTTTCGCTCTGAAATCGTACGCCAAGGGCGAACTAGTCGGAACTAGCTTGACGGGCTGCAAGTGTTCGCGGCCGTTCATTTGCGCCACGAGGAGCGGCTTATGATGCAACCGGGACAAGGGGTTTGGCACTTGGTGTGGTGGATAGGGCGTGGCCGACGACATTAACTGTCCGTGTGGAAAAAAAAAAAAGCCACTGCCTCTGACTATGACTGGCCCTTGGTAGCGTATAAAGAAGCCACGCTCCTTGCTATACACTCGTTTCGATCTTGGAATCTTTTTCTTTTTTTGTTCCATCATTTCCACCAAGCTTCTGAATCCAGTCCTTACGCAACGACCCCCACCATGACTTCGGCTTCAACACAGAATCCCGCTTCGGCGGGGAAGCAACCCGTAGTCTGCGTATTGTGAGTCTTGCCCCTGAAGCCACCTTATTTCGTTTGTCTTGTTGCTAATTGACATCTCTTTAGCTGCGGTGCCTCTGCCGGCACATCCCCCGTCCATGTCGCTGCAGCCCGGGAACTGGCCCGGGCCCTGCACGCCAACAACATTAAAGTAGTTTATGGTGGAGGTACCGTTGGCCTGATGGGTGAAATCGCCCGTACTCTTGTTTCCCTCTCTGGTCCTTCGTCTGTACACGGCATCATCCCCAAGCCGCTGGTCAAGTACGAGCAGAATCACGACCCAGACGACCAAACCGCACACACCATCGACGAGAAATTATATGGCAAGACAACTGTAGTCAAGGACATGCATACGCGGAAGCAGATAATGGCGAAGGAAGTGATTGAGGGTGGGCCCGGCGGGGGGTTCGTTGCGCTGAGTGGAGGGTACGGCACGCTGGAAGAGCTGATGGAAATCACGACTTGGAACCAATTGGGAATCCATAGTATGCCAGTGGTGGTATATAATGTAGATGGCTATTGGAATGGACTGATTGAATGGGTTAAGAATGCCGTCCGTTCTGGCTTCATCGTGTCGACCAACGCAGGAATATTGAGCGAAGCACTGAGCGCTGAAGAAGTGATCACATGCTTGAGAGAGTATCAGAATGCGGAGGGGAGATTTAACCTAACGTGGGAGCAACAATAGGTCATTGGCAACGGTAGGCTGGTGCGGCTCCTTTGCGGGTGACAGGTTTCCTATGACAAATGAATTTATGGCGAAAGACACGCACTAGAACATGGCTATTGTTATGGGTTGTTTAAAATTGAGCTAAGTACAGCATTGGCGTAACGGCATGTATTCTTAGCCAGAGAATTTACTTAGCGAAGATCAAGGGCAACCACTGCATCGCCAATGCGAATTTCTTTATATGGAAAGCCGTAAACGATATACTGATTCCACACACAGGTCTGCAGGAAGATATTAAACGTGGTATGCGTAAGACAACATACACTGCTAAGGCTTGCATTGGAATTACCTTTGTACTTGCTCCTTCCCTACTCCAATGAAACGTCTTAGACAGCAGTATATCTAGTCTAATATCTTACAAACTTTAGTATTAAAGATGCCGCGAGTATCTTTAATCAGAAGTCGAGGCTTACAGGCTGCGTTTAAGAGACTAGTACGAAGGTTCTTTCGGTATAGCACTAAGTGTTTATTCCCCATTAAACGATATTAGATTTGCAAAGGCAGGAAGAGAGTTCTGTACATGTGCTACGAGGTGTGCAGGAAGCTGAATGTAGAACAAACTACCTATTCAAGTGTGTCAAAAAAGTGACCTCTAAGATGTGCATGATGGATCTACAGCAGACAGTATGTGGAAAGAAGCTCGGGATCTAAAACTAACATCGAGAGATTCGGGTAGAGAATCTCAAGGTACGGCAATGGTAGTAACAGTAGTATTTGAAGAAGGCTCTAAAACTTAATTGATAGACAGGCCGTTAATATATCTGTCACGAACGACAATTCTCAAGTCACACAAGCACTTTCCGACAAATCCTGGATCTTCACACCTCTATCCCACTTCACGAAACCCCACCAACCCAACCTCTACTCTCGTTACAATTTCCACCCCTCCCCCTCCTATACCCCCCTACTCTTCGTATGCCATCTTCAAAAACTCTCCCGCCGCCGCATACACATCCGCCCAGCATCTCCTATCATCGAAACCCAATCCCAACCCCACCTCCACACACCCAATCCACTCTCTCAACTCCTCAAACCCAGTCTCCAAAAGATATGCTTCAATCCTCGCTTCCAGTTCACAGTCCCCATCTACATCCCTCAAATGCCACTTCCGACTCCAACGCTCTGATTCCGTAACATTAGTCATGCCCCGCATTCCGCACTCGATGCTTTCAAGTCGGTTGTCGGGCAGCGAATATAGGGCGGCCATCATGTTGTATTTAGCACAGATGGAGTTCACAGTGTCGAAGTCAGAGAGAAGGTTTGCGGCGAGGGATTGGCGTGCCGAAGCGGCGGATACGCAGGTAGTACCTGATTCTGCGAGCAAGGTTTGGGAGATAGCGCGTCCCGTGCCAATTGGAGCATTTGCACTGAAAGCAGTGGCCGGAGTAGTGGATATCGGGGTTTTGGCAAAGAGTTGGAGATGGATGGGTTCAGGGGTATTTGCGAGGTCAGAGAGGAGTGGGACGAAGAAGAGCTGGTCTTTTAGGATGAGATCGGCGTATAGGACGCTCAGGAGGTAGTCTTTGGGCTACGTCGTTAGTATGTATTAGCCTTAGAGTAGTGAAAGATGCGGTCATACTAAGATCTGCATCACTCCATCCAAGCTTAGCCTGAGGGTATATAGTAAGCTCATTGGTGTTTCCTCCCACACTGGTGTCCTCGCGCTCGCCACCCTCAGAGATGCTGCTGCGGCTGCTGCATGAGGATAGCGGTGGCAGTGCCGCAATGATCGGAACTTCGACGTCGGTGGGAAACGTCAGTATCTTGCCCGGGAAGTGGTCCGGGAGATGGATATGGCCGTTCCGTGACTCGAGATCCTCGTTGTGAGTGATCTCCTGGTTGCCATAGAGATCGAGAATAGAATCTGAAGACATGGTGACCGTGTGTTTAGGCTATGAAGATGAAGAGCTGAAGAATTCGGATGGACAACGGGGAGAGCTAAAACAACGCAGGGGTAATGCTTAGATGGCGCCTACAATCTTGATCGTTGGGGGTTCGCTGAAGAGGAGAAGTTGGGTGTGCGGATAAGATATCAAGGCCAAGGGATGCCAGGTGAATGAAGCTTCAGAAGGAAGATATACAGGATACCGGGGTCGTGATTTGTTCGCAGAATACTTGGATTTGACTGTGGGCAGAAGGGGACAGAGGAGAGAGACCACAGCTAGTAGGTGCTGTTTTTATAGAAAATTACAACGCACAATATGTGTGGGGGTCGGAGTGAATGCCATAAGGGAGGGCATCGTTCACGCTTCACCACTGCCACCTGCGTTGTAAGTCAAGGTGGGTGCAGACAACCTTGGAACGTCCACGCTCCCGCCTGCGCAAACGCCGTGATAAGAGGGAATTCTCAACACCTATTCAGTGGCTGCAAAAGGCTCTTCGAGAGAAATGGACACGTCCTGGAGGTCAGCAGAACAAGAGTAAGGGATGGACGCCCAGGTAAAAACATATTGCTCCAAACAAGACTTCAGCTTCCATTCAAGTCACAATTGAGATCAGACGCACTGGGTTCCGATCTGCATAGTCTGATCTCTTCCGTAATAATGTACAATTCTCAGTGCGATGCGTAAATGTTGCGTTTTCTGATATGCACTGGTTCCTCGCCCTTTGGCGTATCTGGTATCACCTTCTCCAATTTCTGTAACTATTAGGCAACGCTTAAGACAACATGATACATCTATACACACCAGCTTATCGAACACGCATTTGTTCAGCTTCCGCTCCGGCGCTCGGCAATTCCATAGCTGTTGGTTATGATTCTCCAAACACTGCCAGTGACTGCGGAACTCGTCCAAACAGTTCTCGTTGAGGTCCTTAATACTACAACACTAGTTAGCCACAGCTGGACCGCATGACATGACCGTGGGGACCTCGTACACGCTCGCAGCGCATCTCGTGACCTTGCGGCCTTCCTTCATGCAATCAAACTCTCCCCGACCGTTTGCCTCGGTCTTGCACATCATGTAGTCATCATTATAGGCTTTGCATCGTGCACCAATAAAGAAGGAGGCACTCAAGAGGGGTGCTGAGCTGGCCCCGAGCTCCTTGACTTTAGGGATGTGGTCGGGTAGAGGGGTCGTATCATAGAGGGCTTGCTGATTGAATCTGCGCTCAATTAGGTCGCGGACGCCGTTCAATAAGCGCGAAATGTAAGTACCTGGGCTGTCGTGCCGACATTTTGAGTTTCGTGGGCCAATGGCGGGGAGGGTGCCACCAGTGTGAATTGGTGGTGGGAGCTGGTTCAGAGGTGAAGTCGAGGATGATCGCCAAGATAGTGCACGAGCCGCATTGCGACTGGCTGAATGGACCTGGAGCTGTTCCTTTACTTGAGCAGCCTGCTTCGCACTTTTCTCTGTCCCATCGTCCTCCGCACCAGGAAACCCCCTTCGATCCTCTTAGTTTCAAATTTTCAGAGGCTACTGGTCCTTTCCGGCAACTGCTCCCTTCTGTGGTGTTCACGATCCTCGAACTGCGCGTGGTGAAAGCGCGTCAAAACAAAGGCTTCACGCATCTCTCGACACTCCTGCACAAAGCATTGTTTTCGCCGGTATAAAAGAATATATCGCCGAGCCCTAATACCTCCCCACTTCCGTCAACCCACCAAACTACACCTGTACCATACTATTAGCATGTCGGGGTTTAACTTTGGCAATCCGAATCCCAATCCAGAAAAGAGAACGGGCACGCTGTTCGGCAGCACCATCGGTCCACCGGGCGGTCTCTTCGCCCAAAGTCAGCAGAACGCTGCTTCCCAACCCGCCCCCAGTCTCTTCAGCTCAACTGCGGCTCCACAGGCCGGCGCTGGCCAATTTCCAATGTCGCAGCAAAATCCCGGCTTGTTCGGTGCGTCTCAGCAGCAGCAGCAGCAGCAGCAGCAGCACCACATGTCGAATAATAGTATCTTTGGGGGGAAGTTGCAGCCCGCCCCCATGCTCCCAACCCTGCAGCAGCAACAGCTTCAGCAGCAACAGCAAGGACTGCCTCAGCTGAGGCAATCTAGCGCTTCGCCCTGGCCAAATACTTCGATCAGCGGCCATAGTACGTCTACCTTGTCTCTTCCCCTCACATATGTTGTTGACACTTGATGCAGGAGAAAAGTCGGTTCAGGACCAAATAACTACTCTCTTCACCAAGTGGAACCCGGCTAGCCAAGACTGCGCGTTCGGCCACTACTTCTACAACCAAGTCAAGCCTGATGAAGCCCCTTTCTACGGACCTCAGCAATTCGAAGACGAGAAGAAGTGGGAGGAGGCGCTGTCGAAGAAACCGAGCCCTGGCTCCATTCCCGTCCTGGCACGAGGATTCGAGGAAATTGCGGCCCGCATCCAAATGCAGCATCTGGCAGTTAATGGGCTCCAGTCACGTCTGCACGAGATCAACAGCAGTTTGTCTTTGATGAAGGATATGCATGAGCTGAACGTGGCCTCACGAATCACCGAAGCGAAGCGGAAACACATTGTTTTCACCCAGCGAACTTTGGCGTTAGCGACCAAGGTGCAGCTTCTGCGCAACCGAGGATACGTCATGGACCAGGCGGAAGAAGAGCTCAAGAAGAAGCTCATCGATTTGGAGAAGAAAACCTTTGATCCAGTGCTTGGCGGGCGGCAGGAAGAGATCTGGGCGCGGATGTCCGGAGTCCGGGAGCGCGCTCGAATGTTGCAAGAAGAGACGGAGAAGCTGGGGAAAACGGTTGACAGCCAACAGAACGGTGAAGTGCTGTCCGAGGAAGACCAAAAGGCTTTGGAGAAGCTACTGAAAGACTACGACAAGCAGCTGGAGCACCTGAAGAAGTGGGTGGATGACACGAAGCAAGAGTACGACGAGTGGGAGAAGGAGAAGAAGCCGACGAACATTGGCAGGTGAACATGCCGAGGACACAGGCAGTTTCGTACCATCGTCGAGCAATTCTTGGAGGAGCATTTTGGCAGGATAAAAGTCTCGTCTGGATCATCACACCGGCTTGAAGATACCCATAATTCACGAATGACGGAAATGCTGATGTTCGCTACATTCATGTCACCTTCCACCCGTATCCATCGCATAGCTGCGAAGCCAAACTTACATCTGCCATCTCCAGCAAGTTGAATGATCGAGCACATTAGAGATAGCACGTCAACGTCAAATTTGCATTATCCGTAGAAGCGAGAGACATCCAGCCAATAGACCAATACTATCTATATTGTTACAGTGCATGCATCCACCCCCCTTCCCCCCTAAAAGTACATTGTATAGTGTCCCTCATAGCGTCCAAGTTTGTCGTTCCATCCCAATACCATCACAGCCGCCGAATGCATATGTATTCCGGTAGCTTTTCGTATGAAAAAGGGCAATCGAATCGTTTAGACGAGTTTCTTCGCGTACTCAACGGCGAAAGGAGCTTCACCACTCTATTAGCCAAACACTGCACAGAAATTCATTGTCCCTCATCCCGACTTACAAAGGTAGAGTAGTAAACAAGCAGCAGCTGTCCATCGGATACTCTGCGCAGTTTCTGCCTCGCCAGCCTTTGCACCCTCAATCAGTTACACGAACAACATCGCCAAAGCAAACTAGATATTCGCAGATGAGGTTGGAACCCACCTCGAGCTCCTCTTTAGAAGGTGGTGGTGGTGCTGTTTCTTCGGTTAGAATCATGCTAAACGATAGCGGCAATGAGAGACTTACGGCCTCCGAACATCTTGGACTTTAGGAGTGAGGGATGAGGGGGTGGGGGATGTGTGCAACGGGTGAAGCAATTCGGAAAGTGACGTTCTTGAAAAGTTGAGCTTGGACGGAAAACTGGTCGGTAGTCGGGGTTTGGATTTTCCGCAAGCTCGTCACGTGTGCTGAGGTGAATTATAACTAGAGGCTTATCCACAATTTGGCTGAGGTTATGGTGCGCTTATAATATTGCAAGCTGGTGTTGGATGAAATGAACAGAGGGGGTTGTCATTGTTATTGTAGGCATAGAACGACTAGTATTTGTTGGAACTATTGCATTCCTAACCCTTCTAATAATGCGCTCTCCCTTGACTTCTGAACGTCAGGAAAGCTGAGCACCATCAAACGTACAATATGAGAAACACGCTTCCCACCAAATGCTCCCTTGGCCCTAACCAGAAAAGCTTTCATCTTTAAAAGTACAAGGGAATCCGGGGGATCCATACCATTTATGTGCATGTGCAACCCGTATCCTCTCGCCCAAGGCATAGGCGAAAAGAAACTCACTTTTACTTAGACCAACACTTCACACATGAACCCGTTCATTTGACCATTTATTGCCCAATTGCTTAGCATTTCCATGCCAGAAATGCGTGTCATGTTACCTATCTTCCTTGCCCCTTCTAATCCCAACGCCCGCGACACATCTACGCAGATCTAGTTCTTCAGCCCCAGCTTGTTGAAGAGGCCGCCGGTCTTACCTCCTATCGTCTTGTTGTCGTCGAAGATCTTCAACAGGCTCTTCCAGACCTGGCCGGGCTCTTGGCTAGCATCAATTGGCTTCCAAATGCCGGTCTTTTGGTAGTATGCAACAACGGGGCTGGTCTGTTGGTGGTATGTAGAGAGTCGCTTCTTTAGGGTATCGGCATTATCATCGGAACGTTGTATTAGCGGCTCGCCGGTAACGTCGTCCTTCATGGCCTCCTTGGGCGGATTGAAGATCTTATGGTACGAGCGGCCGGAGGCAGGGTGGACCAGACGGCCGGTGATTCGGGCGACGAGGAGCGCGTCGTCGATCTGGAGCTCCACAGCATGTTCAAGGGGCTTGCGGGAGCTTAAGAGCATCTCATCAAGCTTCTCTGCTTGGGTCACAGTGCGGGGAAAGCCGTCGAGGATGAATCTGCGCAGCACAAGCTGTTGTCAGCGAAAAATGTTCTTGAAGGAAGCGTTGCCAGGCTAGGGAGGGCTCTGGCGAATGCCATTGGGGGCACATACCCGTTCTTGCACTCTACGTTGCCTTCTAGCTCGCTCTTGATCATGTTGACCATGATTTCATCGCTCACAAGACCCCCGGCGTCCATGATCTTCTTCGCTTCCCGCCCGAGAGCAGTTTTCTTTGCGACCTGCGCCCGCAGCATATCTCCGGTAGCCTAAAAGCATTAGCATTCATGTTCCCCATGCCCGAAAATTACCCATGGAACTCCATTTAAGTAGATAATACGTACGAGATGGCAGACGCAGTACTTTTCCTTGATCTTCGGCGCTTGTGTTCCCTTCCCTAGAGGTTCTTGTCAGCGAAATATTCGCGCCACAAACAAAACATCCGGGGAAAAGATAAAACAACTCACCAGCACCCGGTGGACCCATCAAAATCATCCTCACGCCTTCTAATTGAGCCGCCGTGCTCCCACCTCCACCAGTCATTCTTCCCTCGAGCTCCGCGATCCGCGCTTCAAGCCGCGAGATGTGGGATTTCAGGTCATTGATGGCCTGGTCCTGTATGGGAGCCATTGCGCCGATATGTGTAAAAGAAAAAAGGGGGGATAAAGATCTGGCGAGGTTGTAGGCCGAGGAAGAGGGGTGGTGTAGGCGCAATTGGGTGCGAGAAGGGCGAAGATGTAGCTTGCTGTTGGGTGAGGTTGAGAGCTTCCAAGGTGAGGAAAACGGCTCGGCTGGACGGGTTAACTTGGCGTTTGGCGGTTCCGAGGTCGGGGAAGGGCCGATATTGCCTATGCACGTCGCAAACACACCGAAAGAGCATATAAGAGAGTGAAAAAGGCTTTATTGTTTCCAGAGACACTTTACAAGTGTCAGAAGAATTTCTTTTGGCTCTCGCTTTCCGAGCAATGCGCGGTTTTCAACATCGGTTTCCCCCAGATCGAGGCGCACAGGCCAATCAGCCATCACCTGGGCAGATCAGATCGGGAAATGCGAGGTGATGCTATCCCGGTCTGAAGGAACTGCCCACGTGTTCACGGAACTATGTTCTCAACAAGATATGTGAGTTTTACTGAGAACATATTCTAAAAAGGTCGTAGCAAGTGCGGTTTTCTTTGGAAAGCCCGATTGCAAGACAGTATAGGGTAAACACAGGAACATATTTGATTAAGGCATTTTCATCATTCATGACCTCCCAGGGCGGAGTCCAGTATTTCATTGCGCGTATGCAAATATAATACTTAAGGCATCACAAGCTAGAGAGCAATTAGCATCAGTACGAGGACTTGGGGGGAAAAGAATAGTGCCTCTATTGAGTAGAGCCTATTCCACATGAAACATCGAAGAAACCCTGAAAGAAAGTGAGAACTGTGCTGCCGCAGTACTCACTTGAGAACATAGAATTTTGTTGCTGGGTACTACCCGACACGTGGTTTAAACCAGGCATGTCTGACGCGCCGCCTGTCCGTACCTGAAAATCATCCGAGATCTAAAAGAGAAACCCGATAGTGTCATAGAGCCGAAGCCCAACTCCCCCAACACCATGCTATGCACAAACCAAATACGAACAACTATGCCGCCTATACACACCTTGACTGTCTAACAAGCTAATTTTCACGACCTTCCATCATCCGTAAGCCCAGAATCAATAGGCGCGGACCTTTTTGCCTGATCCAATACTGTCCTCGGCCTTACGCTTGCCGAGGACTGAGTCCGGCGTGCTTGGTGCAGCTAGACTAGAGCCCTTGCTATACTCCTCCCAGCAAGTTGCGTGATAAACCTTGCCATTGACTTTAACTGCGTCCATCCATACGAAATCATTTGCTTCGACTAGCCATTGCGGTTCAAACTTCTCCTGGCAAATTGGACAAGGCGCATGGACGAGGGCAGCATCTGTAGGAACAGGGACATATCTGTCCTTGGTTTCCTTCTTAGGGGCGGCGGTGGCACTAGTGACACCATTCACAGCTTGCTCCGGGGAAGCTTCGTCAACTTCGCGATACTCTATCCATTCCTACAATCTCGTTAGCTTCGCTAAATGATTTCGGCTGAGTTGACGTACTTTCTCACTGATGTACCAGCTACGATGGATACCACGCTTCGCAACATCTGGATCCTTGACCTTGAAGTGCCAATCCATATGACGAGCTTTCCTCTCTTTACCCTCCAGAGAGGATTCAAATCGACGTCCGCATGTAGCGCAGATGTTGGGGTATGCTTCGTACAATTTCGTAATCAAGTGAAATCGAGGTCTAAATGTATATAAGCACTAGGACTACATGAGGAGATGAGGCTCAACCTACTGCTTCATTGATGCTGTGGTTAGATCCACATCAGTATGTACCCCAGTGTTCGCTGACACCTGTCGGGTCATTGGCTCTGACGACAGAGGAGTGGCTTGAGCACTCATTGGAGGGCCCGGAGGAAGCAGGTTCTGTGCCTTCAATGCATTGAGAAGCCATTTCACATCACCGGTTGATAGGGGGGCAGCGGATGACTGCGGTTGCGATTGTGGGAAAGATGAATGTGGTTGAGGCACTGGGGCCATGGGGGTAGCTGCAGACTTGCTAAACTGTCCAAGGAGTTGTGCAAGATTAACAGTGGTTGCCGAAGCGGGCGCTAGAGCTGGGGATTGAGCTGTAGGAACTGGTATTGCCATCGGAAGTGGTGCAGCAGAAAAAGGGGGGGGATAAAATGGCGCCACCGACGCGGGTGTTGATGACGAATTCATTGGAGAAGAGACCCGCCTCAGCATGTCCGCAAGAGAAGGAGTTGTGGCTGCGGGAGCTGGGGACGGCGGAACTGGAGGTCTTGCATTGGCAAGGATCTGTCCAATGTTCACAGCAGTGCTTGAGGGCGGAAATAGGGGAGATGTGTTCTGCTGTGGAGAGGCAATGACTGGCGGAGGTATAGAGGCAGGGGGGGTAAAGGCAGTGGCCGGTGCTGGGGGAGGCGACATGGCTTGAATTTGATCCGCGGCCGCTTTCAGCTGCTCTGGAGGAAGGGTTTGAGTGTTTAAGATCATCTGGAGATCGAGAAGCGCCTTCAGCTTCTGTTGGATGGCTACATCGACAGGGCTCAAAGCCCACGCCGCTTGGGTAGATGTAATGAGTTTGCTCAAACTAGCCTTCAAACCCTCTACATCGATGGCTTGAGGTGGCTGCGGATAGAACGAGATGGATGGCTGAGACTGGATTTGCGGCGTGGCTGAAGGTGGATATTGCCCATAGGGTAGTGCTGGAGGCAAGGGCTAACGATTATTGGTTAAGAGGATCTGTAATGAAGGTATAAAGGTTTAACTAACCTGTCGAAGCCTTGGGTCATTCGCCGCCGCAAATCGAGTAGCATTTTGTGGGGGGGTAGGAGTATTCCTCCAAGGAACACTTGGCATCGGTCTTGCAGGCATGTTATGCTGTATGCCCGGTTTCTGCGACAAAGCCTGTTGCTGAACAGCAATCGTACGAAATTTTATGAGGGCATTTTCAATGTCGCGGGTGACTTCAGGGGAGAAGACAGGGCGCATATCCATTGACTCAGGAACAGGCTGTTTCCAGGTCTTCAAGAGCCCTTCCATTGCCTTTCGTGTAGCGGGGTCCATGAGTGTGTAGGCATCCATGAAAGTACGATACAAATTACGACCTAGATAGACCGTGTATGGAGTACCCACGTTTTTGACGATGGAATCGAGAACATATAGAGCAGGGAGTTTCCACTCTGGCCGGGTCTATGCAAGTTAGCTGCTGAACCAATTCAAGATTTATGGTAGGAAGGACCAGTCAATTAGGGAGCATAGGCCACTTAAGAGGGGTAGAGGCTTAGAACAGACAAGTGAAGATGAAGTGTGAAAGTGGTGCCAAGGCCTGATTCACATGATGTGAACTCCTGAAAAGACTCACCGTTCGAATGTGATTCTCCAGTTCTCGGGATATGGCTTGCGCATACTCTGTATTCTCCTTGGCGATCAGGGTTAGATTGCTAATCTCAGGTCTACTATTGATTTTCAAGTCTTGAAGAGCGTCTTTGAAGTCGGCAGCGACCTCAGCTGAAGGCTGAGACATGGTGGGCAATCGTTTTCTGGGAACAGATGGGCAAATAGGCTAAGTTAGAGGAGTTTCGGGGCTTGTAATAAAGACACTGTGGAATAAAGCTACTCGCTTCAGGGTCGATGTGTCGCAACCAGATCCGCGAGGCTGACCCCTAAGGCCAGGAGAACAAAGTAGACTTCTTCCTCTCGCTAACACAGGAAAAGAAAGGCTGTATGAATCGTTGCTAGCTATGACCTTGCCAGGCAAGAACAGCGGGTAGTCTGCGCTTGAGCCCTCAGGACAGAGACGAAGCTCGCCCTCCTCTCCTGCCACCGCCTCAACAGCCCCCGGGGTGTTGCCTCCAACGTCCAAGCCACTGAGAGTAGAACAAATATGTGACTTCGAAAGAACTGAGGCGAGAAAGTTATACTTGGCTACTAAGCGTGCAAGAAGGCAAACGGAGGTCGTGAGAGAGAACCGGTGGATCGTGGAAGCGGCGCAAGGTTTGAGGTTTGGATCGTGAGGATGGATCGTGGGAGAGAACAAAGGGTGGGAGGATGAGAGGGGATAAGGACGCGCCAGGGAAGTGCGCCCTAATTAGTAGGGGAAGGTGGAGATGAAAGTGTTGCTGCTGAGGTGAGGGAGTCTCAAAGACGCTTGGCAGGTGAAGGCGAGGCGGACAAAGCGACGAATTTCGGCAAAACCTTTGTCCACCCGCCAAGACCATCGCCCAAAGTCGGGAGTCCATCGACAACTTCCCAACTTTTCTTTCCCGCATCTAATACATCGCTCCAACGCGTCCCTATTGTCCTCCACCTCCGACCCTACAAACGGCACTCTCTCCACTTGCTCACTTGGTCTTTCCTTACTACCGGGTGCGCGACACTCTCTTTCAGCCGCTATGGCAGATCCTCAATTCACCTCTTCCCACTCTAACTCCCCGCTACCAGAAGCCGGCCACGACTCAGACGATCCTCTCCATCCCGAGGTCGACGAAGAGAATTCAACCCCAAATTCACTCATTGCCGCTCCGGAGCAGGACATGGAGGCTACTGATTTTGAGGATAAGGCCGAAGTGCCTGACCAAGACGACATTGAAGGCGCAGGCTTGTCCGATGATGCTTCTGAGCTTTCTGAGTTAGACGAGCAGCAGTTTGACGATTTCAATGCTGAAGATATTGCCATCGAGGAGCGCCCGGCGCAAATGATCGATGAGACTAATGTCAACTTGATCGGCGTGCATAAGCGGAAGAGGGCTGAAGGTGAGGGTGAACCTGCCAAAAAGAAGAAGAAGAAAGACAGCAGACGTGACAAGCCGAGGAGGAAGAAGACACATGACGATGAGGTCAGTGCGGGAGAGGACACAGGTGGCAGAAAGAGCAGGAAGCGAAAGGAGGGTAGAATCAGAGGAGCAAGCCCAGACTCAGCAGCGGAAGACGAGCACCTTACTCCAGAAGAGCGTACGTACCTAGTGCCCAGCAGTTTTATTTTACGCAGACTAATGGTCTTAAACAGGTCGAAAACGCGCCCTCGATCGATCGATTGACCAGGTTGTTAAGTCTTCGAAGGGCTCCTCACGTCGTCGCAAGAAAGGCGACATCGACCTGGATCAAATGGCAGACCAAGAGATTGAAGACATGCGACGTCGTATGGCTGCTGCTGCAGAAGCCGACAACGAAGGTCGCAAGCGGGGAGAGCCAGCTGCCCACAAGCTCAAACTTCTCCCAGAAGTTGTCGCTCTTCTCAACAAGAATACACTTAGGGAATCCATCGTCGACCCTGAAATTAATCTGCTCGAAGCGGTCCGCTTCTTTCTCGAGCCGCTAAGCGACGGCAGTCTTCCAGCATACAGCATCCAGCGGGAGCTTTTTGCTGCGTTGGCTAAGCTCCCCGTCAATAAGGATAGTCTGGTTGCATCTGGTATCGGCAAAGTCATCATGTTCTACATCAAGAGCAAGCGTCCAGAACTAGGCATCAAACGCCAAGCTGAACGCCTCTTCACGGACTGGACCCGTCCTATCCTCCGACGCACCGACGACTACCGCAAGAAGGAATTCTCTCAAGCGGAGTATGATCCAACGTGGGTTTTCTTTATCCGCTCTTTCTATCGGTTTGTTAACAGTCTATTGCAGCAAACTTCCCGTTCGTACCGCACACACCAACAATCAAGCTGCTGTTGCCAGAGCGAAGGCCCTTGAAGCTCCGCGTGCCTTCCAACGTGCCCGCATGGAAGCCGGTCCCACTACCTATACTATCGTACCCAGGTCCAACGTTCAACTTGGCGAACAAGTTAAGAGAGCACCTGGTGCAGGAGGTGATGAACTTCTCAAGCGTATCAAAGCCAAGTCCGGTAGGGGTGGGCGCTGAGCTGTCCTATTATTCTTGGGACAGCGTCTGCAGGCAAGGATAACTTTTTCTGGGCGTTTGGAGTCGGTCTAGTAGCAAGGTACCTGATCTCCCGTTTGTCTAACCGGTACCATAAAGGATGGTTCACATTTCCCCTAATCAGTTGCATGGCTGGAGTTTGGTCCCTGTAGGAATTAGAAGTCAGGATTTGTAACCTCTGGACAGCAACCGAGTTCACATGTCAACACATCAACACATCCATATCTTGAACTCTTTCATATTCGGCAGGCCAGCATCTCTTCTAGAACGGGAGACCTCAGGAGCACGAGAACATGAAGGTGGAACTCGATTTTCGGAAAGCGAGATTGCGTCATCAGCCGTGTTGCCATTTGTGGCGTCTCAATGTATCCGGGTGTCACAGAGATTTGATCGAGCGCGAGATCGATAGGTCTTTCTGTAGCGTCAAGGAGATCGATTTGCATAGCATGCTTCAATACATACGAATATGAGAATTAAGGAGTTCCTGAAGCAGGTGTGTAAAATACCAATTTGTTGCACAAAACCGATATCAGGAGAGGCAGGAGGTTGCATTTAGGTCAGCCACTAAACAACGGTGAGCGGACGCTAATCTCGCGCGATTCCCTTTCTGTGATGAACTGCTGCCTTTTGGTGCACAGGTCAAACCCACGGGAGGGAGCCACTCCGGAGATGGACTCAGCCCAGGCCAAGAACAATCACTCTTCACCCAACCACCTCTCACGATGCCTGCAGATTCAGCCATGGGGGCGTCGTGTTTCGTATTAAACCCTGCATTCTGCAGCCTCTCCCAACACAATGGCACAAGTCTGTGCCCAGCATGTCGCTCTTGCGCCTGCTCCACTTCCATGGACAGTCCATGTCTGGCCAACGAGAAATGTCAACTCAATTTCGAACAGGCCTTGCAGCCCCTTGTGCAACCTTCCTTCGACGAACTCCTGCAACTTCGACTTGCTGCTTTATTGCAGCTGAGCCCTAGGGCAAGGTATCACTGCATAACCCCTCACTAGATTATTCGCCCGATTTATTGGATACGGATGTTGTTCCTCGACCCCTCCCAGTACTATTATGCCGTAGACTCCGCAGTCCACAGCCCTCTCTTCGAGCCTTGTTTTCTCGACTCTTGTAGAGTGTTCGATATGCTCCACTGAGCGTTCCTTTTGCCTTGAAATTGATATCGAACGCCTGTGTGCGCATCTGTATCCACGATGACCAGGCACACGGTATTAAGGTATGAACTCCTTCGATCTAACCTGGACAGGACGGAGCTGATGCTGCTATGATAGAGCGGATCTGAAAGAGCGCCATGTGAACATGATGGCGTTCAGCGCCTGTATAGGCTTCGGATTATTCCTACAAAGCGGGAAAGTAATATACATCGCCGGTCCAGGACTTGCGATTATCGCCTTCGTTTTAGCAGCGTCTGTAATGTGGTCCGTAATTGCCTGTATAGGAGAGATGACCGCTCTCTTCCCCGTCCAAGGCCCTCTGTTCGAATTTCCAGGCCGATTCATTGATGAAGCTGTTGGATATGCAACGGGATGGATCTCCTGGTTTGCGTGGACGGTTATTATTGCAGCAGAAGTCCTGGCCGTGGCGCAACTCTGGAAATTTCGCTTTGACGAGCAGTACCTTAAGGATGTGGGATACCCTGATAAGGAGTTGGGCTGGAGCACAGAGGGATATAGTCCAGCGGTCTGGGTCTTCATTTTCCTGATCCTGATCGGCTGTATTAACCTGCTTCCCGTACGCCAATATGGCCAGCTGGAGTACATATTTGGAGTTATCAAGATCTTCTTCATATCAGGGCTGATCGTTTTTAACGTTATCCTCTCGGCAATTCAAAAAGTCCCGCATGGAAACCATTTCTGGACTTGGAACAGGCCATATGGCTTCTCTTCTGAAAGCTTAGTCGTCCATCCTTCGCACGACGCAAACCCTGGTGTGGTTCTAAGAGGAGAACAAGGCCAATTCTTAGCTCTGTGGACTGGGATTGCAGCTGGACTCTTCTCGTTTGTCGGTTTCGAGACTATCGCGATTACCGCTGCGGAGAATAAAGATCTTGAAAAACACGAAACAATCAAACTAGCTACCAAGAAGCTGACGCTGCGGATTACAATTCTATACGTCCTTTGTACCTTTGCGGGTGGCCTCAACGTTCCTTACAACGACCCGAATCTGGTAAATATTCAAATCAATTCTGTAAGGGCTGGACAAAACAGTGTATACGTCCTTGCAGCGGTCAGAAATCACTTGCGTGTCTGGCCCAGTATTTTCAACGGATTCTTCATATTTTCGGCAACGACCTCCGGAATCAATGCACTCTACAATTCAAGCCGGTTGCTTCACGCCTTGGCATCCATCCCGGAGGCTTGGCCACTCTTCGCTCAAAATTGGAGAAGACGCCTCGAGAGAACGACTTCCCGAGGCGTTCCTTTGGGAACTGTAACGGTCAGCTGGTGCTTTGGGCTAGTGGCATTCCTCGCTGTGAAACCATTCCCCGCAATCGTTCTGGGTCGAATCACTAATAATGCAGTGGTGTCGGAATTGATCTCCTACGCGGCCATTTGTCTTTCGTACATTCAGTTCTATCACCGAATAAAGGCTGCAGCAGAGGACCATACCCTGGAGAATCGATCTGCATACAATCGAGATGACAAGCAATATCCGTATCGCACGCACGGACAATTGTTCCGGGCATATTACGGACTTCTGTTCTGCATCTTGCTCATACTATTTAATAATTGGCGGGCTTTTATACATCCATTTAGCAGTAAGTTTGCGTCCCCTGATCACTCCTCCTGTAAGTTTTCAGCCCTGGCTAACCACCTCGTAGCTCCGGATTTCATCGCCTCGTACATCGGAGTAAGTCTTATTGTATCCAAGCTTTTATCTTTCGCTAACTTTAATTCAAGATCGTTGCTTTCTTTGCCCTTATCGCGGCATACCACATAAGGTCCGATGGCTGGAACCCATTCAAATGGCGACGACATGCCTCAATGCAAATCTTCCGGCCGCCACCGAAGGTAGTTGTACCTGGACGCAGAAGGGGTCATCTTGAGTTTCCTAATCCGAAAGCGCCGATTTGGGATGAGGAAAACTTTAAATCGTTGGTGCAATTTGTTTGGGGATGGCTCAAATGAGAAGGTGCCAAAACTTGCAGTCGATTTCTCGCGATAATACCCTCTTTGGATGGGCATGGCGTTACGGTCAACAGTTGATTTCGAACAACAATGATTGGCGTCGGAACACTCGCTTAAGATTCTTTCCATAGATTGTGTACATCAAAATAACGAGATGCAAGCTCTCAAAGACGTAAATAGTACCTAATCTTTAACACAGCCTTGGTCTTCCAATGCTCTGGATGTGCAACTGCCGGGTGCCAGGTCAAGGGCGAAAGCATTGCTGATTAGAGTACAACCAATACACCTTTTCTGAATCCCACATCGGACTTGCTTATCAGGCCACTAATCGAAGTGTTGCTGGTCCTGGAGGTTGCTCACGTCTGCACGTGACTGCTTCACCGGTGAGGCAGATGAGCACAACTTTCCGGCATTCTTGCAATTCACAGTTTAGGCCGGGCCGGCTGTGGTCTATATTTACGCTCTGGGCCGGCAATCTTGTCATCCCATTTGCTTTTGGGCGGCGGCTGGCGGGGAGTTGCATTGTCGGGTGTTAGAGTTAGCGCAAGGGACAAGGGTGTGTAATAAACCGTTGCGGAACACAGGCCTGAGACCCTGCTCAGCTGAATTTTCCAAACCAACCACCTCGCCCTCTGCCGTACCCTCCTTGAGAATGTGACAGCCAAGCCCAGCGCAGTCCGGTCCGCCCAAGGCTGTCTTGTGCACGCCTGCAGGCAACGAAGATATCCGCTGTGACCGTGAGTCTGCGTGAAGAGTCGTCTGGCCGGTATGCATCTCTTCCCAAATACCATCCACTTTGTGAAAGCCACACCGTCTATCCCAGGCTTTGTCGTAATACCCGTCGTGCCCTGTTTTCGACTTGTCCGTGTCAATGTCCTTCCAGCACAGGAACCTCGCGGAAGTCTGGCAGCATCTCCAAGGACGGCATGACATTGCGACAATTCTGCGCGAGATTATCGGTCAGCACTCCATCGATTCCACACTCCAAGATGGCGAACCCCAGAACCCTGAGGAATCCATCCAAACAATTATATGGATTAGGACGATCTTCGATCTCCAGCGCTCTTATCTAAGTGGAAATGCAACTGGCGTGTTGGAATGCCCGCCATATGTCCTCTCCTGTCTTCTACCATCCGAACTCCTATTCTCTACCATCCTCTATCTAGTCAACGTAAAAACAAGGCTATTCCCAAGTCAAACGACACTGTTGACGAGAGAATTCATGAGGCCGAGACACATACTTGCCCAGACTTTACTCTCCGGGCTGAGACTATTGCTTCTGAGGAAAGAAAACATCGCAGCGCACGACAAACGGCGCCTACAAGTCTCCATCAATACTGCGTGGCAGCATGATCGGCTCCATGGCGTCGACCGGTTCGTGGTATCAGACCTCTTCGCCGCAATACTTGATTCGGTGAATGAGATATCACGTGAGAATCCATATATCCAAGAATGGGCCAATGCAAGATTACCAACTTACGCTGCCGGATTGGTAAACCTCATTATAATCCTAATTGATAAAGCAGGGCTAACGCTTTTCAGTATCCTCTCAACATCAAGCCCGAAATGTTCATCACTTCCCTCATTCATGGGACTATGGAAGAGGACTGGATCGATGCATACTGGGTCTTGTTTGACTGCCTTTGGGCTGTCGAGTCTGCTTTGACTCAACGCTATGTTGACCTTCGACGGCAGAGTGGTGTGGTCGGATCTCACCAATTTGTGATTGATACAGATGAGACCTTGGAGCAGCTATACCAGACAAGAACGAGCCTCATAATCTCAATTTTCCATGTCACCGGCCCGATGACCCCAACTCCTCACTTGTTAGACTCACTTTCCATCACACTCCTTGACTGGAATGAGGATTTTGACAGCTTTCTGTCTCGACAAGATTCCCTTTTGGTAAGCGGCAGCCCGCTAATAATTGCCAGTATCTACTAACCATCCTCATAGCAGCAGGGGCCTAGCCCTAGACCGACAGCTTCAAGAGTATTTAGCTATGGCCGGAATGTCCTCGAAACCAGTCCTTATTTCGAGGCCGCGTTGAAGAGCTTCTCAGAATGGTTATCAAATCGGAAGTCTGGCTATGAGCAGTTCAGCATCAGGAGAACAGGCGTAACTGCAAATGATTTAGAAGAGATGGCGAGAGAATGGATCACGCGCATGACTTCGCTCAACGTCGAGACACACACTAGGGATTTAGAAGGCACGCTGCTACCTCTATATATTGTCAACTGCCCAAAACTACATGTCATTCCCAGAAAACATCTCGAATATAAGCTCAGATGGTGTGACAAGTGGGCCTATGAGGTATTTGAGCAATTTAATGATCCAATCTTGAGATAAAGCTAATTCATACTACTAGAGCATACAGGAGAATTCTCCAATTGTGAATTGGAAAGAAGGTATGGACCACGATAATTTTTCAAACTACGCGGCCTACATTCTAACCGAGGCTCAGGCGTATCATGTCCAAGTTGTAGCTCGGGTGAAAAGATTAAATACGCACGCCTCATAGAACCGTTTCAGCACCTCGCAAATGCACTTGAAACTTTCCATTTCGATGATTACGGCTTGAGTCAGTATTCTGTCGGCGATTCAGGGTCATACGACGCAGCGTCGGCATCAGGTACCTCACATACCGTGTCTTCCGAAGCTGAAAGCGTTGCTATAAGCCTACCGTCTCAATCGACTATGCCCGCTTGTAATCTTTCACAGGTCTCGAGTTTGAGCGAAAGCAAAGATATCCCAGAGCAGTCCCCAAGCCAGCCTCCAGGCTACTTGGAATCTCCTGTCAGCCCGGCTGCATTCACTCCTCTCTCTCGGCGATCCCCGCCTGGGTCTTCGTTCATAGAATATCCTGTCAGCCCGTTAAATGAATCCTTGAACGTTCCAATACCGATCTCGTCAAGGATGTCCATGGATCTTCCAATACCAGTGAACGCTCTGAACATTCCGGAGAGTATTCCAGAGACAGTTTCAGCGCAATCAGATATATCAAGCCTCAGGTTAAATACTCCTTCGACAGATTCTATGATGAGCGGAGGCAGTATTGCAAAGGTGAAACCAACAAGTAGAACAGTACGGATTGCAAACTCAATAAGACGAAGACCAACGACGAAAGAGAAGGAAGCATTCCCTCTGCCGAAGGATCCCTCGTTTGTATTTTCTACGTCTGGCCACTCCTTGTTATTATGGGGGAAATGTGCTGACAACCTTATTCGATTTGACATTCCAAGCAATGATACATCGGCTATCCAGGGTTGTAAGTATGAAGTTGGAGGGATCGAGGCTGCCGCTTCCGGGAATCATAAATGTGCAATCATTGCAGCTGCTGGGTTGCAGAAGCATAAGCTCTTAATCTTCGACGGAATCAACCTCAATCCGGAATTCGAAACGGAAATCGAGGTTTCAGGCAGAATTGGCGAGATTTGTCTAGCCGTTTCTCGGAACGACAAATTCGTTGCAACATCTATGAATGATCAGATCTTAATCTATCGACTGGAAGACGGCATCAAACTGATGGCCTTCCACCACCAGATCCAAGTCTATGAACTTCGAGGGGGGGTCTCGCATCGCCGCACGATCAATGTCGGAAGAACTAAGAGTGATGAGTCTGTCACGGAACAATTGAAGACAGATACAGGCTGGTTTGGTGAGCACCTCAAGGGGCTTAGCTCAAAAGAGGTGGCAGAAGAACAACAAAGGCAAAGTGCGATTGTTTCAAGAAAGATTTATTTCTCGACCGACAGCAAACGGCTTGTGGTAGCAACGCAGTTGGGTGACCATTGTGTCTACGTCGACGTTTGGGATTGCGAGAGGGAACCTGTGAGCACCATATCCGAGCATTCCCGCTCGTTCAAATTACCCCCTTGGACACTCAACGATGGTGATCTTACCAGCGTGTTTTACGATACAATGCGCCGAAGCGCTATAGTTACAGCTTTCCTCGGGAAAGAATATCCACTGCTTCTCCCCTTCCCAGGCTATGACTCTCTACAGAACGAGCAGTATAGCACGAAAGTTGTCCATGCAGCACAGTCTCCTTCCGGGACCACCTTCACCGTTGCCAACGCAATGACAGAAATTATCCAGTTCGAATACACCGCCAAAGGCGGTCTATCACCCCGCAAGCTAAAGAAGGCATCGTCCAAGATTAGCACTAGCGTGTTCAAGCCCGGAACTATTGCTCTCGCTATGCCACTTGAGAATTGCTTGCAGTGCTTCTGGCTCAAAGACGGGAAGTGCATGTTGAGGACCGTCAAGATTGGATCTGGGGAAACCTTCAAGGAGTACGATATCCGGCCGCACTACAATCGACTGATGAGCTTAAAGAACAAACCTGTCATTGCGAGGGCTCCAACGCTCAGAATTCCTGAGTTGGATGCTGGAGAGTTGTCCTGATTCCTGGGAAGGCCTACTACCGCATACCCGCGCCTATTCCAGGATCCTGACAGCGAGGGCTTGGTCTCTCAAACTTGTCTTTAGACTCCATCACTGTTAGATACGATATCTCGATTCCCCTAAGAATATTGAAGCCTTAAGTTACGACGGCTAGAGCAAGAATATTGCGGGTGGAAGGCAGATACAGAGCTTTTGGCTTCCTTGGTTATTTTCGACATGTCCGATGCAAAGGCCAGGTTCAGGGTCTTTGGGTGAACAGAGCAAAATGCAAGCCACTAACAGGCCACGAAACGGAAGATGCTTGCGTCTGTGGGGCTACGAGATTTGAGGAAGAGGGGGTGGCTAGGATTAGGACTTACTTTTGAGTGTTGGATCGAAGTCCGGACAAAACAGAGAGGGGAATCGATTGCGAGCAGCGGGGTGGCTGGTGTGGAGGATTAGGATACGATCTGCACGCACCCACGAAAGCAGGACCACACCTTTTCCAGCCGTCACAGCATGGCAATGCTGTAGGATAAGTTTCCTAGTCTTTCAAATATGGAACGAGTTTAGGAATGAAAGCATGATAAAATGCATTTTACAATTTCCCCCCAATGATATCCATGAGCCAAAAATAACACTCTTTGGACACCCTTAGCCCATTATCGAGAATTCTTAATCGCCTGATCCACACTGTCGAGGGCATTGCTTCCCAGCAGCGCTCTCCCGCATGTTTAATTTATGGAGATTAAGACCCCACCACCATCGGGGCCCTTGTGGAACATCGCTTAGGCCTGTAGGTTCTGCCCAAACGAAGAGGGGAGTTCCGTGCGTGTGGAGTGCGGAGGATGGCATCCTCAGCATCCTCGAAGCTCCTTCCCGAACGACCTTCTTCTTAAGGTCGATGTCTCAAATCTAGATTTCTGAACTTCAGAGACGGGCAGGAAGAATTGTCTAGCGTCCACAACTTTTCAGAATCACTAATTCTTCGAACTAAGATTGTCCTCACGATTAGGTTATTACTTAGGAGGCCTTATTGCCGTTGCGATGGAAGACGAGCCGACTCGCTCAATATCGCGATTACTATGTTTAACATCTCATCTGCAGTGAGTGGGTGGGTAGGTGGATGGAAGGACGATATGTATGAAAACACTTCGCCCTCGAAATTCAATACCAGCCTGCAGGATATCCCACGAGCGAACCTCTGTCCTGGAAATTGGTACACGTATGTGTGCATCTGTATCCTTGAATGTGTGCGTTCTCACCCTTCCCCACCATGGGTAAACCATGCAGTAGTGCACTGCCACTCTGCTCTTCCGTACAAGCGGGTCAAAACAGTGTACGAGGTACGGAGCCACAGGTACGACTCCAATAATCAAGTGCATGCAGTGTGAAGCAACAATCGCACCGCCTCATTATGCTGCACTGCATCTCTGCCCATGTTTAGAACCACACCTCCAAGGCCCCATCTTTGTGGGAATAGACGAAGATGAGCACGTGGTCGATTAATCTCCGTTTTAATCTATCGTAACGTGGATGAGACCTGAAATGTCGTGAGTAGACTTTCGGAAGTAAGTAATATGCCGTATTACCCTTGGTATGTTGGCCGGTTGGGCCCTAGTTCGGGGTGTACAACGGGAAATATTTTCGGTGGTCGGAATGTAGGCGAGCAGGTAACCGATAAATGGGACGAATGATAGCTGACAAGTTACATTAGTTGGAGTTGAGGAAGGTTGAAGTGGATGGTTAGAAACGTTCTACACAACTATCGCTACCAAAAATATACAGCTCGACAACAACTGTTTTTTTAGGGCATGGAATGGTCTCTCGTAAAAGCCAGCACACAAGAGGAATCGTACGAATCGCTTGAAGTGTGCGCCTAGGAGACGATATAATCCCAACCTACTGTACCTTCTTATTCTATGCCCCTACTTTCTTCAGCGCTGGTTTCTGAGGCACAATCATGCTGCTCTTTCTGTATCCTAAGGCGTCTTTTAGCCGTTCCCAGAATCTCTGCCTCTTCTCTCAGCTTTCTATCGACATCCTATTCAAGTTAGAGGTTTCTCATGTGAACTCTGTGTCGTTTTCGGACTCGATGTAACATATCTGTCGACTTACATAACCATCACAGCTTTCCATTCTTACCAGCCAATCTTCTAAGGAGTTACGGAAATAGTGCTCCATGTAAATGCCAAGTAGGTCTTTCGTCCCGTCTAATTTTAATACCGTGGTGGTAATGATGAAAGAAGATAGCTCCAACTGGAGATATATGGGTTTAACGATTTCGAGAGTTCGGAGCAATTGTCGGGGTGTGATCTGCGCGCTTGGATAACCGGCTCCAAAAATAAGCTCAAGTTGAAAGCCTTTCCGATGCTTGATGATCGACAACATAGACAGGTGAGCGCTCAATTGCTCGTAGTATCGGTTTACTATTCTGTTCTTCAAAAGGTCCGCAGGATACTCCCCATTTCGTTTTTGTTCGGGTGGAATGGGCTTAAAGTAAAGCTTCAGGCGTCGTATATGATCAACAACTTTGATTTCTTTGCCAAACCAATCCCAGAAAAGATGTTGTTCCTTACAATTGGGATCGAGCGCAACGTCGAGCTGTCGAAAAAAGGTATCGACAATCTCGGAAGCAATGGCTCCTCCAACGTATTCAGGGCGAGCAAAGAACGGAATCGAATAGTGGGTCGCACACCTCCATACTTCCTGTCCGCGCTGCTGTTCAAATTCCCACCTTGTTCGTAATAGAGCTGCCCGTTCTCGGTCATGGTGTGTTTCTTCATCCAATAAGTACTCGTACACTTGATCTCGGATCTCTCGGGGTAATGCGGTTAGAAAGTGTGTGAAAAATGGGGCATGAATGGTCCGCGTAATCCGCGCAACCTCTTCCTCGAATTCGCTGAATTGAGGTCAGACTTGTAAAGACAGTCAGATACTGTACACACTGCATTGCAACTCCCCAATCGTCCGCTACCAGCATACCATCATCGAATTTTGTTCGTTCGTAGAATTTTGCGTACGCACTTCTCAAATCCTGATATAATTGGATTCTTCGAAGGTGTTAGACGGATTCATGATATGGAGAGACATGCCTACTCTTGGCCCACCTCCATCGAATGAAGCAATGCCTAATTCTGTTAATTCAGATCCCTAGGGGCTGTAGCAAGCTCAGAGACGCAGTTAAATGTGTCTCAGTAGAGGATACCAGGTTTGATACATTAGTGAACACATAAGCCTCGGATTCCTGAAGAGCTGAGCCTCACCATTGTGGCCTCTACAGCTTACATAATCATACTCACGTGCTCTATTCGGAGTTTGCCTCCAAACCCCGACCGACTCTTTCACAAAAGAAGCCAAATCTGTCCTTCGGCTTCTCCACAAAAAGCTACATCAAAACTCTGCGCACAACCCAATCGCAGTGTGCCGGCGAATACGCTTTCTTCGCAATGTCGAACAGGTAAAGAGCAGCCATCTCTCTATGCTTTCCCATCCAAACCTATTTACGTGTTAACAAGAGACTCGCAGATTCGGACGCGACACCTCGCGCAATTCCCTCTTCAGCACCTACGACCGCAGTACCTCGCCTTCGAAGAACAAACCCTCGCGCTCACCCGGCCGACCAACTTCGGGCTACGGATACGGCTACACACCTCCATCCTCTGCAGACCATCTTGCTGCTTCTAACGGTCCTGCATTCAGCGCATACCCCAGCGCAAGCGCAAACGGGACAATAGGAGCGCAGGCAGCGTTTCGACCTGCGACGCCGAATTCTAGGGGCCAGTATTCAGATGCGGTGTTAAGTGAGCTGGAAAGCCAGAATGATGATCAAGTGGGCATTTTGACGGGGAAGGTGCGGATGTTGAAGGATGTACGAAATCACCTCTCCCTACGCTGCACCTAGATCTGGAGGTGGGCTAATAGCGAGAAACAGTTGACATCAGCCATCGGCGACGAGATCCGCGACTCGACTACCCTCGCCGAAAAAATGAACGACTCTTTCGACAACACGCGGTTAAAACTGCGGGGCACGATGAACCGAATGCTAAGGATGGCTGAGAAGACTGGTGTAGGCTGGAGAGTCTGGCTGGGCTTCTTTGCAGCTGTGATATTTTTGTTTTGGTACGTGTGGTTGTTTTAAACGCACAGTGGCCCCTTATACAGGCGTTACTTTAAACGTTTAAGAGTTGGGGGGCGTATATACGGGTGTATGGAGAGATAACAGGAGTTCCGCGCGATATCTAGACGCAAAAGGGGAGGGTTTGGGTTGTGCTGTTAGTGGAACTTAATGCATAGATGGCGTTGGGGGTTAACTTTTGAAAGAAGGGCAGCATACACCAATCAATTGGTAAACTTCACAGTACCTATATTCCTAATGTAATAATCACGGTTCTCACGCAAGCAACATCTTCAACGTAACCTCCTGTTTTATGGATGCCGGCTATGTTGCAGCGCCAAGAACCTGAGCGCAAAAACAATCAAGTTCAGGGAGTGGAGGATAAATCAACCCGGCACCACGACAGAACATGCGTATGCCTATAGCGTTCATAGGATAATGGTATCAATGTATACGTATACAAACCCCGAGGGACAAAGTGGAGAGTTCGACCTCCCCAACCCCCTTCCTTCCCCTTCCTCCCTATCCCAGCACTAATACTCTTCCCCGAGCACCTTCTTCAACACTTTACTCTCGTTCTCATACTGCTCAATCTTTGCCTGACTCACTGCCAACTTTGCCAACAAATACTGAATCCTCGGCGTCATCTGCGCGGGTTGACTCTTCAGCTTACTCATCAGCAGCAATTCATTCTCACACTTGTCAATCGTCGCATTCTCGATTTTAGTTAGATCCGTGAAGATCGCTAAGTCGAGTCGACTCCGCAACACTTTATCTTCCGTCAGTCTCCTGAATGCAGATTGGTAAACTGGCTTTCCGGGCTTGATGCTTGCGGGACGGCCGTTGGGTCCAGACACGATGCTGATGAGTTCGGCTTGCTCGAGGGCGCGCAGGACAGACTCCCCCGAGGATTTATATATGTCTGAAATAAGGACTTCGTGGTATCGGAGGGTTTCTTCGGCAGCGAGTTGTTTAATGAGGAGCCAAGCCTGCTCGGACGTCCAGCGACGAGAGGAGTCGTCGGAGCCGTCGGAGCCTAGGATATACATTTTCAGGATCTCGGAGGCGGATTGGTCGATTATTTCATGTACGGCTTTGGTGGGTGTTTCTCCTGTCTTGATTCTTCGGGCAAGGAATTCGAGGTCAGTGAGACGGCCGCCGAGAAGGTCAATGCAAGAGTCTAGCTCAGCGAGGTCGGTGCGAGCTTGTGAAGGAATCATTTTGTGTGAGCCATCTTTAGGCTCTGGATCATCCTCGACATCGGCGTCGAGGTGGGTGATCACAAACTTCTTGGCTACTTCGGGAGTACAGTCGGAGAGCGAGATTTGGTGGAAAACGCGGTCAGGAAGGGCTTTTGAGAGAGACTTACTGAATGAGACGTCGTTGGTAAGGAATATGACGTGAGCAATGTTTGCAGTGGTCAGACGCGCGGCCCTGATACGGTTAGTGATATTTCGAATGTAGCAGATGTGAGAGTCGAGGCATACCATTCAGCAATCTTGTCATACACAAGCCCGCCCTCTTGACTTTTGTGTAAAAAGTTGTCGATTACAACCACAGGCCTCCGCTCAGGATGAGCCTCAAGCCATTCATCATCTCCAATGTGAGCATCTCTGTCTTCCTTATGGCGGCTATTCAGCGCAATCTGCCGCAGTGCAGTTGCCGTGTTGTTCCAAATCTTTGCGAGCTGGGAGTCGAGAGTCTCCGAGAAGCCAGTCTTGACGCCAGTAGCACCTTGGGCTGCCATATCAATCATACCGCTGATGCTGTTCATCCATGAGAACACAGGGCGATAGCCAACCTCTGCAGCAGCAGCATTGATCGTAGCACTGTCACCGCGAGCTTCTTGTATGGGCTTGCAGTCAATTATAACTGTGTGCTTCTTGTGCTTGAGCGCTTGATCGATAACCAACTCTCGCTTTCCTGAGCCGCGAGGGCCCTGAACAATGATAAATGTATCTGCAGTCTCCATAAGCCAAGTTTGGATCTGCTCAATGTTCCCCTTTCGGTCGTCCCAGACTGCTTCCATGCCGTGTTCGTCATCGGGGCGGCGGTGAAATCGGAAGATGTCCGTCGCATAGCCTTTGATCCACTTGTAGATTTTGTTGTCTTGGATATGCCATACCCTTGTGATGTGTGCCTTGATAAAGAATGTTCGGATGCTGAGGTTTACCTTAGAGTCAAAAGCCAAAGGGCAAAGAAGGGGTTTTTAGACTCACGGGTCAAAGACTGCAACAGTGATACCGGCAATGATCGCTGCAATGACGGGAATCACAATCCTCGGATGGTTGACAAGCCAATCTCGGATCCAATGAGGCTTGATTTTTTGCTCATAAGTGAGCCTTAGCACCGTTCCTGTCTTCCCTCCCCCTTCGGCCTCGGAAACAAAGTATCCATGCATGCAGTTCTTTGCCATGATAGCCCTTGGTCTTGCTGCAAAGTCTAGATAGGCATATCTTGGCATGACCTTGGAGTCAAATGACTGTGGCAGGATATCTCCTAACTTCCCATAAGGCCTGAAGAACGTATAGAGTTGTTCCTGCGAAAGCTCTACAGCCTCCGCTCCAGGCTCTGAAGGAATAAACTCAACCTTTAGCCGTGGTGTAGGGAATCGGAAGAGATCCTCAACCCAAGGTCGACCCTTAACTAAGTTCACGCGCATTCTTCTAAAGGGGCTCCACCATGGCTTGATTTTCTCATCCTTCAGGTACTGCTTCAGTGCCTCCTCAACCTCGGCAGTTGACGTGCTTCCATCATGGCTGAACTTGACAAAAGCGCCTCCTTCTTTGAGCCGCAGAAAAACCTCGGAAGCTGTGATAGGTATACTCTTTTTACTGCTGGCCTCTTCGATGACCTGCTTGGGATCGATCCCCGTGATGCTGGGGCGGATGAAGTAGTTGAGAAAATTGGGCGGTTTGTCATGAGATGCGAATGGAACACCTAAGATCTTTTGGATCCTTAACGGAAAGACATCTGGGAATGTAAGCTTCGTGGCTTTTGAGCGGGTTGGCTCGTCTAGCGTACTGTCAAAGAACAAAATTCCTTCATTTGGCCCGGCTCTGATGTGACCTGACTTGTGTTGACCCGCCTGCAATGTCGCATACCGCGGTTTCATTACCCAATGTCTATGTTGAACCGCAAATGGGGTTCTGAATTGCTGTTAGCATCCTTAGATGAATCTGCGGCCAAGGACTTCGTTTGAACATGAGGTCTCACCTTATGTCGACTCCATGTAATCCCCTCCGTGAGCTCCTGGGAGCAACACACACCCACTCGGTATTCAACAGGCGAGGCATAGTCACGTCTATGGGGCCTATTGAAGCATGGCAGGCTGTAGTATGCACAACATCAATCAATTCATCCGGAAAACCTGTGGTTTGTAGTGACGCAACCGTGGAAAGCACGTCCATTTTTGCTAGGCTTACAAGCCAACGCCACTTGAGCGCCACAATCTTGGCGTCCAACATCAAGCTTTCACATCTCAAAGAGACTGGAAATGGCTTGGAATACTACACTGGCAACAACCTAAAGCTTCAGGGTGGTTCTAAAATTATTGTTGAAGCGCTCTACTGGCACTGTATTGTATCTCCTAAACGTGGAATGTAGCAGGGAGGCAATTTAGGACAGAGATTGGCAACTTGTTGATGTCCTTTCTAGTTCTAGCAAGAGGTGTAGTTGATAGATTCTACTTTAGCCATGCTACACAGTATGTGATAGCGTGCTATATATCTCGAGGCACTGAGCGGGGGTCAACTTCTGGAGGTCAGGAGTGAGGCATGAAAGATGTGGTAACCACGGTCGAGCATTCGCCAGGTAGCCTTACCGCTTTGAAATGAGCCTTGTGGTCAAATTCCAGGCATATAGACACTAAATTGGAAGGGGAAGTTCATTTATCAGGACGAGCGCTAAACTACACTGCTGACCGCCACCATGCGTCCAGGATCGCTCTCATATTAGGGAAAAGGTATCGTGCAGGTAGAGGATGAGGAAATGCAGATGAAAACAGAAAGCAGAAAGTGAAGCCATTTCCCCATGAAATCGTGCCAAATGGTAGACACGTCTTAGTAACAGTGATAACCGTGTCTCGTAAACATATACATGAAGGCGTTTAAGCGGTAGCAGTGATAGGCTCCTTAAAACCTCCGTTCGCCTTAGAAAGCAATTCGTAGGGGGGACGTTTGACGATGCCGCCGGTAACTGGAAGTTGGCTGCCAACCCCGGTGAGGTATGAGTCGACATCTCGAGCAGCCTGACGACCTTCGTTGATGCCCCTTCGTTTCGTGTTAGCATCTGACAGCCTATATACATCTGGGGTTCACTTACCAAACAATAAGAGATTGACCGCGACGGCAATCACCCGCAGCAAATACACCAGGAAGATTCGTGTTGTAGTGGCCAGGTGGAGTCTTGACGTTTTTGCGGGGATCACGTTCAACCAGCCCTCCCAAGACGCGTTCTTCGGGGCCTAAGAAACCCATAGATAGTAGAACGAGGTCAGCTGGGAAAAACTCTTCGCTACCCTCAACTTGCTTCATATCCCAACCACCGCTAGCCGACTTTGTCCATTCGACTCGCACAGTGTTAATGCCTTTAACGTTGCCGGCCCCGTCATCTACAAAGTCTTTCGATAAGACGCAGAACTCTCGCGGGTCTTTACCCATATGTGTCTTAACTTCCGAGTGACCGTAGTCGACACGATAGACTCGTGGCCATTGTGGCCATGGGTTGTCTCGGGCTCGTTCTGCTGGCGGCTGGGGTAGGAGTTCGAAGTTGGCCACACTGAGGGCTCCATGGCGAACAGAGGTGCCAATGCAGTCATTGCCGGTATCCCCACCACCAATAACAACAACGTGTTTTTTTGCGGCTGAGATAAAGGCATCGTCAGACAGGTTTGAATCAAGTAGTGATTTAGTGTTCTTATGCAGAAATTGCATAGCGAAGTGAATGCCGTTCAAATGGCGGTTGGGGATGGGGAGATCGCGAGCGACTGTTGCTCCAGTAGCAATGACAACGGCGTCATTCTCTGCGCGGAGGGATTCTAAGCTAGGCTGCCCCTCCTCACCAACGGCCACCCCCGTGACAAATTTCACGCCTTCCGAGGCCATGAAGTCTACACGGCGCTGCACAACCTTTTTGTCGAGCTTCATATTCGGGATGCCGTACATAAGCAACCCGCCAATTCGATCAGCCCGCTCATACACGGTCACAGTATGGCCGGCCTTGTTAAGTTGATCGGCTGAAGCGAGGCCTGCAGGACCAGAGCCAATGATGGCGACCGTCTTTCCAGATCGGTTTTGCGGCGGCGAGGGAACCATCCAGCCCATCTCAAAGCCCCGGTCGATAATGGCACACTCGATTGATTTGATGCCCACAGGATCCTCATTGATACCAAGAACGCACGCGCCCTCACACGGAGCAGGGCATACGCGGCCGGTGAATTCAGGGAAGTTGTTTGTCATTAGCAAGCGGTTGAGAGCATCCCTCCATTGGTTCTGGAAGACTAGCTCATTCCACTTGGGGATGATGTTGCTAATAGGGCAACCAGTGTCGGATTGACAGAACGGAACACCGCAGTCCATGCACCGGGCTGTTTGATACTTAAGTTCGTCCTCGTTCAGCCGCTGCGAAAGCTCCTGCCAGTCGCGCGTCCGGGTCTTCGGATTACGATACTTCTCGGATCGACGTTGATACAACTTGAATCCGCGAGTCTTGTCGAGAACGAGGGCCTTCTTCTTCTCCGCTTTGGCGTCTGTTACGCTCTCTTCGATGTCAAGTAGGTCATTCTTCTTCTTCTCTTTCGCCTCGTGTTCGTGCTGTGCCTGTCGGGACTCTTCGTGGGCTTCGCGCACCGGATTCCCCGGAAGGATTGGCAATGGGTACTCCTGCTTCTTCTTCTCAGCCTCCTTGGCTGCTTCTTCCATCAGCACGCGCTTGTAGTCAGTTGGCATGACCTTGACAAAGCGGGGCAGGGCACGATTGAAGTCAAGGAGGATTCTCGCAGCAAGCTCAGATCCAGTATAATGGTGGTGATCTTCGATGAGACCACGCACAAAAGCAATTTCTTGAGGCTCTTCAAGCCCAGACAATTCAACCATCTCTTGGTTGACCTTCTGTTCGAAGTCATGGTGCATGTCAAGGACGTAAGCGATGCCACCAGACATGCCAGCAGCAAAGTTACGGCCGGTAGACCCAAGAACAAGCACACGACCGCCCGTCATGTACTCACAACCGTGGTCTCCAACACCCTCAACAACAGCAGTCACACCGGAGTTACGAACGGCAAAACGCTCAGCAGCGACACCACGGAAGAAGCAAGAGCCGCTAGTAGCACCGTACAAGCATACGTTACCAATGAGGATATTTTCCTCTGCTTTAAAGACGGCCGTGCGCGGCGGATAGACGATGAGGCGCCCACCAGAGAGACCCTTACCAACATAATCGTTGGCATCACCTTCAAGCTCCAGAGTGACACCAGGTGCAAGGTATGCACCGAACGATTGGCCAGCCGAGCCACGGATGTTGGCGTGGATCGTGTCTTGGGGCAGACCAGCCTCACCATATCGCCTACTGATCTGATATGAAAGTGTTGCACCCAAGGCGCGGTCGGTATTGACGATGTCGCACTCGATCCGAGCTGGCATACCTTTCTCAAGAGCGAGTTCGGATTCAGCAATGAGCTTATTGTCGAGACGAACATGAAGGCGATGGTCCTGCTTTCGTACATTGAAAGTTGCGACGCCAGGTCGAAGTGTGTGTGCTGGCGTTAGGATGAGAGATAGGTCGATGTTCTCCGTCTTCGCGGTCCGGAGATCATCCCTAATACGGAGAACTTCGCATCGGCCAACCATTTCGTTTACCGTCCGGAAACCCAGCTTGGCCATGATGGCTCGGAGCTCGTTGGCGACGTAGTAGAAGAAATTGATGACATGCTCTGGGGTCCCGATGAACTTCTTTCGAAGCTCGGGATCTTGAGTTGCAATACCAACAGGGCAGGTGTTTAGGCTAGAAATATTACTGTTAGCTATAGGACAAAACTAGGAAATAGTAGGTTTCCTATGTCAGATAGGCCTGTCCGACAAACCCAGCAAAGCGAAGGCTCTACCCTGGCTGTCCTAAAATGCCCGCTGTTGCTTGTAGGGGCGGAAAATACGAAAGGGGGAAGAAAAGAAGGGGTAGCTTACTGGCACTTCCGCATCATGATGCATCCCATGGCGATAAGAGGAGTTGTGGCAAAACCCCATTCCTCTGCACCTAGTAAGCAAGCAATGGCGACATCTCGTCCTGTTCGAATCTGGCCATCTGTCTGGACAATGACACGGCCTCGGAGATCGTTAAGTACTAGAGTCTGGTGCGTTTCGGCGAGACCGAGTTCCCATGGGAGACCGGCATATTTAATACCAGTCCACCGAGAGGCACCTGTACCACCATCGTGGCCAGAAATGAGGATGTGATCAGCCTTAGCCTTAGCAACTCCAGAGGCGACAATACCGACACCCGTTTCAGAGACAAGCTTGACAGAGACACGAGCGCGAGGGTTCGAACACTTCAGATCATAGATCAGTTGTTTTAGATCTTCGATCGAGTAGATGTCGTGATGGGGAGGAGGGCTGATCAGGCCGACACCAGGAGTGGAGTGACGAGTCTTTGCAATAGGCCCGGACACCTTGTGGCCGGGCAGTTCACCACCTTCCCCAGGTTTGGCGCCCTGTGCCATCTTGATTTGCAGCTCATCAGCATCTGCAAGGTAGTTGCTTGTAACGCCAAATCGTCCCGAAGCTACCTGCTTGATGGCCGAACGCATTGTATCACCATTCTCCAATCGAAGGCTTCTCTCGGGATCTTCGCCACCCTCTCCAGTATTCGATTTCCCTCCTAATCGGTTCATAGCAATAGCTATGGTTGAATGAGATTCCATGGAGATAGATCCATAAGACATAGCGCCAGTCACAAAACGGCGGACGATCTCCGTCCAAGGTTCAACTTGGTCAATCGGGACTGGTGCCCTGTCATCAAAGTTAAAGTCAAGTAGGCCTCGAAGCGTGCAATCTTTGATCCGCTCGTACTCAGCGATCGAATATGCTTCGTAGGACTTGTCGTTCTTGGTCCGAACTGCGTCCTGTATATTTGCAATAGCCGTGGGATCATTTACGTGAGGCTCCCCGCCATCTCGCCAGTGGTACTCTCCAGTCTCTGCAAGACCAGGAACTTCGACAATGCTTCTACTCGGGTATCCTTTCTCGTGTAGAGCGAACGCATCCTGTGCAATGAGCTCAAACGTCATACCCTTAATACGAGAAGCAGTTCCGGTGAAGCAGCGATCAACCACGGTGTCATCTATGCCGAGAGCTTCGAAAATTTGTGCTCCTTTATACGACTGCAGCGTAGAGATACCCATCTTGCTCATGACCTTGAGAATACCCCCATCGCAAGAATGCTTGTAATTGTCAATGAGTTGTTCAGGGGTCAGCTTCTTGCGGATGAGGCCTTCGCGGTGCATCTTAAGAATGCACTCAATTGCGAGATATGGGCAAATGGCGTCAGCACCATATCCGACGAGGACGCACATGTGGTGGACTTCGCGGGCCTCAGCAGTTTCGACAACAAGGGCGGCTCGTGATCGCCACTTGTTCCTGACGAGGTGGTGGTGGACCATACCAGTAGCGAGCAGAGACGATACCGGAACCCGGTCCGCGGAAGTTGCACGATCGGACAAAACAAGGATATTATCGCCATTTGAGATGCCCTCAGTAGCAGCGTCGCAGATCCTGTCCAAGGAGTCCATATACCCCTGAATACCCTCACTCTTAGGGAAAGTGATGTCGATGTACTTCACTGACCATTCAGGATAGATAGTGTGGGTGTTCGTGAGGGCTTTGAACTCATCAATAGACAGGACGGGCGAGGGGAGAAGCATCCTGTAGCACTGGCTTTCGTCCATCTCAAGAAGATTGCCTTGCGGACCAACGTAGGCCTCAAGAGACATCACGATGGCCTCGCGGATTGGGTCGATTGGTGGATTTGTGACCTGCGCAAAGAGCTGTCGGAAATACTCAGACAAGAGCCGAGGTTGAGTTGCCAAGCAGGCCAGCGGAGCATCGTTCCCCATAGATCCGAGGGCTTCTTTCGAGTCTGCAGCCATTGGTCCTAGGAGGAGACTGACTTGTTCAAGAGAATATCCAAAGGCTCGTAAACGAGGATCCTCCTGAAGACGCGCCTCGGTGGGCTTCTGGGAGAGATCTACTCCCTTTTCTCTGACTTGCTTTAGTATCTTCGGGAGAGTCAGGAGGTTCTTCTCAATCCATGCTCGGAAATCATGTCGAGATGAGACAGTTTGCTTCAGCTCAGTGTCGTCAACAATACGTCCCGCGACAGTATCAACAAGAAGCATTCGTCCTGGCTGCAGTCGACCTTTCTGAACAATTCTCTCTGGTTCAATGGAGATGGTGCCCACTTCAGATGCACAAACAATCCTGTCATCGTCGGTGACGTAGTATCGGCAAGGTCGGAGACCGTTTCGATCCAGGTTGGCCCCACAATATCTTCCGTCAGAGAAGGTGAACAAAGCAGGACCATCCCAGGGTTCCATCATACAGCCTGCCCACTCATAGAAAGCTTGTTTAGCAGGGTCCATTGCACGGTTACCTTGCCAAGCTTCTGGAACCATGAGCATGACTGCTTCAGGGAGGGAGAGCACACCATTGATTACGAGTAATTCAAGGACGTTATCAAAAGCAGCAGAGTCGGAGCCACCGTCCTCGATAATAGGGTACAGAAGGTTGAGGTCCTCGCCGAAAAGGTCAGACTTCATAAAACCCTCCCGGGCCCGCATCCAGTTCTTGTTGCCTCGCAATGTGTTGATCTCACCATTGTGGGCAGCCCATCGCAAAGGCTGAGCGCGATCCCAGCTAGGGAAAGTGTTGGTGGAGAACCGAGAGTGTACAAGAGCGAAATGGCCCTCGTAATCTACCGAGACTAGGTCGTGGTAGTACTCGTAGACTTGGACGGGCGCCAATTGGCCCTTATACACGATGTTCTTATTGCTCAGAGAACACAGGTAAAACCAGTTATGGAGACCTATCACGTGGGTTGCTCGTTTTCGGAGAACATAAAGCTGCCGCTCGAAGTATGCTCCGTCGAAAGAATCTTCGAAATCCGGTTTCGGCTCCTTCCCGTCTCCATATGCAGTTTTCAAGACGACGAAGGGCTGCAGAATTATCGGCTCCCGAGAAAGTGCTGCAGGGCCAAGGAGAGTGGAGTCCCGAGGAACCTCTCGCCATCCAAGGACCCTCAAGTCTAGCTGGTCCGCGACCTCCTCGAATGTCCCCTTTGTCTCCTCGAGTATTTGCGGGTCTGGCTTGAAGAAAAGGTTGCCGGTGGCGTACTTGCCCTGGGAAGGCAGCTTATAGCCTTGCTCGCGTTCAAAGTTCTTAAGAAAGAACTTGTGTGGGATCGAAGTCATGACACCGGCTCCGTCTCCGTCTCGGGCATCTGAACCAACCGCACCTCGATGGGTCATGTTGCAAAGAAGAGATCGAGCTACACGAGTTGTTAATTGATGTATACTGGACGCACAAAGATTCTTCATGGATCCTTACCATCCGAGACGATCTTGTGGCTGGCCACGCCCTTAATATGGCTTCGAATTGTTAACTCCAGTCTCTACACTCGCAAACAGCTTGTCAGGGAGCACGTACGCAGCGAATCCGACACCGCAAGCGTCTTTCTCAAGCTCGGGGTCATAAAGACCCTGCTTCAAGGGTAAGACACCCGCCCACGACTTATTGTCTGGGCCATCCTGGTAGGCAAACACTGAGGCTTGCTCTTCTTCCACAATCGGAGTATCCTGAGGCAGATTTATTTCTTCAGCGAATGACACCTGACCCATTATATCGGCAACAGGCCGTAAATGTCGAATGGGTACGAATGGGTACGAATGGGTCGACTGCGGTTTTGGTATCCAAAAAGAGGATTTTTCGGTTGCTGACTGATGTCTGTTAGCTGCCGGACTTCCAGGAGAGAGTTATGTCGTGGCGTGAGTCCCACGGGTAGAAGTTCGAGTCTCGCTCTCGAATAATCGCGGATGGATATCTTTCAAAAGCAAAAAAGAGTATGAGGAACAGTGTTGCACTGGCACAGAGAGTACGGCGTATCAATGGCTCTCCAGGTAAGGGGAGTGCCGGGTGAACTCGGTCACCAGCTCCAATGGCCCCGATTTGGCAAAACGATGCCAATGACGAAATGTCGGGGGGTCGGCCGTGACCGATGGCTGCCAGAGGATGTACAGAGGGCGATGATAAGGAGCTGGGCGAATGGGAGAACGCGGGGTTGTGCTTTGATGAAGGGAAAGGCGCTCGGTAAACCCTTGCGCATGGCAAGCTTCTCGAAGACGCCCGCTGTTTGGTGGAGGGGGTGCAGGTGCAGCGGAGTGGGTAGGAAGCTGACTTACACGCTACTATAGAACAGGCCTTTGTTGATGGGGATGTCAACTCGCTGGTGTCCCTGCAAGCAACTACCAGTGGGAGGTGGGTGTAGTGTGGAAGAGGAAGAGGGTGGAAGGTACGGCGGAGGACGAAGCCTTATGAAGGGAGGGAGCGCAGGTAGGTGGGGTTCTCAAAAATTCACCTACGCTAACCCTCTCACTACCACGCTCTGCCAATTATCGATCTAGACCCGTTTCTAACGGGTTGCTGTGTTGTCTCTGGCAGCAGCTCCCCTCGCTTCCACGCCGCCTGCACAGAATTTCCGAGTCTTGGAGAGCGTCTTGGTACTCTATCTGGGCTATATGAGGATGAGAATCTCAGAACGGCGGTACCATGTCAACCTTTGACCCACTCCCCTTGCAGGGGAACAAAGAAATCACACTCTGCTTATAGCGCCATCCTAAAGTCCCAATTGACCTCCGACGGTGCCTTAAAATCGCTGCCAGAGCGATTGCATGTCCACAGGGCCAGCAAGTGCAACCTGGCGGCGTTCATGTACATACAAATTTAACGATTTCCCTGCAGCTCTGTCGTGCGTTGGAGATTTTGCCCTGTTACCCCACGGTTTCTGCCACCCTACATTACCATAAGCAGCCTAAGATTCGCCAGGGCCCTCGCTCTTGTGCAGGCGGTAGGAGAATCGTTCGGCGCGCAGGCGAATCGCAGAGCTCCGAAGTCGCCTTGACATCTTGTGATGACCTGGTGGTGCGGCATGCCTGTGGCTTTCCGCTGCCCCAAGCTCTGTAGTCCAGATTGCCGCAGCCAACCCACGGTACCCACGCCGCCCAATTTCATTCCGTCGAAAGACATTGGCTCGCTTTACAAGCCTCGCATTGCCGGCGCTTCTTTGTCGTAATTTGGCGTGGTCATCCACGCTCTGCCGCTCCTTATCTGCCCCCAACAAACGTCACCGGAAACGGGGTGCAGCAGTATCGTGGAGGGAAGATCTTAAAAAGACCCCGCCTCCAGGACGGAACGCCGCTGTGAATTTGCATCGGAGGCCGACGTCAGGACCGAGGCGGAGCGTTGATGGTTTCCTCTCTAACACGGGCACAGACATATTCCTCCACCGCGCCGCACGCTCCGCTCTCGGCAAAATTGTCAACTCCGTTGGTCTCACGACGAACTGACGACTGTACCGCCACGGCAGGAAGACAAATGATGGTCGGGAGAGACCGGATAATGCATCAGCCAGCTAACGGGTCTGTCCTGGAAGGAACTCGCCTGAGATTTCCATGAGTCACGAGAACATAGGTCTTTTTCCTCCCTCCAAGCCTACATCTTCGATACGCCGATATCGCATCGGTTAGAATTACGGATTGATGATACAACGGATAACCCAGGCTATCCAAGCGACTCCTGACTGCCGCTCGCATAGAAAGATCAAAGGAAACTAACTTTATGGTCTTACGATTCTTGTGCTGGCGGTGAAGCATGTACCGGGGACATCATGGGTCAACATTTAATGTACCTAATACATTTCCAATTCGGGATCCAGACAAGAGTGGGAGGTTAGAGTATCTCCGGAGACAGTTGATGCGAGCGGGCCTTCCCAGCCGCTTTCAACCAAGGAACACTCTGATAAATTTTCATGGCTGTCCCATCTGGTTGGAAACTTGGATGTCGGGGGACCCTCAGGTTGGGCACGTCCGTCTCAAGACATTGCCCGCGTGATAGCATTCTGCAGATGAAACATTTCTAAGGTTGTTTCTTGCACGGCTGAAGAAATCGCACGTGAACGTCACGGTCTTAGCTAATATGAAGTGCTGCATGCGGGAATGCGGTCCGCAAAGAGACCGTTTAGTTGACCGGATTGCATCTTTGAAGATCTGGAAGAAGCATCAAACGCCGAGGCTAGATTGGTACAACCAATCAAGAACAGAGTATTACTCGATCATTGAACCAATCATAATCTCTCCTTTCTGTCACTCACACCTTTGGCCTTGACTTCAGTTCAAGGACAAACTCAATTTGAGGGGTGGTTCTCTCTAACTTCATCCCCTATTCCATCTAATCGCCGAAGACGACAGTGCCGCACAGTGCACGGCGCAGGGCTTGATCGAGATTACGAATACCTGATGATTATTACCTACGTCTCACGCGAATTCGGACGAATAGCCCACAGAAGCTGTGTCCTCAGTATCGTGATCATTAGCTTCGAATCTTCGATCTAGTCCCTGGAACAATGGACTTTTCTTGCGCTTGCATCGGAGATTAACTTGCATGGACCTCAACTTGCATATCCCCTTGCCACCGGACCGTGACATTTTAGCCATGGCGAGCTTTTCACTCTTGAAGTTTGAATTTCCGCCTTCCCGCCTTAAACATTCTTTAGCTATAAGGGTCTTGTTTCGGACAGAACCCAGACCCCCTTAACCCTCACGCTAATCGCAGCAACATATTCAACAAATCGAGGCCTCTGATCCAATCCTCCTCTAAGCTTGACACCAATTTGTAGTCACGGCGGGGTTTTTACAAGATTTATGTCACAAATTTTCCGTTTATTAGAGAGAAGGAGAAAAGCTACCAGAATCTTCACACTTTGAGATCTTTATAGCCATGGGGAACCCCCTTCAAATCTGGCCAAAACAACTGAACCCAACCGTATTTTGAAGACTTAAGAATGATGAGTAAATGCTATTGTTCCCAGGATGACAGGATAAAGTTGATCTTGTGCTAGTGCATATCACAAAATGGTTGAAGTAGTCACTTCCTCTGCTAACGAATATTAAATAAGAATATTGAAAACACTCTTTTCTTCTCTAGGAATATGGATAATTTCGGGGAGTTGAATGGTTGGGTGATTATTGCCTTAACATACGAATGAAAACCACAAAACGCACTCCTCAATTGTCTACCATTCACAATGCCACACTCCTTCCCAATAAATCATTTACAATTTTCAAAACTACATCCTAATGCCAAACCTCCCGCAACTTCCCACAACTTCCTCCACCCTTCCAAGCGAATAAAAAACCCTTCCCCTAACAAGAAAGTACGCAAAAATAATTTTTATGAAATTAAAAAAATTACATACGACAGCCCGGCTTCGCGGGTGGTCACCCGCCCAACTACTAACAGACCGGTAACAGATTTGTCTTGCGAGATCTAACGGGTTCGCGACGTTTTCTAGTTCCTGTGGTCGTATGTGCTTGGATTGAGATGTTAGACGATACATATTTGCGAGGGAGTAGGTAGAATAGGATGAATTGTAGGTCGGCTATGTGAGAGAGAGTTTTTTTGAGCGATTTCAGTCTTCACGAGCTGCGACTTTATGTCTTGAGGTTAATATCCATAACCGAACCCCGCCAAAGACATGTTCGTGGAAGACAGCGATTTTGATTATATCGATGGAAGCGATCAACACAAAAACACTTCGACTTCCGCACAATAAATATCACGTCAGAAAGATGGACCAGAAAGGCACATTCACTTCGAGGTGAAATTTGCTGAATTTGTATGCATATCAGAGGTATCCATGCCGTGAGTTGTGACACTGACAGTGTCCATAACAACCCAGGCTCGCCTCATCACTACTCCATCCAGCATGCAGTGGGACCGCGCCAAGACTCCAGATATCATATGAGCCTGCCCGCCGACCTATGCCAACATGTTTTGTTTATGAATACCAACCCAGATTTCGAGATGCCAAGGCATGAACATGAATGTTTCATGATCGCGTAAATGCGCGCCTACTCCTCCGTCAGTGAATATCCGGAGAGAATAGTGAGGCGGGTTGGGGGCAAGCCGTACCAAGAGAGAGAGTAGCAGGCCTCTACTCTTCCATAGCATCATCTGGGTCATTGAAGTCCTCATCGTCCTCCTCGTCATCGTCTCCACCTAATTCCTGTGCAGCCTTCTTGAAATCGATATTCTTGCCACGCGTGCGACGGCCGCTTGGGATGATGTTGCTGGTGTCGATTTCCTCCATGTTGTCCTCATCCTCTAGCTCAGCTAAATTATTCGTCAGTCCTACATCTCATCAGGATGGCGCGTGCGGGGGAAATTGTACGTTCACCGCCCTGTTGCGATCTAGTTAGCCTTGAAGTTTGCGCTAGTGCTCAGCCGACAGAAGCATACCTCATTCTCGGCGCCAGACTCCTCGCCACTTGAAGACTCCTCAGCAGACTCCTCCATAGCATCTGGAGCCTGCGGGGCCTTGCCCTTGCCCTTGTCAACGGCACCGGTGGGGGCGTTGCTCATTTCAGCGTCCTCCATCTTGTGGTCGTCGGTCATTATCACGGTCTTAGAAGATGTGGCTAATGCTGTGATTCGAAGATACGGAAGGTTGAAAATGCGCAGATTGGTGTGGCGATTGTAGCGCTGGTAAGCTTTTTGTTTTGGGGTGATGTGGAGAAGAAGAAGGTGGTGGAGGGTCGAGGGCGGCTTTTCAACGCGCTTAACCCTTGTCCCATCACTAACCAGATTAGGAAATACCATTGTCGTTGCTGGGCAACGGACTACCAAACAACTGTAAAGCGCACTTCGCTGTTCTTCAGCTTAAGCTTTAGCTTAGGCTTACAGTCTATAATTCGCAGTCTCTAGGTACCGTTGAGGCTGATGGTGGCATTTGGTATGGTCTCGTTTCTCAAAACGAGAAGCGCGCCTGTTGAAAAAGTGCGACACAAGCGATCGATGACTTCGTACAAACACTGTGACCTCCACTTTTTTGTTCTTTACACATGGATTAGTTTTTATTTGTCGGCCTATCAATTGGTTAGTGTATTCAAACAAGATTATAAATCAGCGGAGTGCGATAGGTATCCCTTGACAAGCCTGACCGGTCTGTACGAAGAAACCAGACCAACTTTCCCCAATAAAACAGGGCGGAGTTCGATCTGCAGAGAGAGAAAGAGACTTGAATAATCTTCAATAAAGAACGGCAACAATAGTATATATACCTGGGTAATGCTGGTTTCCAGGAGGAGCTGCAAAGGCCTTTTCTTTTGTTAATTTTTTTGGACTTTTAGATATACTATGGCTGTTGTCTCTGATCTTTTGCAGCGGAAGATACGATCTACAATTGGGATGAAGAAGCTGTCACGTTCGAAGACTGAAAATGTAACAGAGTGTAGACTGAATCAAATGAACATGTTCTTTGCCTAGCCGCTTGACCCCGAGAATTGTCGTATTCTGTTGATATGGCATAGAAAGCACCAGAATCAAATAATCGTCCAGCCAGTTCAGAATAAGCCCCTTCAACTTTGCCCAAAGCTCTTCTACGCATCCGTATTGTCTTCGGGCACAGGGTTCTTCTCTGAAACCGGGTACGTTCTACTCTGGACACTCCGGGTTACGACTCCTTGGTTCATGGAACTCTACCGTTTGGGAACGATGCTTCTGCAAGTACGAGCGCAGTCTCCAGAGCGAAATGACGAGGTAAAGGATTCACCAGTCTGGGGAAGCCATGGGGTATTGAGGAAGGAATTAGGATGAATGACTGAGGAAGAGAGTGCCGACGAGGAAAGGGAGTAGAGAAAAATGTTGAAAATATAGACCTTCGATACAACATGTTTGATGCGCGTTGCGTGATTGAGATGTTGTGGTGAGCCGTGAAGAGGAAGCGTGAAATCGAATGGACCTTCACGAAGTAGCGCACAGACCATCTTCGCCACTTTACGCGAGGAGCCTTGGAACGCGTCTACGCGCCTCAGATTCTCCAACAGCAACACCTCACGAATGCTCGCAAAAATGGCTTTACAGCAGCGAATACGCGGTCGTCATGCTCGTAAGCCTATTATTTCCCAACACAGATCCCTATATCACTAATTGTGCAATTAGATACTCCCGGCGCGACCTTCCTTACCTACACACCAAATGGCAAGAAGCTGATCACAGCTGGTGTGGATAATTTCTGCCGGATTTTCAGTACAGGGAGCGATGATGAGCCAGTTATGGTGGATGAATGTATGGAGAATAGTACAGCTATTGTCGCGAGCGTACGCGCCGTTCCCCCTCTGGTTTCCAAGACTGAACTGATTTGGAGGACAGAATGGCTTCTTCATTGCGGGAGCCGAGGATGGAACAGTGTCTAAATACTCTTTGGCGGACAACACACTAGATCAAGTACTTGTAAGGGCTTCTCTGCCGGTTCGAGATCTTGCATTGAGTCCGGATGGCACCTGGGTTGCCGTTGCGAGCGAGTGAGTCTCCCCCAATTGTCAAGGTTGAAATAAGCCAATAATGAATAGTGAATTGGTTGTCAAGGTCGTCAATACGCAAGACAATATGCAGATTCAAATCCTTCGCGACCAACCCCGAGCCGTCAAACATGTTGCGTTCGACCACAGTGGATCTCATCTCGCTGTATCCTGCACCGACGGCAATATCTATATGTACTCTTTGAGCTCAGAAGAGCCCAACATGATCAAGAAGGTGGATGGGATGATCAAGAGCCTAGAATCAGATGCAGAGGCTAGTTCGAAGGTGCTATGGCATCCCGATGGGAGAGCGTTTGCAACGCCGACAGCCGGACGAGAAATCCAGGTCATGTCTTTCAGCGATTGGGAGCGTCAACGAGCATTCAATACTAGCCACTCTGCAGATATCACAGCTGCGGCTTGGTCACCAAATGGTGCCCTGCTGGCAACTACCTCAAGCGATATGAATCTTTGTCTTTGGGACGCAAAGACGCAGAAGCTACTCAAGAAGTATGCTGATATGAAGGATACGATTCTCGCCATGGTATGGCACCCAACTGAGAATATCCTATCATACACAAACAACGGCGGAGAACTATTCATTCACACAGGCATTGTGCCAGAAGAACATATCTCTCTCCTAGAAAAGTCCCTCCAATCAGCCCCTTTCTTCCACGACCCATCCGAAGGCCGATCGGGAAATGCTATCAAGCCGGCCAATGGAGCCACAAATCTCGACATTCCACACCGTCGACCTCTTCGGGCCCAGACCCCAGACTCCCTTGCTGACATCTTAGGACCCATGTCCGACGATGAAGACATGGCTGATTTCGTAGTTGATGATGACGGTGCAGGTTACGCTCCCGTAGTGAACGGGCACGGAAAACGTACGAACGGACACTTAGGAGTTATCCCTAATGGCACCAGCAAGCGCCGAGCCTATGGATCATCCTTTGAACCCGAAATCCACGAAGCTTTTCAGCCGGGCAGTACCCCCTGGCGTGGTAATCGGCGCTACCTCTGCCTCAATCTCACCGGCTTCGTCTGGACCGTATCCCAAGAGTCTGGCCATCACAACACCGTGACGGTAGAGTTCTACGATCGAGAGTTCCACAGGGACTTTCATTTCACGGACCCATTTCTCTACGACAAAGCCTGTCTCAACGACAACGGGACGTTGTTTTCATGCCAGCCGAGTCATAACGCCTCGGCCATGATTTACTACAGACCCCACGAAACTTGGACTACGCGAACGGATTGGCGGACGAACCTTCCGAAAGGGGAAGACGTCACCGCAATCGCGCTTTCTGACTCGTATGTCGTAGTAACAACCAGTGCGAACTATGTACGAGTGTACACCCTTTTTGGCATCCCCGTGCGTGTCTATCGTCAAAAAGCCAGCCCAGCAGTAACCTGTGCGGCATGGCGCGATTATGTTTTGACCATCGGGAACGGACCTATTGGCGGAGACGGCATGTGTCAACTCCTCTACACCATCGAGAATGTCAAGCGCGACGAAGTTTATCAATCGGGGGATATCGTCGCTCTAACCCCTAACTCGACACTCACAAGTGTCTTCTTCTCCGACAATGGCGATCCGTACATCTACGACTCCACAGGAGTCCTCCTTACACTCTTGCACTGGCGTTCTTCCGGCCAGGCACGCTGGGTGCCTATGCTCGACACGCGGCTTCTCTCGCGTCTTGAGACGGGCGCGAAGGAAGAGTCATACTGGCCCGTCGCCGTCGCGAACCGGAAGTTTCATTGTATTATTCTCAAGGGCGCGGACCAATACCCTTATTTCCCGCGCTCTATTCTCTCAGAATTTGAATTCCAGATCCCGCTCACCTCGCCCTCCGACAATAGCGCCAAAGACAAAGACGAAGACCCCTCGGCCATGAACGACGACGAAGCAGAGGGCGCAACCGGCAAAAAAGAAGACGACACCACGCGCCTAACCCAAACCCTTATCCTCTCCAACACTCTGCATACTCAACTCTCCTCAACTCTCTCCCATACCCGGGGATCACCCTCCCAGCGCCAAACCCTCATCGACCTGGAAGTCGCCATCGACCGCACGCTACTCCAGCTCCTGGGTTTAGAGTGCCTGGCCGGTGAAGACAGGGGTATGAAGGCGTTGGAGATTGTAACGCTTATGCGCGATGCAAATGGCAAGATGTTGGATTTAGCGAGTAAAGTTGCGCAGAGATATGGGAGGGAGGTGTTGGGGGAGAAGATCAGGGAGTTGGCCGAACGGAGGCTTGTAGGTTTGGAGGGGGAGGATGAGGATTAGGGAGGTAGGTTGGGTTTCTTGAGCAGAATTGAGAGAGGTAAACGAGCGGGTTCGCTGTTGTCTGCGATTTATAGTATGGCGTTTTGGTGGATTCAATGAATGCATAGGAAGGTCAAGGTTATGGGTGAATGGTGATGTAGCATGTATCTGGGCACTGTCACTATTGGATTCACGACCAAATCCAGTACCAGGGGTGCCCTTAGTCCAACTGAACTGCCGACTGCGCCAAACCAATGGGATTCGTACTAATCTCAGAGTACTTGTACACGAAAGAGTATACAGACGCACATTTCGCCGACGAAGAACCTTCTCTCTTTTACTAACCACTTCTCTCCGTTTCGGCTTTCCGCATCTGTTCACTACGTTCCTCTTCGTCGTAGATGACTGCTATATCTACAGGGACATCTCAAACTTTGGCAGTACGCTACCACATTGAGCCCATCGTCTCACAGCTGTGACGCCAGGTGACCTTGGTCACGTAAAGAGGCAGGTACATGGTCAGTTCTCCAGTATCCATAGACCCAGTTTGCCTTCCGGTGGCTATGCTTTCTACACCCTTCAGTAATCTGAGTGTGTGTATTCATGCCTGCTCTTAGTTGTACAGATCGAACATATGAAGTAACGTTGGTATTTCAACGATGGTCCATATCCCCTCGTTCGTACAAGCGGGTCCCAGAGTCGTCGGAGAGTATATTCCCAGTGACAAAATTGAAGCGGCCGAATCGATCAAGGTCATTTAAAAGGATTTCTCCCTTGCATTGGAATTCTAGGAAGAGATCCGTTCCAAAAGCCACTCATCAGGAAATAAAACAAAAATGAGAGTCTTAGATCATTAAGTCGCCTGGCCTCCATCCATTTGTTGAACTATGTAGAGAACTGTTGCTTTGCTGACCACATCGCTCTACCAGTATGATTCAAGGGACTCAGAACCATGGCCGTACCGGAATGGAGACTGAAGGTATTAACGAACATTTCACCCACTTACTGTGAATCTTTTATGATGACTCAAACTCCTCACTTCAGTCACAGAAACTCACCTGATCTTGACTTCGGCTTTTGCGGGGACAGAAACCGTGGCTCACGTGATTCTAACAAAGCCCAGACAGGAGATACATAATGCCGTTCCTTTTGTGAAAAGTGCGATTATGTTTAAAAAAAAGGCATCATTCTCTAATACTACACACCTATTCGATAAACAACTTAATTATTTATTTAGGTTGTGTATTGCGGCATTGTATAAACTCGCCATACACGTATCTCAATGGGGAAGAACTGCCCAATTTAACCTTGGCTGTAAGCCCTACATTTAAATACACGATGCTATCTTATGAGTCGAATACGCATAACCGAAACAACGGGGCTGGTTATTCAGATGAACCAAGCCATTCCATCTCAATGGAATACGTTTGACTGCATATTCTGGTTCCTGTCTAGATCGAGCCGACGGTGTGGGCTTGATCGGCTCCGCCCTCCCTGCACTTCGACCACGCATCGTTTTACCATTTCAACGTCTTTTGTCCATGATAGGCTCTTTTTCAGCAGACATGCTAAACTACGCGTTGGGGTTCTCAAAAATAGACTCCCCCGGCTAGTAGGCTCAAGAGAACTTATATCAGAATAGAATCTCGTCCAGAAGGACTATAGAATTAGCACACTAGGTTCTCACAATCGAAATAGTAGAATGAAAAGTGCTGTCACTCTGACAAGTGGGTCATACAATGATGAATCTTCGATGACCTCCTAGTTCGATATTGTGTTAGAATCGAGGGCATTGAAGTCGCAAGCCCAGAGTGAAATGTCCTAGATTTGATCTCACGGACTCGATATTATTTCTTGAAGATTTTGTTATACTCAACTAAAAAAGGCATAGAATATTTTTGTGGCAGAGCCATTCTAGCAGATTTACTTGATGTTACACGTCAGGTTGGAGGGGTGTATTGAGGGGATATGAGTTCGTGATTGTTCCTCGGGCAGTAGTTGGGTTTGGATTAGGAAAGTGTGGCGGTGCATAACCCCACTCTCTCACCCAACTCATGAAGCACATCAGTCACATCAAAGGCCCAGCCAACAGGATACAATTTGTTTGATGAGTGTACCAGTACGCATTAGAGAATCAAGAAACAAAAGAAGAGACCCTTCCATCATCGTCACACTCTCAAAATGCACTCTCCATCAGCCCCACTTTTGAGAGTCTACAATCCATATGCCGCGCTGCGGTTGCAGTTGCAGTTCCCGACACCGACACTGACACTGACAAAAAACTCCATCGCTTTACCACTATCGCCAAGAGTTGCATGCTTTCCCATCAAAGCAGATCTGAGTTGAGCTGCTCGACGGAAAGAGCATGCGACTAATCAACAATACAGAACTGCAAGTCGCCGCGCCACGTCGCCAAAACATAGGGATACGTTCCAGTGTTTTTGTTTAGTACTCGGCCTCAGCACCCTCCTCGCCCTCGATCGAGTCGGCCGCAACCTCCTCGTAGTCGCGCTCAAGCGCAGCCAAGTCCTCACGAGCCTCGGAGAATTCGCCCTCCTCCATACCCTCGCCAACATACCAGTGGACGAAGGCACGCTTGGAGTACATGAGATCGAACTTGTGGGATAGGGCGGACCAGGCTTCGGCGATGGCGGTCGTGTTGGAGAGCATGCAGACGGCACGGTTGACCTTGGCCAAGTCGCCGTTGGGGACCATCTGCGGAGGCTGATAGCAGATACCAATCTTAAATCCGGTCGGGCACCAGTCAACGAATTGAATAGTTCGCTTGGTCTTGAGGTGGGCAATAGCGACGTGGGTATCCTTGGGGACGACGTCGCCGCGGTACAAAAGACAGGTGGCCATGTACTTTCCATTGCGGGGGTCGCACTTGACCATCTGGTTGTTGGGTTCGAAGCAAGCATTGGTGATTTCCATAACGGAGTTAGCCTCGTGAGCGGCCTTGGCGGCGGAAATGACCGGAGCATAGGCGACAAGAGGGAAGTGGATACGGGGGTAGGGGACAAGATTAGTCTGGAACTCATTGAGATCGACGTTCAGGGAGCCGTCGAATCGCAGTGAAGCAGTAATTGAGGAGACGACTGGATATTGTTAGCATGCCACGGCGAGATTTGAGGGGGGGGAAGGGGGGATTATTATTTGGCATGGACGCTTACCTTGGGCGATGAGGCGGTTCAGGTTCTCGTAGTTGGGACGCTCAATGCCCAAATTCCGTCGGCAAATGTCGTAAATGGCCTCGTTATCCACCATGAAGCTGCAGTCGGAGTGTTCCAAAGTCGTGTGTGTCGTCAGAATCGAGTTGTAGGGCTCGACGACAGACGTGGCAACCTGCGGGGCAGGGTACACACAGAACTCCAGCTTGCACTTCTTGCCATAGTCCACCGAAAGACGCTCCATCAACAGCGCTCCGAATCCAGAACCAGTGCCGCCACCGAAGGAGTGGAAGACGAGGAAACCCTGCAGACCAGAGCAGCCGTCAGCGACGCGGCGGACCTTGTCCAAGACCTGATCGATGAGTTCCTTTCCGACCGTGTAGTGGCCGCGGGCATAGTTGTTGGAGGCGTCCTCCTTGCCGGTGATCATGTGCTCGGGGTGGAACAGGGCGCGGTAGGTGCCGGTGCGGACCTCATCGACGACGTTGGGTTCCAAGTCGCAGTAGATGGTGCGGGGGACGTATTTGCCCTGGCCTGGGGGAGGGGGTTAGTATTTGAGCTCGTCGGCGTGTGTTCGACGCAGTGCAGCTTACCCGTCTCGGAGAAGAAAGTGCTAAAGCCATGGTCGTCCTGGGCGGCCTTTCGCTCCTCGGTGAGGTAGCCGTCGGGCTGGATAGTTGTTAGCCGCACGTACGGGAGGGACATATTCCACATATACGTACTTGGATACCGTGCTCGAGACAGTAGAGCTAGAATAGGGGTGTTAGCTAGGATTTGGCTTGCCTGCGAAGGCATCGGCAAACGCCCCCTCGACTGGCGAATGCGGACAGCGGAAGGGGTAGAGATGGTGATTTCTCGGCGAGTACTCACCTCCCAGCACGAATTCGCGATCTGGCAACCGGCCTGGCCGACTGTACGCGTGAAAAGTCAGTATGAGCAGAGGTTCAGGGATGTCCCACCAAAGGCGGTCAAGGCGCGTGGCGCGTGTGGGGGTAGTGCGTACCGTTCAGACTAATAACCTCTCTCATGGCTGGATGGTCGTCGAGTAGGAATTGGGGTATCTGAATGCGGGAGTGCAAACGAGAAGCTGGTTCGGGGGGGGGGAGGCGGTGGGTGTGGTGTTGGGGGAGCGGGGAGGACGATAGTGTGTTGTCGCGGGACTTACTCGAGGAAGATTTATGTTTTGGGGTTGCACGGACCACTCACTCTGTTGTTGCTGAGAAAGCTCAGGGCTCAGAAGCTGCCGCCTGGAGCATCACACCAGCCACGAAGACTCCCCCATATCGCGACGGCCAATTGCCCAATGGGACCACCAGAATCCACGTGAGAAAGAATGAACTGCTGCTCTATCAATTGCCCTTCCGTCGTCCGCCCTGCTCACCAAAGATGCGTGTCACTCTCTGGCTGCCCTGCATCGTCACACACGTCTGGACGGTGAATGCCAACGTCGAGAAGACCATCTTCCTCGCCCCCGGCCCTGCCGCGCTCCCAAATGTTCCCCCGGCTCTGGATGACCTTCGTCTAGACACGCTCGAGCCTGCCTACAGCCCTGTGCTGGAGACGAAGCTTGCTGTCCAGTTCCCCGCTGCCGCTCCCCCCCGCGGTCTGGAGTCCTGGTACCTTCTGCGCGGCCTGGACGAAGGCCGCCGGTACGAAGTCCGTATCTGCTGGCCTGCTACTGTGAGTCGGCGTCTCCTCTGCTGGACTGTAGATTGCATGCTTGCTCTGCTCGTGCCGCTCCTCTGCTGCCGAAGCGTCTTTGTTTGCCCTCGCTGACCCCCCAGCACAGCAACCCACAGACTTCTGGCTGGACACATATCCAATCACCCACGTGTTTAATACCCCAGAACTTCTCTCTTCCCTTGCCACTTACACCCAACAGCGCCAGGAGCTTGGTCTGGAGACCACAGGCGTTCTGAAGGAGCATCTGCCCTCCCAATCTCAGTCTGCACTCTTTTTACGAATCCAGGCAGCGGCCTCGTTCTACTCCTCAAACCGCACTTTGATGGAACATCCCCCGGCCGTGGATGCAGATATTAGTGCGTGAAACCTCTCTCCCTGTGACGTATGCTATTTACTAACACGCTCAGTCCTTGACCCCTACATCCTGAACATTTTCCCACGTTCCCTGGGTCCGGTCGCCATATATATCGGCGTGGTCGCGGTTGCAGCCTGGTTCCTCTCAGGATATATCTACCGCTGTCTCCTCTCCATCGCTGCAGAACCTTCGCCAAGACCACATACAGATTGAGAAGTCTCAACCATGTCGGCTGCAGGGGCTCCCCCGCCCCCACCACCCACCCCGCGCAAAAACTTCGACCAACTCCCCGCCGAGCTCCTTCTGAGCATAATTAGCTATCTCCATACAGATGACTTTGTCATGTTCGCCCTTGCTATATACCCCCTGCTGCAGCGTCACGGTCTTGTGCCACCCCTCACTACCGACATCTACCACCGCATAACCCGACAAGAGCCACCCCCCCCTGGCAAGACAGTGTCTCATTGGCGCCTACCTATTGAGCTAACTGAGTGGATCATGGAGTATCTCGAACCGGCGGATCGGCTAGCACTGTTGTTCTCGCACCGGGGATTATTTTGGGGCTACCTGCCGATGCTGAGCAATGAGACGAAGAAGCGACTATGGAAGTCGCGGGAGACCTGATGGGAGGCTTGCATACCGTTGCTCTGGGTGTAGGGCATCGAACCTGCCACTTTGAGCTGCTACGATGTCACGAGACCATGAGAGGTAAAAATCTTGTCCTGAATTGAGCTATGGTTGTTTGCAAATAGTCAAAAGGAAGACTCACCCAGCGCAACGGCTTATGTCCGACACGGAATGACATTTACTTTCATACACAACAGGCTGAATTAGTCCTTTAGCCTAGCTCGGAGATAGCGGGCTTGGAAGTTGAAGCTCTTTGAATAAAAGAGCCACGCACAGCAGAAACATCGAAACTGGAACAATACCCACCCCAATCCAGCTGGCTGTGCTGTGTTGTCATACGAATAACTCATCCCCTCGCACTCTTCACCCACATCCAACCCTAACAACACTGCACAGTGGCAATGACCTATCGAAGTCGTTCTCACCCTATTTTTGGAGTCCCGCTCAGCCTACCGTCTAATGACATGACTGTCTGGCCTTGAGCTAAGTTTCTTTTACGCTTCCCAAGCAACACCCCCCAGGCGCTCCGCATACTTTGTGCGCATCCCATTTCCATGTTGCTCCAGCCTTGACACCAAACTGGCAAGGAGGTCAACACGGTCATCTTTGCCGGTGCCGACGATGACTCCCGCCTCGGCCACTTCTCCAACATTTTTAAGAACCTTCTTGCCCCAGTGCTCAGTAGCTGGAGACGAAGGCGTGGATATGGGAACGGTATCCGCGATCGCGGTAGCTGGAATACCGTTCTGGCTTGGTTCTTGGTGCTGATGCCGATCGAGCTCTAGCTTCATACTGGGAGTGATGTATTGATCTTGGACCTGGTTCTGAGCCCGAGCTAGAGCTTGAGCCTGAGCCGTCGGGATCTCGTGGTGATGCGTCGACATATTCCTATCTTCAGACGTTAGTTTCGGACTCTTAAGTCCTCGTCTCGACCCCACCCCGTTCCCCCATCCTTCTCTAACCCTCCTCTTCTCCTCAGTCCAATTTCAAAAATAAACTCACCGTCCCTCCCCAGACCCGAAATGCACCTCCTCGCCCCCTCCTACCCCTTTACCCTCAGCGCTGTGCTTCTCTCCCCACCTCCCTTTCATAAAAACTGCAACAAAAATATACACAACACCAGCCAGCACAACAAGCCATACAAAGGTTGCAAGCGAGAAAGCGGTCGTTAGGATAGAGCGTCGAGAGCTGCGAAATGATTTTTGGTTGCGGCGACGGAGGGTGGGGGTTGTGTTGGTAGAGAAGATGGGAGGTGACATTTTGGATGGCTGGAAGCGCTGCCGAAGGGTTGGGGGTTTCGGAGGTTAGTGTGTTGAGGAGTGTTGTGGGATAGCAGTTTGAGTTGCAAGACTGGTCTGTGTTGAAGGAGAGAATTGTTGGGGTGGAGAGGGAGCGGAATAGAGTAGAGAAAGGTAGCGAGGTCAGCTGATAGATGCAATATCACTATGCTGTTTTGTTCTATCCTCGTTCACGAAGAATGAGCTGAAGTGATGCAGTGATACAGTGACAGAGAGCCGTCTGAACACCTTCGCCCTAGGGAAAGCGAAATATCAAGTGCTACATGTACTCCGTTCCTTCTCTACTCCCTCACCGGTCCTACATTTCCTCTACGATAAATCACAGGTTAGACTTTCCCGGAAAACTCTTTAAGAAGGCTTGCCGGACCTGCTCCACGCTTTGGTAGCTCCTGATTCGTAGGAAGAATAGAACCTAGACCTTGATATCCATAACGATTCTAAAGGTTAGAGAAGAAAGAACCTTAGAAACGAATCGCCGTTGAAGTAATTACAAGAAAACTCCCAACACCGTCCATGAAGATGCAGTACCATTAGATATATCTATCCCATCCCACCCTACTGCCATCTATGCGAAATGCTAAACCATGTAAATGCAACATATCGACTTTGATCTCCACCATTCCTTCTCCCCTCTTCGCTCACCGATTCCCAACTCAACTTCATCAGGCAGGGGCAGGCAGGTAGACACACGGGTCGGTTCATTATGCAAAAGGGGTATTAAACTCACTCTCTCGGAAACTCGTCCTCAAGCCCAATAGACACCTTGATATTCATGCTGCTCAGCTCCTGAATCAGCAACTTTGCTGCGTACGGCATCGTCAACTGATGAATCGCCTCATGGCTCTCGCACATTTTGCACCATCCGGAGTAGCCCATCTGACCACACTTTGAGCAGATGTCGACCTCGTGTTGATCCGACGACAGCATGAGCCGCTCGAGTAGCAATTGACTCGCACCATACGCAATTAGACAATCGCGCTCCATCTCACCGAGACGCAGGCCACCGTCTCGGGAACGACCTTCTGTCGGTTGGCGAGTGAGGATGGCGCGGGGGCCGCGAGCTCGAGAGTGCATCTTGTCTTGGACCATGTGTTTGAGTTTCTGATAGTAGATCGGTCCGAAGAAGACGTAGAACTGAAGTGCTTCGCCGGTGATCCCAGATGTCAGGTAGTCCTTTCCGTAATAGCTGTAGTTGTGTTGTAAAAGGATTTCGGCCATATCCCTGACCTTGCTACCTCCGAACGCGGTCCCATACTGGTAGGATCCATCATAGACGCCAGCCTTTCCAGAGAGTAGTTCCATCATTTTACCAACTGTCATACGCGATGGGAAACCGTGAGGATTCATAATAATATCCGGGCATATGCCTTTGTCACTGAATGGCATGTCTTCTTGCGGCGAGATGAGTCCCACGACACCCTTCTGCCCATGTCTTGAAGAGAACTTATCGCCAAGCTCTGGTCTCCGGGTCTGTCTCAACAACACCTTGATAACCGGCTGCCCACTTGTCTCGTTCTCCGTAACGCAGACCTGATCCACGTATGCTGGATCCGGGAGCTTATGGCTCAATGGTGACTCTTTCCACTCCTGGATTGCGGGGTTGACTGAACCGAAATCTTTAGGAGCTCCTTTCATGATATAACTGTCGCCTTGGAAAAGCTGCGATCCCACCTGAGCCATTCCATCTACTCCAAGAGCGTGGTTTTTCTTTTCCTTGGACTCAAACTTCTGCAGGACCATATCTGCGGATCCGTTGGGGTACATTTTCGGAGTCCAGGCAGACTTCTTGAAGACTTGACACCGTCCGAAACCACGATCAACAGAGGCCTTGTTGAGCACCAAGGCGTCTTCAATATCGTACCCCGAATAAGACATTACAGCTACAACGGCATTTTGCCCGGCAGGAAGCTTGTCATACTTGACAAGCTCAATAGTGCGAGTCCTCACTAACGGGCTTTGGGGGTACACCATCAGGTACAGCAAGGTGTCGATCCTCTGGAACTGGTTGTACGCAATGGCGCCGATAGCTTGTTTACCCATAGCACATTGGTAGGTGTTTCGAGGTGATTGATTATGGTGGGGGTAAGGAATCAAGCCGGCAACAGCTCCAAGGATGGTGAAGGGCTCGATCTCGAGGTGAGTGGTATGGTCGTTTATATCCTTCTCATACGTGGCGATGTTCGAGTCATTCTCTTCGTTGACGTCAAGATACTCTACGAGTCCGCGAGAAAGGAAGTCATCGAAAGCCATTGTCCCTTTGCGCAAAGCTTTGAGATATCGCGCTGTGACTTTAGACCGGCCAGTTTCCACGACAATCAGTGGCCGGCAGATGCGCCCTTCATCCGTAGCGATATGCATTGCATTATAGTGATGATTGATGTGAATGCTTGTAAACTCGGATATGCGTCCTGATCGCCTGAGCCGTCTGAAGTTGTTAAGGAACTGCTTCGGCATGTCAGTCGTCGCTAAAGGCGTTCCATTAAGGAAGATAGAGTATACTCCCTCGGCATGAATCTCCTCTCCAGTGAAGGCGGTGATATCCTCAGCGCCGAGGTCAAATACAATCCTACGAATGGGGCCCTCTTCAGCCTCGGTGGTAATATGGGTCATCAAAGATAGATTCTTAACTAGACCACACGCTTCTCCTTCGGGTGTATCAGCTAGGCAGAGCATACCAAATTGCGAAGGTTGGAGTGCGCGAGGTCCAGACACTTTCCGAGTCTTTTCAAATTGACTAGTAATCCTAGTCATCATACCAATAGCACTGATGTAACTGAGCCTACTTAGCAAATGCGTGACGCCCGCTCGTTCCATCTTAAATCGCCGTAGATTCCAATTGCCAGTGGACAATGCGCGCTCGATACCCATCGTAATGTGGTTTTGATGAACACTAAAATGGGCGTATGCATCGAATCCTGACGCTCGGTGTGACCTCCTCAGGACTTTGTCTATGCTCATTTTAAAGTCATAGTTAAACTTCTTAAAATGGTCTTCGAAAAGAAGAGACAACATCTGGCCAGCTAGTTCAAGTCGTTTATTTCCGACGTAGTCACGATCGTCGATGAGTTTAGGGTCCTGGATGGCCATGAGCACTCTCCTGGCCATGAAAGCAATGTACTGTGCTTTTTGCCTGAAATTGGTGCCAACAACGGGAACGTGCGTAATGATAACAGACGACAAGCATTCGATGGCCTCAAGATAGTAGTTCCGTCTCTGGAAACCTCCTTGTGGTTTCTTCATGATCCGAACCCTGTGACCAATATACTCAAGAGCTTGCTGTTGCGTGTGAACTCCTTCTCTTCCACATGCCTCAAAGTTAACAGTGAACATATCCTGGTACGCGCTGTCTTCTCCAGCTACCATCATCAGGATCTCGCGATCTGATGGTATTCCCAACGCTTTCAAAACGAACACAATCGGAATTTCCTCGGATAGGGTATTGTGCCGGAGAAACATAACACCCTTTTTACTCAGAACGTATGTCTTCGACTTTCGTTCCTGGGTTGAGCTAGTGACGCTGGCTTGAATGATTCCTTTGGCGCTTTCAACGATGACACGGTTCTTGCTCATTTGCTCTTGAACGAGAATGACTTTCTCCTGGCCCTTCACAATGAAATAGCCGCCAGGGTCGAGCGGACACTCATTCATGTAGGCCATGTCTCTATCGTTCTTACCAGCCAGCTTACACCGATTACTCTTCAGCATGATAGGCAATCTTCCGATTCTAATATTTACCCTCTTCATCTTGGTGTTTTCCCTCGTGTATACAATGTCCACCTTGATCGGGGCGGCGTAAGTCATGTCTCGGAGGCGACATTCATGTGGAGTGACATTACTTTTGTGGTTCGTAAGGTCGTCTTCATCGGAACGTGTCGGCCACTCGACGCGAATATCTGTATACTCGAAGTGGAACTTTGGATCAATATCGCTCTTAACAATGTTGTTCGCCAACATGATCTTCTTGAGCTCTACATCGACAAAGTAGTTGAATGAGTCAATGTGTTGTTTGACCAAACCCTTGACCTTGAGAAAAGCCGGCAGTAGATTCCACTTATCCTCTGCGGTATTGATGGGATCTGTGATCGCCTTCCCGTAGTAGAACGGCTCTAGGAGGGCAGAAAACTCGTCGACGCCGTTGCTCTGTGCTGGCGCTCTCCGCCTTCGGGTTTGCTTTGGTGGCTGGGGAGCACCATCAAGCATTTCGATATCGCTGTCTGCATGAGCGTCATTTCTTGCGGCCGCCAGAGCGGCATCGGGCATATCAACGTCTATTGCAGGCTGCTGAGGGGTCTCTCGGGTTGCTGCAGCTTTTGCCTTCACGACGCGGGGTGCGCGAGGCGTCGGATCCTGAGACATATCAGCGAAGTATCCTTTCTTGGATGGTTCGAGATACTGTACCTTTCGCGGCACCGGCATGTTTACCCCGAAATTCGCGAGCTGTTCAATGTTGGTGAGGGGTTTGGGAGCTCAAGTTGCTCGGAGGGGCAGGTTTCGATATAATTTATTTAGCTTCCGAAGCAGCAGCCCACCTTCAGATTGCCGAGTGGGTGACCAATCAGTCTTCGCGATTCCATTCACCGCCTTCACCTCCAAATTCTATTCTGTGACTCCCTCGACCAAGATTAGGATTTGATGAAGATCAAAGAAATCCATTAAATGATCTACCTAATGTTGCACGCTCAAGACCCTAGCCTCGCTGCCAATGCCGTCACCAAAGCAATTCCACCGTCAAATGCCACCATTATCATACACAATCACCACCGTCACATACGCCCCAGCTAACAGACCCCTGCTTTTGAAATTTGAGCCCTCCAGTCTTCCCATCCACGTAGCAATGAGGACGCTCAGATACATGGCCCAACAAAAAACCTTGCATCCGGAATGTCTAGCGTGCCTCTTCTTCGTGCCTTAAAAGGCCGCTCCACCAACTTCACCCTCTCCGTTCAGTGACCTCAATTGCTGCTCTGCAAGCTCTGACCTTAGGGCTGCATTAGTAGCATCTCTCTCCAACGTGTCCCACTCCTTAAGTTGCTGCCTCTTTGCCATCTCCTTCGCATCGATGAGTTCCCGCAGTTTCCTTGCATCCTCCTCCAATTTTAGAATCTTGCTCTGGTCGTACACATCTGGGGCTTTCTGACCTCCTTGTACTTCCTTTGGCAAATCGGAAAGATGGTCACGGAAGCGTTGAGTACGAGGGTAGGTGGTGGAAGTGCTATTGCTCGACCCGCGGAACGGAGGTGCAAAGGGAGTAGGTCCGCCTACAGAGCCACGAGGTCCAGATGGAGGTCCACTATAGTAGCCACCACCACCACGTCCACCCCAGTGCGTAGACCCACGACGAGGCGCGGGACCTGAGAAATCACGAGGTGCATCGTATCCAAAGCCGCCGCGACCACCGCCTCGGGGGCGAGTTGGAGCAGCGAGAACAGGGTTGTTTCCACGAGGATACGCAGGTGCCTGCGGAGCCGCTCCCGATGGTCCAACGGGTGGGGAAATAGCAGGAGAGGGATAGCTACGGGCTGAGGGACCAGTTGGCGGAGCTCTCGCAAAGTTGTTCTCTCCATTGCGATAAGATGACGATGGTCCAGTTGGTGGGGCAAACTCTCGGTCGCCGCGTGGTCCTGTCGGGGGAGTGTCGCGAATCCGGGGAGGAGACCGTTCGCGTTCTTGCCCACGAGCGAAGTCCCTGCCTCTGTCGTACTGCTCGAGGTCGCGATCATCTCGTTCGCGGTATGGTGACCTAGGCGCAGACACTGGATCCCTCAAAGGTATGTCCTCAGAAACAAGTGCAGCCCTGGTAGGGTGCACAGGACGAGGGGACGAACGTCGAGAGGTAGCAGCCGAGTCCCTGCCTGACGCATCATTTGATGCATAGGCTTGTCTAGCAGGGGAGGGTGATCTACGCCGCCAAGTGTCTGCTGTATATGGATCCACACGGTCGCGCCGGGGAGAAGGCGTGCGACGTCGGAATTCGCGGGTGTCTCGGGGAGGCGGAGAATAGTTTCGACGATAAGGACTTCTCGGGGTTAATGCGACAATCCAGACAGAAGGATTGGGTTGTGGAATTTCTTACCTGTGTGCACGAGAGCGTGGCTCCTCGTACCTGCTGCTACGTGGAGGCGAATCTCTCTTGCGAGGCGGCGAACGCATTCCGCGGCTCCTCGCCGGTGAGATGTCGCGTTCCCTCAAAGGCGGAGGAGACCTGTCACGAGCTCGCGGAGAACGTGTAGTATACGAATCATATCCGCCTCGACGAGGGGATCTGGCACGATCGCTCCTGTAATCGTCTCGCCTGGGGGAGTAGGCTCGGCGTGGAGGTGATCGCGGCCTCCCCCTCCAGCGATCGTCATCTCGTCGCGGGCTACGCGACCTTCGGCGGTATGCTGGTGAGGGGCTTCGTGGGCGAGAGGAGCGACTTCCTGGAGTGTACGTGTCTGCGACAAGAGGGCCACGGGCGCGATAGCTATCGACTCGAGGACCTGGGGAGCGAGGCCGATAAGTATTAGAGTACCTTTCATCTCTGCGCAAGCTGTTAGCTACCGTCAACAGGGCTCAAGTCATCTGCGAGAGCGCCAAACGCGGCAATTTGGATCGTCTAGATGCTTTCAAAAGGTGTGGTTGCGACAAACCTTCGGTCGCGGTCTCGGTCTCGATCTCTATCCCTGTCCATAGTTGCGACAGTGGTTGCCGTCTTCTTGCCTTTGCAACACGTTAGATGGAGGTGGAAATGGACGTAACAAAGCCTGCGCAGACTGAAATAGCTCCGTATAAGAATGGGTGACGGGTGCGGGTCTGCGAGTTGGGTGAATGTTGTCTGAGGTGCAGGAAAAAGTGATGTTCAAGCGAATCGGCGACGCGGTCTCTGCCACATCACGTGATGGCAATATTCCACCTAGGCAAACTCCGCCAGCCTTGGCTGTTCTCCTTTACCTGTCCCCCCACATGAGCACTGTGACAATACGACGATGACATAGGGACAGGCTTTAGCCATAGGCGCGATCGCGAAGGCGTAGAAGGAAAGTAGGTAGACAGCTGGTATCAGGTTGGCGAACCTCCTTCCTGCATGTTGAAGCCACCACCTGAAGATATTTCAGCAGTCGCTTAGACTAATTCCTGGAATTGGGTCCACGGTTAGAACGTTTATAGGGTGAACCCATCCGCAACGTTTTGCCTCTGAATCAGAATCTTGAAAATATTCCACCATAGATGCCTGCACGCAGTACGTCACAAGCTGCGCAGAAAAATTTCTTCATTCGCCCAACCCATTTCGTTTCACAATCCATGCCTTCTCTTGCGTGACCATTCACTTTGTCCATGTCCCCTTTTCTTCTATCTTGAAACAAGTACAACTCAGTTCGACGTAACCCACGTAGTGCTACACAGACGGCCCCGGATGCGAAAGTATCTTGACTCGATTGTAATCTTGTAGCAGCCCTGTTGCGGGTCGTTCCTAACGCCAATCCTATGCAGGCCCCTAAGTTGTGCCCCAATCTATTGATATTATATCGATAGCCCATCAAGCCGTGCTGTCACACAGGGATAGAGCTTGTTCAGCCCTTTGTGCTAGGTATCTTCAAAAGATGGCCGCTCCTGTTGTACACTCACTCTTATGATCAGCGCCTGCTGCGTCTCTCTTCGTCCCTCTTTACGCGCTTGCGGTTCTCCGCAATCATCTCAGACATATCATCCAGATCAACGCTAGTCCACTGGCCCTGTGCCTCCGCCTTCTTCTGAGCCTCGTACTGCTTCCTCAGAGCCTCCTTATCCAGCTTATCATCTCTTGTCAAAGAATCCACGTCAACAGACACGTCAATGTCACCAGCCTTTCGCTTCCTCCTATTGTCGTCTCCAAATTCTGGCATAGCGGCCTTGAGATCATAAGCATGCTCGCCGCCAAAGAAGCCCTTGGCCTGAATATCCTTCTCCGGCAACACCTGATAGGCGCTACGCGGTGGCCCTCCCGGAACTTCCGTCTCCGTTCCTTTGCGCTGTTTTCGCAAGGTAAACTCGCCGCCAATACTCTCAATCCCGCCCATTTCTGAGGGGGCCATAGAGGCCATTGTCATGTTAGTTTGAGTACCAGTCATATCAGCTTCACCAGCCTCCCCCACCTGATTCTCGTCCTCCTCTTCCTCGTCCTCCTCTTCCTCGTCCTCATCCTCGCTCTCTCCTTCGGCTCGCAATGTTCCCCAAGCTCCCCGCTCGATAGGCTCACCTAGCTGGGTTGATTGTACAGATTCTTCCGCAATAACCTGTCCAAAAAGGTCGCCCCCAAACAAGGGTTGGTTGTGATCGCTGACTGGAGGTTTGCCATACTGGCCCGGCGCATATCCCCATTGTGCGCCTGGAGGAATAGGAGCGTTGACACCAGGAATGCGCAGAGATGGATAAGATGGCGGAGGACCAAATCGCTGCTGGTTAACAAGCCATGGTGGTGGAGCACCAGGTTGCATGCCAAGGGCTTCTTTGAGCTCTTCTCCCAGCTCGCCAGGACGCAAATGTCTAAGATTTGTCTCGAACTCTTTGCCTTCGTAGTAGACCTCGCCATATCGGGTTAGTTCAGGTTTCGTCTGACGACGGAAGAAGGCGTCATAAAGCTTCCCGTAGTCAATGTCAAGCTTCCCCAACTTTCCTTGCACACGCTCTCGCTGCTTTTGCTTGAGTGTCATCTCGGCTTGCTTCTCAAGTACGGCATCTCTCATTTCAGAAATTCCAGTTTCCTGAATGAATTTTGGAAGGGCAAACGGTGGTTTTTCGATGCCGCGTTTCGAAGATAGGTACTCGCGCTTGAGGGACCAGTGAGGAGGAACCGGAATGACGTTTTTCTGCGCTTTGAGCGAGACGAGGAGCTGTGGATCTGAAGATGATACATCAGTCCATTCCACTAGCTCAGGCTTCTTTACTAGTGCCTTAAGCTCAGCAATTGACAGCTTGTTCAGCTGCTTCTTTGCTTTCTTGGACAGCCTTTTTCGGGTCTCCTCCTCGTCAGGGATTTCATCGTCATCCGATAAGAATATCTCTGGCTTATCGGTTTCTTTGACCGTTTCTTCGACAGCAGGTAGTTGAAACTTGGCAAGTACGTCCTTGAACTCGTCAAACAAGGGGTCCTCCAGGAAGTCGTCAGCGGTGGTTATTGCGGGTCCGTCCACCAAGGTATCGTTTGTTGATGTTACGGGTGTGAGTGACTCGATCTCAGGTGCAGAAGCGGTAACTTCAGCAGGTATTTCCTGTAGAGCAGTCAGTGAGGGCAGATCAGAAGTTTCGAGACAGATAGTACCTCGCGCTTTGCCTTCTTCTGGGCCCTGCGATATGCGGCCTTGCTCTTCTTCGCGCCCTTCTCTATGACACCAGGCATCTTGCGGCATGCGACAAGAAAGACGCAATCTGATGTGGCGGGATGATATCTACTCGAGAGCTCTGTTGCTCGACGTTAGGTCGCGATGCAGAGGCCGCTATCTCGCGCCGCAACGACGAAGGCGGTATCCTGCGTGACACGAGCGGTGAACGACAGCGGTAGGGCTTAATCCGGCTGTACTGGCCTTTCTTAGATTGTAAGGTGCGCTATGAAGACAAGTATGGCGGAAGGAGGGCGTTGTTGGAAATGGGCGTCGTGGGTGAAGGTGAAGTCGCGAAGATTTCGGGAGGTTGGCTGCGCCAAGGCGCTATTGAGCCATCATAAGTCCCCAGTCACGTGCACTCACTGGTCTTCACCTGTTAAAACCTAAAGGTCCTTTGAATAGAGAGAGTTAAATAGTATAGGAGTCTATGGCGCCTCATAACGGCGAACTTCTGTCTGAGAAGACGAGTCTTCTTTGCAATCTTAGTATTCAGCAGATTACAACTCCTTCACCAGGATGAAGTAACTTTTGCCTTGTGTTGGCTTTAAGGATAGAATGCAGGGAGTTAGCTCATATAGCGAATGACAAAGTCAGTCGCAGCTCTTCCACTTGCTGAACTACCCTTTTATTAATCCTTATGTCCGATCATCATTATCATGAAACTTCGCCTGCCAGAATCCGGGATATTGCTTCTGCTGTCCTAACTCATTCAGATGTTTAATTTCTGTTGGAGAAAGCTTGAATGTTGCAGCTCTTAAGTAATCTAACAATCTCTGCTCTTTCCCACTGGTCGTAATGGGGAAAACATCTTGATCGATGCACCATCTCAAACTGATCTCACACTCACTAACCGCATACTTCTTCGCGAGCGCCGCCAGGAAGTCATCAGCTAGACCTAGCTTTGTCTTTGTCATCGCACTCAATGGCCCATATGCTGTCGTCGAAATACCATGCTTTTTGTGGAAATCTAGAAGCGCAGTATGGTGAAGGTACGGATGGAATTCGATCTGGTTTCAGGCTGGAACGACCTTGGCTGTCTTGAGGACAGGTTCTAGATGCTTGGGGGGATAGCTGGAGACCCCGATTGACTTGGCTAGCCGACCTTTTGGATTGCTTCCCTAGTCGCCCAAGACGACTATAGTTCCTCATCCGATGTTGCCTAGAAGGGAGAGTAGATAAGATATCTGCATTCCTTAAGTCGAGGGATGGGAAGGAGTGGAGTATGAGGTTCTTACAGGTCAACATAGCCCAATTACAGCTTCTTCAGGCTAGTCTTGAGTGCGTTTTCGATATCGTTGATGTTGGTGAGCACTTTCGTGGTAACAAAGAGTTTCTCGCGTGGGACTCCACCCTCTTTGATGGCTATCCTAAGTTCGGGATCTGTTTGGTACACTTTTCTCTTTGTGAATATTTGAGTTGGTAATTCCGAAGCAGCTGCTTACTTTCTGCCCCATCAATATGAGCATATCCGAGTTTGATAGCCATTTTCACGGAACCAATAACAGGTAGTTTGATATCCTAATGTGCACCCAAGCAATTTCCTTTCCCGTTTAGGGAACTGAGCTGCTCACACTAGCCTAAGCTGTGGCTGTACTAGGATGAGTGCATCCTAAGCGGAGACTAAGCTGCTTCTTAGAACTAAATTATAGGCCCTGTATGCAACAAGGGAGGTAAATAATAGGGTCTTACTGTCACGGCTATGCTACAGCTATCCAACCCCTGAGCACCCTAAGGGCTTGGCACGGGGTATATAGGCTCCTCGGCCTCTGTACCTCTGCCTCCGGCCCTAAGGTTTGCTCTCGTTACCCCCTATCCTGCATTCCCTCTCTGTGCCTTGTGCTTCGAGCCTCTCACAGCTCCTCTGCTATTTGTAAAGAAGAGAAGAAGGGCAATGTATAGTAGAGTATATAATATATTAATATATTATTCTTACTTCTTCTTCTTCTTCTTCTTCTTCTTCTTCTTACTAACACTATATAGGACCTAGATAACTATAAAGCTAATGTAAGGCCGAGGTGGCCCCTACGCGCGACGGGTATATATACTATTCTGTACGCAGAATCAACTGTTGGTTGATTATTCGCACCTTTTTGGTTGTATTGGCGGAGTGGTACAGAGCCCCGTCCTTACAGCTAATTAAAAAGTTATTGTAATGAGGTGGGCGCCCTGCCTCATTACAGTTACTATTAAAGCATGTTAAAAGCTACTATAGTGTGTTATATATTTTTAAATTAGCTTAAATATTAAGCTTAGAGTGTAAAAATAATTCTACTTTTTTACTAAGTAAGTATTATGTTGTGCTGTTAAGACATTGCGCTTTGTCTATAGTGTTTACAATGCTAAGAAAAAGTTACTAGGTTAGTAGTAGAATACGTTATAACACTAATATTTGCTTAACATAAGGGTATTTACTAACACGTCTAGGTTTCTAAAACATATGTATGAGGGGAAAGACAGAAGCAAAACTGCTGGGAAATTCCGCCGATTACCTGGCATAATAAATCACGGTCGGGTCTTTCTGATCACGCGCACCTGTCTCCCCGATCACTCTCTTTTGACCAGCGGTCTTCCATCGTCAACAACACAAGAGCCTTTCATCCTTCACTTCTACCTTACTCCAGACTGAAACCCACATTCTTGCTTGAAAGATCATGGGCATAGTTGCCATTGTTCAGGGCTGTAAACTTGATGTCGCTAAGTTTGACAGCTTTCTTATCACAAGCGGCCTTCCAACAAATGGGGGATGACAACCCATCCTTCTTGAAGGGGCAACCATTGTGGAACTCTTCAAAACCAAAGGCGTTGATTGCAAAGTCCGAGTTTTCGTACCGCAGGGGAAAGGATTCTGCCGGTCGAAGTATGTCTTCATTTGCTGCGATTGGACCTATGTGAACAACACGGAAGAGATTGATGGCTTGCTATAACTTCCCGTGCCGGCCACTTTCAAAGCCATGCGCCAGTCCTTCAGGCTGAGTCGGGCATCTCAAGGTACGTTGTGTACAACGAGGATACCCCATCGTCGGCCAGGGAAGAGTTCATAGCGCACAATAAGGCAAGTTAACCCTACTTTAATAAATCTAGCTAGTTTAAATTAATCACCAATTCCCTGCGGCGAGGTGCGATTTCGCTTTTATTGACTAGTACAAACGCATGGGGCATCGTCGTGATAAGCATGGAATATCTGAAGACCTGATCGCACTGCCTGATTGCTAGATTATGGGGAAGTAGACGCTGCCAAGTAGGATTGGTGGAATTGGGTTGTGCAAGTTAGTTGAGGCGATAGAACCTATAGTGATAGTGTTGTTAATAAATCTTATTATTCTTTAATCTTGTGTTCCTTAAACCTAGATATCCTTAAACTGTATTGTATGTATTCTAGTACGCTACTCTTGTTTACAAATAGGTTAAAACTACTTAAAAACTAAGTTAGGAGATTATAGTAGTGTCTAATATAGCTTTCTCACGGATTCTTAACTAGCATTATGCTACGTTAGGCCTAAGCTTAGAAAGTTATAACGTATTCTAATAAGGTGCAATGACAGCGGTTTTACAATATACAGTGCTTTTTAACAATTTCAATGACGCTACTACACAAGGAGCAAGGTAGTAAACCTATTAGGTATGCAAGTTATGATGCAAAAGACGTAGAGGTTTACGCTATGCAAAATTCCATAACCCCCCCTTCCTATATACTCTTAAGCTGTCCTCCTATAGAACAACAGGACTTTGAAGGCTAGGCAACTGTAGTGTGTTAACCCCCTATTACCACTCACCGGGCGCCGCCTTGTCCGCGGCTCTCACCAGGCCCTAGATCATCCTGTCACTTGAAGCGGCAGCTTTAAAGTTTGGCAGCAAGACATCTGGCCCTACGACGGGTACAGCCGGCGTCAGCTGATTTTGCTTACCCACTAGCTGCGACTGCTGCTGGGGTGTCGTGGGGATTTGCGTGGCCGTGTTGGTCGTTCTCGCGGTGTGTGGTGGAAGTTGTTGTGGTTGCTTGCGGTGCTGGCCTGTGGGTAACGAACCTATTCATTGGTTTTACGGTCAAGATAGAACTGCCGATCCTCGGTCCATAAGGTCCCGTCTGAACCTTGAACTGTCATGTTGAGACTTTCTACATGCATACATCAGCTTTAAACCTGAGGAGTACAATACAAGTGAGTAGAACATACATATTGGAAGCTTGCAGAATTTGTGACTCGTTAGATGGTTGAATAATGACGAAGGGTACTATTTAGGGGATGCAACAGCTGTCTCTTATAACTCTCGACGTGGGTGTCTGGGTCGAAACGCTAAGGGCAGAGCCGCGCCCCAAGTCTGACCCTCGCAAGGCTCACGTTCTGACAACCCTCTTAGACTTGCTCCACACCATTTAATCGTTTCAACGCATTTAACTGTCATGGCCTATCTAGATTGAGAAGCCACCTCAAATGAAACAGTTCCTCAGCACCAGGCAAGATCCTAAGCACTCTCAGACTGGAGGTTGTCTGCTAGCTAGCAACGCCCATGGCAGAAAATGCTCACAAGTGTTAGGAAAATAGTGGCGCAGACGAAAACCACCGGCCAGCATAGGCACCTGGTTTAATCCTGCGCCGCTGTTAGGTTCTTATTGGGATACTAGCACTTCCCGCGCGTATTGCGGCGCGGCTATCACGTTTCGCCCTGCGCTCGCATCTATGTTGTGGTCATCGAAAGGGCCGAGAGTGAGATTCAGCTAATTAAAAAGATATCTTTACGACTATATGCAGGTGCAACCGTTCTCATTCCGCTGATCAGCACGCCGTGAAGAGGCGGCAGCCACAAAGCTTCGAAGTATTGCTCACAGCTTGTAAGCACCAAGGGTAAGCGAATTTGTGTAAAATGCATCAATTATGCAGTATTGATATCCTGCACATAAGACAGAGGGCAAGAGGGCAAGGCAGATAATTGGGATTCCCACTCTCTTCCATTCTAAAATAATCTGTACAGGAACACTAACACAGCGGCCGCATTCCTCCGCTGCCGGCACGCAGGAGGTATTACTGGAAAACACAAGGGTAGAAAGGAAAACGAGTGGGCGAATGGTGTGACTGAACAGGGGAAGCTCAAAAAGCTCTACCCCTCATTGAATTCCCATGTTGTTTTACAGGTTTTTTTTCGGTTCTATTATGAGACGGAAGACCCTATCGTCCACCATCCGGCCCTCCGCCCTGATGTAACTAATATTAAATTACTGTACTTCAGAGGTGACTTTATGCACTCTTCTCGTGTTGTGTAGAGACACGTTGTAATGAAACAACTGTAGTAATTGTTAATTGTGTGAACAAGCCTTATGCAGACAAAGGGTGACTTACCGAAATCTTCTAGTGACCTCTGCTTCTGGTCCTTCTTAGGAGACTTCCCGTGCATGAGGTTGTCGAAGCCAACGCTGTCCTGAAGGAGATAGTACACACCACCCATGACGCAGAAGACGCCGAAAGAGAAGATCCAGACACGGACGACGGCGACAATACTGGTCTGTCCGCCAACAAACCAACCGAACAAGCAGAAGAACGTGGCGATGATGTCGACGACAAGAATGGCGCCAGACAACTGCCAGGAGGGGATGGATGACCAGAAAGGACCATTGGCACGGGTGATGAAGATCAGCCAATTCTCGGAAAGAGATATCTGGAGGAAGAGCACCTCATCACGGACACCAAAGTTTTGGACGATACCACCGCTAACACCCTGACCGGCCGCATTGGGCAGGTTTTGGTAAGGAAACATAGTGGTAAGGGTGATCCAGGTACCGATGGCAAGGACAACACCAAGCAGGACGGACATACCCCAGAGTTTGGGCAGGTTCCACTTGACAGGAGTCTTGCTGAAGGGAGCATTGTCATAAGCGATGGCAAGGGTAGCGATATCAGCGAAGATGGCAATGAAGACAACCAACTCCAGATTCAGTGACGTGTTCAAAATGGCGATCCATAGTCCCAAGAAGAACTCAAGGTGGAGGGAGAGGGCGATACGGTAGACGACGTAGGCGTACATGCGGTGGAAAATCTGTCGGGAGGTCTTGAGGGCGTCAATTATAGCAGACAGACCAGGAGCCAAGAAGACAATATCGGCAGCGGACCGAGCGGCATCTGAGGCACCTTCGACGGCAATACCAGTATCGGCTTTCTTCAGAGACGGGGCATCGTTCACACCGTCACCAGTCATGGCAACGAGGTAACCACGTTGTTGCAGAATCTCGACGACGTTGTACTTGTGTTGCGGGAAGACCTCAGCGAAACCGTCTGCAGCCTCGACGAAATCGTAAACCTCAGAACCAGGCATTTCACCACCGCCACCGAGACCCAGACGCTCGGCATTGTAGACGTTGGTTCCGAGACCAAGCTGGCGAGAGGTTTCTCTAGCAATACCGACGGCATCACCAGTCAACATCTTAATGGATAGACCGAGAGTCTTCGCTTCATTGATAGTGCGGGCCGTATCATGTCGTGGCGGGTCAGAGCAAGGCATAATACCGAGGATCTCCCAGGAGCTATCACCTCGCTTGCGAGCAACACCAAGAGATCGGAAACCACGAGTAGCGAACTCAGCGACCTTGTTCTTGTACGCCTCATCGACGGCCTCGGGGATAGGGTGGTCCTCCTCGACGGTTCGCAAGACGAATAGCGGGGCACCCTTGACACAGACGATGCGCTCACCCTGGGGAGACTCAACGACAGCCTGGACTTTCTTGGAGACGGGATCGAAGGGGTGGAAATCGATGACACGGTACTTGCTAAGGACCGATTTGGCACGAGGATAGAACTTGAGTGACTTCAGGAAGGCCTTATCAATTGCATCAATACCTTTCTTCTTGCGGGAGGCGGCCAAGCAAGCAGTAAGCATGAGATCTTCAGGCTCAACACCAGCAACAGTGTAAGGCTCGGCAAGAGAGAGCTTGTTCTTTGTGAGGGTACCCGTTTTATCAGAGCAAAGGATCTCGACACCAGCAAGCGATTCGATGGCGCTAAGCTTCTGGACAATAGCCTGTTTCTTGGCAAGATAGGCAGCGCCGACGGCCATAGTGGTGGTGACGACCGCAGGAAGACCAACAGGGACACCGATGATGGTGATGGCCAGAGTGAACTCGAGGATGGTGACAATGTGGTTGGATCTGTAGAAGGAGGATACCCAAACGACCAAAAGAGTGACAATGACCAAGATCAGGAGGACCGTACCAATGCCGTTGAGCACCTCAGTAAAGTGACCAGTTCCGCTTGAGGCTGAGGCGACGAGCGAAGCAGCACGACCGACGAAAGTCGAGTCACCAGTAGCAGTAATGACCATGAAGGCTTCGCCACGCTTGACAGCGGAAGAGGCATAGCAGGTGTCGCCCTTGTGCTTGTCGACAGCGAGAGACTCACCAGTAATGGCGGACTGATCGACCTGGAGGAACGCGTCTTCTGTGACAATGCGACCGTCGGCGGGAATAATGGTACCTTCTTCGATCTGGAGGATATCTCCGGGAACGACCTCAGGTGCCTCGACTTCGGTGAGAGCGCCGTCACGGAGAACGGTGGCCTTAAGAGCGAGCGTCTTCTTCAATTCTTCGACGATGGAACCGGCCTGGAATTCCTGAATGAAACCGACACAGGCGTTGAGCAACAGCAGGGCGCAAATCACACCGAAATCGACCCAATCCTGGAGACCAGCGGCAAGAACAGCGGCAGCCTCCATGACGAACTGGATGGGACCAATGAAGTAGCCCAAGAACTTGAGGATGAGGTTCTCCTTCTCCTCTGGTTTACAGTTAGCGTTGTGAACTCGTCGTGGAGTGCTGGCAAAACGAACCCTTCATCTGATTGAGACCGAACTTCTTCCGTCGGGACAACACTTCGCTGCTCGTCAGACCAAGGCGGGTATCCGTCTGGAGGAGGTCCTCCGATACAGGCTTTGCGCCACCTGGCTGGGTGGCCTCATCGTCGTCTCCGTAGTCGATGGCGGCATCCTGCGACTCGAGTTCCTCGATCAGGGCGTCGATGTCCTCGTCCTCGTCCTCATCAGGATCAGCCTTGGGCGGCATGTCGACTTCCTTTCCGTTGCCATATTCTTTCTTCTCATCCTGCAATTATGGTCAGTAAAGCGTCGAATGACGCCAATGAAGCCAATGACGTCGCTCAGTGGATGAACTGACTAGATGTCCACTCGGCACATTAGTGCCAAGGTGATTGAGTGGCGTGGTGCCAGTATTCGGCGCCGACATCAGCTCGGCCATTGAGGCGACTCTATTGGGCTTTCGGTTGGTAGCGATGTGTGTCTACGATGTGCAGGTGCTGGCAATAGCTAGGAATGCGATGGCCTAGGAAGGGCGGATGCCGCGACCTTTTTATCGAGCTTGAGAGATATAAAGTCTGCAAAGGTGGTGAGTGAGCGACTTTTGTTGTGGTAATTTTACTGGGGTGTGGCCCGAGCGCCGGCAGCTCTTAGCAAAGCTCTGTCGTCACTAATAGCTTGGAGCTCCCGGCATCCACGGAACGCCAGTTAGAGGGCGGCTGCCGCGTCGACGTTACATACCTAGGAGGGTGAGGGGCCGGCACGGGCAATTGAGGACGCAGACCCAGCCGCGACACGCAATTGAAGCTGTCTCGCCGTCGAGGGAGCACGAAGAGTGGAGAGTGGAGAGGGGAGAGGGGAGAGGGGAGAGCTGGTGGTGAGTGGGTGGGAGTGAACTCTCTGCTGCTGGAGCAAGAGGGGCGCGAGAGCTCTTTAAGAAGCAGATCCGGTGTGCACAAAAGCTGCGCTAGTGGCAGAGTGTTGACCGCAGGCCGGCCACTTAGAGCAGGCCAAAAACGTGGGTAGGTGGAGGTGGCCCAGGTGAAGAGCTTGAGCCAGGCCTGCAACCTGCGAGCCCTCGCCCTATCTGGGACCAGCTCTTTTCCCCGAATCCCGCGCCCATTTGATCGCCTGCAAATTCTCCTCTTGCAGCGCTCCCCGGCCGAGAAATCTGCCTGCAACCTCCCAGCGCGCCATCCCGCCGCGGTGCGCTGCCTGACTGCAAAGGCCGAAACCAAATTGATACTCACTGCTACTCAACGTCCCCCAGATTCTGCCGTCTTGACCTGCTTGGCTGTCCCATCTTGGCCGCCCGCAAAACCGCCGTCGTGTGTGCAAAGTCTTCGATGTTGCTATCCGTTACTAAGGCCCTGCTATCGACCAGGGCAGCAGCTCGCGCTCGGATGGTGGTCAATTCACACCTTATTCACATTCCGCACCAATTCTACCTAGCCCGCCTCCACTGTGAATGAAACTCCCAATCGTCCCTGCGGGATTTCCCGCCCTGGTGTGGCTAGCATCCAGTGGCACCGGTCTCGCAACAATCGGCAACAAAAGCAGAAATTTCTTAAAAGGCGCAGAACGCCCTCTGAACTGCGCGAAAATTTTGGAGCTTACAGCGGTGAGCTTGCTGCTAATACCGGCAGTCCTCTCGAGCCTCCTTTTCGCGGAACCGCCCTTCCCGGGACGAGAAGATACATCAAGACGAGAGCGCGATTTTTTTTATGCCTCTGGCTTGGCTGCCACAAACAAGCACGTCGGCACTCACTAAACATCGCATCCAGATCGAGAACCATGTTTCGAATCATCCTGCCCGGGGTGAAACTTCAGGAGCTTCACCCTTCTCGATGATGGACCTTCTCCTCGCGCAAACGTTTCTGCGGCTCCATACCTACATGGGAGTCTGCTTTTTTCCTTTTGCTTCGCGATGTCTTGGGGTTGCAACCGCCACCTCCGCGTGAACCTTCCTTCCCCTCAATCTGATTCGAGCCCATGCAGGGTGCGGAAACGCTGCGTTCGACTTCAATACCTTGCAAAAGGTACCAATCGAGGCCGGAGTGCCGCCCTGTGAAGCCCACTTCGTGCTGTCACAACGTCGTCACAGTCATCTCCGGCCCTATCCCTCCAGCCAAGACCCTCAAGTACGACAACGCGGGGGATCGGCCTGCACGTCAAAGACGATTGAGTAGCTTCCAACCCAGGTTTTAGCCTCTGAAACTCACAATTCCACATCATGGATGTGCAAATATCTGCTTTGATGCCCTGCTGCTCCTGTGCGAGGTCTTGGACTTCTTGGGCTCTTGGACCCCCACAGATCGTGGTCCGCACAGGCATGCAGAATTTTATGCAGAGCAGTAACCGGTTGCCACGCCAAAAACGCTTGAATGCCGCACATCAATCAGGATTCGAACCGGGTCTTGGCGCAAGCTTATGTACTCCTGATCGCCCAATCACCAGCCTCCGGTTTCAGTCTCAGCCGACTCATGACGGAGATGGCTTGCGGGGACATGCAGCTGAGGCGAAAGAGCTTCCCAACCGCTCCCCTTCTCGCCGTTGTCCTGACGTCTTTCTCAGCCTGGCAATGTGTGCATCGTGAGAGGCGAGCCTTCGGGTGAGCCTAAGAAAATCACTTCTCAGAATCCACATCCTGTCCTCCTGCAGGCGCATCTGAAGGAGCAGCGCGGTGAGTATCAGTCATCGGCTTCCTTCGGCGTCAGTCAGCATCCTGAGCAACTTTCCGGAATGCAGGTTCCACAGACCAATCTTGAATGACAATTCAGTGAGACAGCCAATCACTGGCGCTCTGACCATCTCTTGGTTGCCTTGACAAACGGCTCTGCCGGCTAGGATGTTCCTCGTCCAAAGCTTGTCTCTTGCTTTTTCGCGTAAGGTGCTAGTGCCATCACATCACTGGCTGTCAGATAAGCGACTCATTCACTTCGTCCAAACGGTCGCCATTTCCAGCACAACGCAGCGTGAAATCAGCCTGAGAGTTTCAATTTTTTAGTGCGCAGGTTTGCTTGTGCCCCGACAATTAGCTTCTCAGCCTCCCTCGGGCCGTTTGAGAGGGTTGCACCGAGGTTCCCTACAGGATTGTCATCGGCACGGGAGCTCCGAAGCCACTTGCTGGCCTCCCCAGGAAAGGGAATCCGAACAGCAAGCCGAGATGAGGTCTCTAGCGAAAGCAACATCCACACCCTGTCCACTTCGGCCGATGTTGAATTGCGTTACTTTTCTTAGTCAAACCTCATTTTGTCGAGACGACGGATATGATTCCCTCATTGGATAGCGTGAAGGCATGGAGAGGTCGCGAGAGACCTCATATCACTCGTCAAAACAACGCGCTGATCTCAATAGAGCGCGTCTCCTGGAAGTGGTATTGGCAATTTCGCCATCAAAGTGTTCGTCCCAACTAGTCGTCGTTTTGGTAGGCTAGCAGCGAGAAAGATCTCCGGTAGGCCATCCTCTCAAGATTCGCGCTTCCACACAAACTCCTTGGAGAAAGACGCGCAAATTCTTAAAGATTCCTAGACAGCATCACCTCGCGCTTGCCCCTTTCCACTATCACTATCATCTTCTCAAGCTTTCTATGGCTTCTCTCTTGACCTTAAATCACCTCTTGCGACAGTACTTCAAACACTCATCAAGAAGCCGGCTGCACTCATCTCCACACAATGCTACTATACCTACCATTATAGATTGCTCAGGGCGGGTTCTTCGTGGGAGTATATGTCAAAGAAAAATGTGCGCATCAAAGCAACGCCTTGGCTTACTTTGCCAAATGGCCTTGGAAATACTGCCCTACCCGGAGAGAGTCTTTGGGGCGAGAAAGGGTTAAAGTGCTAATGGGCGGGAATCGCGATAGCCGATGATGGATCATTATCCAGTCGCTGGCGACAACGTCACTATCTTCATTCTCTATCATAGCTTCAAGTTGGGTTGGCAAGCCTCGCGCAGGATTCCAGTGTGCCAAGACAATTCCGGACCTGGGAAAATGCCTCAAATTGCCCACAGTGCACCTGCTCAACAGTTGCAGGTCTTCTCGTCAGCGACACAATATTTGTTGGGAACTTGACGGTGGGCTCGATAACATTCTTGGAGTTTCACAAATTCTTATGGCATTTGTCACCTCAAATCCATCGATTCAGCCTGGACCTCGTGGCACCGTCAATCCCAATAGCCATTGCGCTTGGCAGCGTCTTTCGATATTCACTTTTGTCGCATTTTTAATTCTGGGGATTTTCCCCTGCTGATGTTCTGCCAACCCTGTGAAACGCGAGCGGCAGTTCTACCACTCGACCTCGGTATCAGTATTGTAGAGCAGCCGGGGAATGGCTTCCAGAAAACCGAATCGAAAATTCTGGTGTTTTATCGCAAAGACCTATGCCTGTGGCAACCAGGATCAATGAGAGTTCATAGTGGAGAGTGCCAAGTGGCATTGAAGCATTCCCTAGGCACACGGTGTCACAACCACGTCTTGGCACCGCCAACAATATCTCGCCGATCACTTCCAAGCGTTTTGTCCTTCCGCGCGATGAATCTGGAGGATATCAAAGACCCTGAAAACCTTAGCTGTGCTAGGAACGTAGGCTTGTTCCGACACACTTCTCGGCGGCGCTTGTAAGACCCCAAGGTTTTCGAGGAAGCCACTTGGCAAGTTTGGCATCTTTATAGAGAATATCTGGGCATATTCTCAGGTCTTTCTTGGCGGATTTATGGAGAGGAAAATGCCGCATTTCTAACGTTATAGTGGGCCCTCAGATTGCCGAATATACTCGATATTCCCTGGATTCTCTAACGGGTGGATGGAGGGCGACTAATTCGTCCCTTCGTTCAAATGCTAGACTGTCAGGCTTCAATTTCCCCCGGGTCCGGCATTGTACCTTCTGACCGCGAATCGAATCTCTCCCGAGCATTGCCATATATGTAATACTTCCGGTGGCCTTTTGTCAGCTCTTCAACTTAGGTCACATAGTAGCCGAGCATCTCGGGACTTTATAGTATTCTTTGTAGAAGACCATTCATTCGCGGCAATGAAGTCGAGATGTCTCTACCCCACAGCCTACTCCAAATCTGGGGAAAGCTGTGCACTCCATTGTTGACGCCTAGCACTCCACCACTGCTCCGGGCCGACCTGCGACAAAGTAAGAGCAACTCTTTGTCTACCTCACGGCTTTAGAGAACAAGCCTATGTACACACCCACAACCTAGAAATCAACAATCGAGTATCACAGAGTCACCCTAGAGTCGTGGCTCAAAACGATTCTCAATTTGCTCTCGGAAAAACAGTCACACAGCCGTGACTCATATAATTCTCTAAGTTAGCCCCAAGCTCTTGAGAGCGAAAACATTGGTTAACTTCTCTGTAATTCAATACTGCACAATAGACAAATTAAGGTAAGCTCTTCGCGAGAAATGCATCGCATATTTTGATTGTGCTTATTCTTCCATTCTACGTCACCCAATCGATTCCATCAACCTTTCACCATCACGTAACTACTTACAGCACGCCTACCCTTGCTTAATATTCCCTTGCTCTTTTTCCCATTTCACTGCTTCTCACGTTTCCCGGTTTACTTACACGTCGTCTAGTATCAAGGCAGTTCTCCTCGGGATCCGCCTAATTGGCTTCTGGCTCCTTAGACTTTGGATGCTCAGAGTCTAGTGTTCTAGCATTTGGATCATAGGCGCAAGAATACTCGCACACTGGTTGACCACAGTCGACGGCCTTCCTTGGGCCCTTGGAGTGGTTCGCTTTGTACCTCATACGCTGCATTCATTCATTGACTAGATGAGCCCGAGATCTTGTGCTACCATTTCCAGTTCTTCAGCTCAACAAATGTAACCTCAAGATGATATGTTCTAGATGGCAGGAAGGTCAATACCTGTCTCGATTCGAGGAAGATGTCTTTTCTAAAGTTTGCCATGCAGACGCTCATGACCTCATATTCAGGACATAAGAACCCCCTTCGTGGTCTTCATTCGTCAACAAGGACACTCGCACCACATCAAGGCTCCTCAGGAGCAAGGCTGAACAACTCACACCATACTTGAAAGCTCAACCCAGCTCAAAGACCCTCAGATATATACTTCCACCACTACGTTCGATTACGAATTCAAGAAGTCCAAGGTACTGAATCCCAACTCCTACCGTGATGCCCCGCAGCTACTTACCCAAATCAACCTCAGCTCTCCGCATCATAATGTTTATCATTGCGATGCCGCACTTAATATGCCTTAGCCTGGTATTATTTACCTTTGAGGGGATATACCTCGAGTTCCATGCCGCATCGAAATACCTAGTTCTATTGGAGACTTCCAAGTCTTCCTGGTCCGCTTCGCCAGTGCTCTTCAATATCCAATCCATGATCACCCCCCCAGCTGTCTCCAACCCTGAATACGATGCCATCTACAATACGGCATTAAATCATACTCCCCGGGAAATCAAAATACTTTTGAACTCCATCGTGCAACTCGATGTCCTCTCAGATTACTTTCGAGATATCCAGATCTTGCCTGACTTATCTGCTGCCGATACGGAAGAAACCAGGGGTTATTTCATATCGGTTTGGACCCGGGCTTCAAATGGGAATGATACAATCCCCATCCATCTTTATGAGATCTATGCAGCCTCATTCTCGGTCTCGGTGCTTCATGTTGCAACCCAGCAGGTTATTGATGCCTATGTTGTGCCGGATCCGATCACAAACGAGGCACTAGAAGCTATTAAACACTTACTCTCGGGTTCAACCCTAGTTTGCTACCAAAAGGCTCAGGTCTCGAACAATATGAGAGTGTATTTCGAGAAGTTGTCTTGTTGAGGTAGTGCAATGTCGTGGGGGCAGCTGAAGAGGAGATCAGCCACGCCTCTCAGGGCTCTGTCTCGGACTCAATATTAGGCTCTGACTCTGAAAGCTCTGTTTATCCGACCTGCCGAACTTGTGCCATTCCCAGGGCTTCCAACGGGCCGTACTACGGTTTGCACAAAGTGAACCGTAACGGACACGTGATCAGTACGAACGTACCGAGTTTGTAAGCTGTACCGTACGTTTAATGATGCTCTAGGTACAGTACGTAGTACAGACTATATTACCCTTTTAGGAAGTTTATATAGCAATTTTAGAGAAGTAGAAGGGTCCTAGCAAGCAGTAGACTTATAAGAACATTTAGGGGAGTTTTTAGAGTTCTAGTTAGCTAAGAGTTTTATAAAGACACGTAAATCTCTTTTTTAAGTCTTTTAATCTATCTACCTAAAGTCTGCTGTCTTAAGGATGCTTATTACTAACTATTTTCTATTACAGAGTTATCTATCTATGCGCCTTACTGCTTTACGAGCCTTATCTAGTTAATTAGATACCTTTGTTTTCTATTTTACACAGTCTTGTAGACTGCAGAAGTTAAGAGCACTCTACACTATTTATTGCTAAAGATTAATTGCAGAAGTTTCTAAAAAACTGTAATTATAACGCTATAGTTAAGGTTACAATCAACGAGAATAATATATCGCTGTCTAGCTTCTAGCTGTAAGTGTAAGAGGTGTTTTAGTACAGCTAGTTGTATAGTATCTAACAATTAAGGCTTACTAAAAAGTGTAATAACTAAGGCTATTTAACTCTAGAAGAACTAGTTATAGAATAAAGTAGTAAGCAGTAAGCTTTTAGGCCTTTATGCTTATATTATTAGGAAAAACTAGTTATTTAATAGCTATTTAGATCTTAATCCTGCGTCCCTAGAGACCTATAATACTAGCTGTTTTAACTAGAGTACAACGTACTTTAATTTAATTATACTACTTATACAGATTTCATGAGCTGTAACAGTTACAATACGTACACCTACCTCTCCTCCTCCCTGCCGTACGAACGTACTCAACATCTCACTCGTACAGGTCTCAAAATCGCCCAATCGTACAGTACTACGCCTCTTTGGAAGTGCTGGCCATTCCGTTGATTCGGACAGTAGCGACAGCAGTAACGACGATGATAGGTCTTCTAATAGTTCTAGTGTCCATAACTGTTTTCGATACCGATTATCCAAGTAGTGGTGGTAAGGGCGGTTACGCCTTCGCCGACCCACCCTCTGAAGAGAACTCCAACCTTTCTTCCAGTGGCTCAAGCGATTTACGTAGCCCCGGTAGTGCCGCGGGCGAAATTTTGGGACCAACCACACCCGTTAATCTCTACCTCTATGAAAGGCGGAATGTGAAGCTCTAGTCGCTAGGTGGGTCATTTTGCTGGCGCTAGCGAATGGATTGACACAACTGGGTTGGCCTATATTCGGCGTGGAAGGCATCCAAAGGGATTACCCAGACAATCCCGAATGAAACCCCTTTTAAGGCTACCTCCGTTGATTTCGATCTCCCTTGGCATTCTTAGAGGATTACGTGCACATACCGCTGGCTAGTCAGAAGAATCCGAGAACCCGCATGTTGAAATTGAAGATGGAGCTATGAATGAGATGGAGCATTCCTAAAAACACTCGCTCAGCAGCTTTGCTAGACGAAATAAAACCTACACTTCTTTACAATCTCTTCCGCAACGTACCACTATGCACGTTCCAAAAATTCCAAGGGCATCATTGCTTCAGAGTCTTATTCTAATATTATTCTAGTCGTTCGTATATCCACACCTTAGCCTTCAGAACCGTCTTCGTATTTCGGTTTCCTCGGGATACAGCATGATGCCAAACTTGCAAATGAGGTTAAGCGCGAACTTCTAAGGGCATCTGCATATCGCCAACTTCGAAAGAAGCTGCGGTTATATCAAAGATCACCTGATCCGTTTTGCAAGGTCTCCAGAGTACCTTTTCAGGCAAAAATGTGCTTGGCATGTACTTCCCCTCAAATCCGAACTTACAGGTTCCATGTATATCTCTGTACTCAGAGCGCAGAAAACCATTTCACGCTCAAACAAATTCCTTTATGAGTACACGAGTGGGTTGCTGTCTACTACAATGTATCTCAATACCCCGAAATCAATCGCGACGACAATAGCTTTCAATTCCATATCTAGCATCTTTGCGCCTCCAAATCCAAGCAATGGTTGTGGAAGTATACTACCACCATCACTATCGCCAGGAAGTCCTTCGGTGAACTTCACACTAGCCTCACCTCTTGGCGGTGGCGAACGAAGATACCTACTACACCTTCCTAAAAACTTCTCCCCTACGAATAGCAAGCCAAGTCCAATGATACTCGCATTCCACGGATTTGGACAACCGACCGCAAGTATAGAACAAGTGACACAATTCTCAGATCCAGAAATAAATGAAGATTACATCGCCGTATACCCCGAAGGCCTTAACGTTCGTTTCCAGCCTCTTTCCCCACCCCAAACCTAAAACAAGTCTCCGCCAACTAACTTCATCTAAGAACGTCTGGCTCGGCGACCCAGGGGCTCCAAACTCTACCGTCATCGACGACCGTCCATTCATATCTGATCTGCTTTCCACCCTCGAATCTATGCTCTGCGTCGACACTCGTCGAATCTATACCACCGGTTTATCCAACGGAGGAGGCTTATCCGGACTCCTCGCATGCTCTCCCGATTTATCCCAGCGAGTCGCCGCTTTTTCGGGCGTGTCTGCAGCGTATTACACGACGCAGAGTTTGGGGTATCCGCTGTTTGATGAAGTGGGGTGTAAGCCTGGAGGAATTTCGAGGAGGATTCCGTATTTGCATGTCCATGGAAGTAAGGATATGGTGATTGCGTATGATGGGAACAATTCGCAGTTTGATATTGACCAGAATAAGATTCCGGATCCGAATACGCTGCCAATATCTCAGTGGTTGAAAGATTGGGCTGGTAGAAATGGATGTTCATCAACCGGAAATTTGACAATTAGGCAATTCCTAGAGACGGGAGACGCTATGAATTCGACTTCGGTGTTGGAGAACGGAACGGTTGTGAAGTCGACGTGGACATGTGGAGGCTGGGCTGATGTAGTCGAAGGATACTATGTTGAGGGACTGGGCCATGGATGGCCGTCTACGGTTTCTTTAGATCCACGGCTGGAGGCATATAGATTAGGCTTGACGACTTGGAATGCAAGTAGTGTTCTTCTGGAGTGGTTTGCGCGATGGAGCTTACCAGAAGATTAGGGCACTGAAGTCCTATGTTTAGAGATGAAAGACTAGGAAATATATTTTATTCATCATTCCATTATTGCGCGCAAGGTCTGCGCGCAGTCAAGGCGTGTAGTCCGAAGGAAACGTACCGGGTATTAATCTCCATCTCATTATTTCAATCTGGCTCCGTCATCTCACCAAAATGCCAACAAGCCATTTCCATCTCATCCTCCTTCAAAAAGCGATAGCTTGAAATACCCTCTCCACCAATTGCCGCTCGCAGTTCCACCACCGCTTCATACAACCAATCATTATTCCTCGAGCTGACTAGCTTAATCTTGAAAGTCTTCAGCTTAGGAGCGTGAACGTTCCTGTCTTTAATATACTCCCCAATAATCCGAATCTTTTTATTACAATTCAACCCGACGGCCCATGGACAGTACTTCACGAAGTCGTCACGGAGAGTCAACTCCTGGATACCAGACGGAAGCACTTCTTCCAACCGGGCGGCGAAGTTAGGGAACCAGCCCAGAATCATAATCATTGGGACTTCAACTCGTCTGAGGTTCGCCATGTCTTTCAGTACTGTCATTGTGCCTTGAATGACGGGAAAGGAAAGCCCCTGCTCAAATATCTCCTTCTGAGAAGCTGATCCAGGGGCAAGGCCGAGAGAAATCTCAACTTCCTCTAGTGTGTTCAAGACACCATTGAGTACGGAGTTCAAGTTGTCGAGCTGGAGGACCGGAGAAGCGATTGGACGCCAAGGGACATGAATATTGAAAAGGAGCTCATAATCGTAGTGGAGAGATCTTAGATTCGGGGTCGCAGCTAACAGCTGGGCTAAAGTAGTTCGACTGATGTTACTGCGGAAGAGGTGTAACTTTGTCAGACTTTCGTTCCGGGGTGCTGCGGGCTGGTTCCAACGGAATTGCCAAGGCTCTGACATAGTCCATTCAAACGTCTTGACATTCGGGAGATAAAAGATCGGGCGGATTAGGTTAAGGTCCATATAAGATACAGAGTTCTCCGTGTCCAACTTTCGATCTCCAAGTATAACATGGCTGAGTTTTGGGAGAAGATGCCCCGCGCGCTTTAGGATCTGTGGTATGAAGAGGGAGTACATCAGGAAGCCATCTCCAAGTTCCAGCGTGGTCAGCTCCGTGAATCGAGTAAGCACTAAGATTGCTAGAGCGTCTTTGCTCCGTCCTCTCAACTGTGGCAATGACTTGTGCATCTCCTCATCTACGAATTGATAAAATCGATTCGATGCAAATATCATCTGGGCTTTCGAGAGAGCGGTGCAGCCTTCTAGACCCCAGAGATTGACCGTTGAGGTATTAGTTTCTTCTTGCCACGGATTGTATTTTGTCCAGCACGGATGGGTTCCTAAGAGCCTGAAAGTGGTAACATAGGAGGCGAGGTAGGGACGTTCAAGCAAAGTGCGGAGGAGAAATGCAAGGCGTCGAGCACACCATCGAGAGTTCTCGGCCTTGAACGTAATCTCGTGGTAGAGGTGCGGGATTATTTCTTGGTGGAGAGGCTTACACACTCGGAGAAGGGAATTAAATTCCTTTTTTGAGAGGTAATCGAGAATGAGAGGAAGTAAATCTAGTGGTATATCCGAGAATCGAGCCATGGCTGATATTTCCCAAGTGCTGTGTGAATAATGATAAAGCGGATGACACAAAGGCTATTATATTCTTTACAGATTCGCGTGGAGTGAAAGTAAGGTTGCGAATAGATCTTCCGATTCGAACACTAGTATCGATTTTGGGGTCGAAGAGAGATAAGGGGAAGGTGAGATACAAGGTGAGTGAATTTGAGTCGTCACATGCTTCAGCCACTGAGCTGTTGCCTTCCCTGGCAAGCTGAGCAAAGCGTTGTGCGCTCCCCTTTCTGGAAACTCTCTAGCCCCATGCAGATTGCGTTCAAATTAGGCTCACCCGAGTAGCCAAATCAGGTAATCGGGTTCGCCGAAAACCTCGTTTCCAACCGGAGTCTGCACGTCTCCTGGATAGGTACATATAGTGGATATCTGAGCAGCTCTGGTCCGAGATTCTTTTGAACTACAATCGAACGAGGTGAGCGGCATCGAGGTATATTTTGGCATGTGGTACATATGCAGGAGTACAGCCTCCGCGACCGGAAATACATAATCCCTGGCCCCAATAAAATCTCTACGGCACAGCAATTCCATAACACCTCTACAGGCGCCGATTGGCCAAAGCCGACTATCAGTCATATTGAGTGCATTGAACGCAAATGATTGAAACGTCGTCCGATCACGACTTAGTGGCGCATCTAAATCCAGACCCAGTATCTCGACCAGTTTTTCATCATTCGTCATTGTATTGCATGTTGGCGGAGGATTGCACGACCGTTTGACACCCTCCCTCATTCTAGCAATAGATTTAGCAGAGTAAGTATCATGTCCCGCCTGTCAATTCTCTTTGGAACGCGTCAGCCGTATTTGGATAAAGGCGCCCATGACATCATCAAGGATTCTGAGTTACACGGCCCGTCCGAAGTGCGTTTGAGTGGTGCTGGGTTTCAAGTCCTAGCGGGAGACCGTCTCGGAGACCATCTCGGCTGGCCCCGAGACAGTCGTTCCAAATAACCCCGATTAGGATATATAAGGCGGAATAGTGTAACCCCCTTGACAAGATCCTAGTGTTCCGACCTATGCCACTGGAGTAGCATAGGGTAAATCACCTTCGCCACTATAGACTTATTCTCGCATGTAGTCATAGGGTCCGTAAGTTGATAACTGGACCGTGAGAAAGACTGCCCCGCAGGCTGTCAAATTAAAACAGGTTACAGACTTGTTAGGCAGTCCAAGAAGATGTTGACTGGTCCGGAAAATGGCGGCTTCATCCATTCTCGCCCCTGCCGAGGGTTTAGGTTCGGCTACCTCGGACTTTAAGGAGGTTTCTGGGGGGTGGTGTTAAATTGGAAAGGAAACTGTGTTGGAGACATGTCCGCCTGGAGCGAGAGATGACAGAGCTTTGGTGGAAGGCGGAGCTCAAATTGCGCTATAATAGAGAAAAGTGGGTACCCAGTGATGCATGGCACTGGAATCTCGAAGGTTTCTAGTTATTCAATTCCAGTAAGGTCCAAATATCCCTGAAACTGTTTTGATAGGTAGGGTTGTCCGTAGGAAAGCCATGTCGAATCATAAGTTTCAATGTCGACAACCAGAGGTTTAGGCGTCTTCTCGCTAATGTAAGATGCTTCGTTCATTTACTAAGGTCTAACCAAGATCCATCAATTAATATGTCGTTGAGTAGATAACGGTATGCAATATCGGGCTTAGCTAAATCGCGCATATCGATGTTTATCTCGCAAATCAGTTCTTAAAGCTAGGGAGGCTTGAAGCTAGGGAGTACCCCAGAGAATCCCACTGAGACGGCAGGGGATAAAGCTTGCAGTACGAATCATGATGGTGGTGATACTCGTGAAGTGGGAGCGGGCATGGAACAGCGAGCTTTATACCCCCTTACCCATGAGGAAGGCCGGGCTATTCTGTCGAATAGTATATTCCAGTTTCCGAAGTCTAGGGGGGGGGAAGAAAGTAGTTCTATCAGGCGGTCGAACGTTATTTGGGTATCGGATGACTGTGTTTGTCTCGACATTGCAGTAAACTTCCTCCATTGATGAGAAGCGGGAGAGGGGTAACTCTCATAGTGGCTTTTCATGTATCCCCCAGTCGAATGAGCCGAGCATATTAAGAACTCCGTAAAGAAATTCAGTGGCATCGTTGTCACAGTCTGTAATCTCCAGATGATGTAGCGATGGTAGCTCCAAGTATAATAGAGCAGCAATACCCCAAAACGGCTCAAGCTTGTAGATCCATGGAGCCTTTGGTCGTGCCCGATACGCGGTTTCTCTGCAAATATTTGAAGGAAATTCTTGTATTACGCCATCGCAAGTTATGGCAGATAATATGGTCTAGTCTTATAATTTGAAAAAGCCAAGTAGAAGCGTTTTGACGTATTTTGGCACACATGGTATCGGAGAGGAGGGTAAAGAGGAATGAGTCGATTCGAGGAGCGTTCCGAGATCGAATACTAAGATCGGTATGGTGGTATAGGGGGAGGCAAGTAGTCGTGTACAGCATCTTCAAGACCAGGCAGAATGTGATCATGTCACGCTAGTCCGAATAAAAGAAACGATGTGCTCAATGAGCTCCGGAGACAGGTCGGAGAAGGAGATCATAATGGCGGACGCTGGCGGGCAAGAAGCTACAGAAGTCTTGCAACGGCAGAATTACTGAATGTTGGCGCTTGTCACAGATGACGGATAGGATTGTGACAGCCCAGCCTGTGCCGGGATTCACCGAGACCGCTGAGAGAATATATAATTATTTCCCAAAACAGATCTCATGTATCCTATCATACACAGGATGTGCTAACATGCGGTACTCTGATATTACTTGAAGGATACTCTGTAGCTGTAGGTCTGTCGTAGGGAGCGGGGGGGTGATCCACAGGTGTAGATGGATTGGGCTAGCGGCTTGGCATATCTGCTCTGAGCTCGAACTTCTACGCGGCTCATGTTGCCTTGAAGCTCAAGCTCAAGCTCGTAGTCAACACCAGGAAGCCGCCTTTACTCCCCCACGAAGCCGCCGAATCTCGCGCCCACCTCAACCACCCTAAGCCTTCTTCGCGCAGTCTCTAGCACCCTGCCATTACTCACTCTCCGCCAGCACACTCACCAATATGGTATGCACCCGCTTGAAGCCATCGGAGCTCAATTTGCTGACTGTTGTAGTTCATAGCGCGAAGTGAATATGGTATGTTCTCTTTATACTCAGAAATCGACTACTCTTTGCTGACTGCCGCCCGTTAGATCGTGGTATCAAGTATGCGGTCTAGCCACTACTCGCACAATCCCCTCAAGCTCACCTATTCGCAGCACCTTCTCCCCCGAAGGCCGCCTCTTCCAAGTCGAATACTCTCTAGAAGCCATCAAGCTCGGTTCAACAGCAATAGGCGTGCGTACTCTTTCATGCTCCACATCGCCAAACAGCCGGCTCGCAGTCCAGCAACACATAAGCTTACACAGAGCGTAGGTAGCTACGGGCGATGGCGTAATTCTGGGCGTCGAGAAGCGAGTAACATCCACCCTGCTCGAAACCAGCTCTGTCGAGAAGATCGTCGAGATTGACCGACACATTGGATGCGCCATGTCGGGTCTGCAGGCCGACGCCCGGAGTATGATCGAGCATGCCCGAGTAGAGTCGCAAAACCACGCCTTCAACTACAACGAGCCGCTGCGGGTTGAGAGCTGTACCCAGGCGATATGTGATCTGGCGCTGAGGTTTGGTGAGGGTGCGGAAGGAGAGGAGAGCATAATGTCAAGGCCGTTTGGTGTGGCGCTGTTGATTGCAGGATATGATGAAGACGGCCCAAGTCTGTATGTCCACATCCTCTCCCGTAAGCGTATTTTGTAAGCCTGACTTTATTGTATAGCTACCACGCTGAGCCCTCTGGTACCTTCTACCGCTACGACGCCAAAGCCATTGGCTCCGGCTCCGAAGGCGCTCAAGCCGAACTCCAGAACGAATTCCACAAGTCTCTAACTCTCCCTGAGGCCGAAGTCCTCGTTCTCAAGACGCTCAAGCAGGTCATGGAGGAGAAATTGGATAGCAAGAACGTGCAGTTAGCGAGCGTGACGAAGAACGATGGTTTCAAGATCTATACCGACGAACAGATGGAGCAGGTTGTAGGGAGACTACCTGCAAATTAGAAGCTGCGTGGGTTAAGTGCAAGCCAACCGGTATGGTAGATGAGCGACATGCGAAATGATGGGGTATCAAGCCACTTTTGGCATCCCATAGCCCGATGATACAAAATAGAGAATCTTCAATACCAATATCCGGACCCTCAACAGACTTGAAGAGTGTGCATTGCATAGCTAGCTTCAGCTATCACAAACATGATAACGGCTGAATTTCTCAATTTCTCAATGAACACACACCCACACCACACTTCGAGTTGAAGAAAGTCTATTCTGCATACTATACAGTCCTCAGCGGACGCATATTTTCAGTCGTCTATAGTACACTCCCATTCCCAAACCCCACTTCCCATTCCAGAGTATGCCACATCAGACCATACCGTGATATTTAGAACGGGTTATCTTCCGGCGGAATCTCTTTGACAAAGTAATCCCCGATAACCGGAATCTTCTGCATGATATCAATACGCACGCGCGGAACCTCGGAGAAGAAGAAGAGCGCAAAGATACCGGCTACGCCGCCGAATCCGCCTGCGAGGACGCCGCTGTGAGGGAGTTAGGATGCTGGATGGTACGTTCGATGGAGGGGAAGGGGAAGGAGTGGAATGGGGTGGGATATGGAGATGGGTAAACGTACTACTTCATGAGTGTCCGGGAGGTGATGCCGTGGTAATTCATCTGAGTTTTGTATCTGTGGGGAGGATATATATTAGCTGGGAGTCTGATGCGAATTCACACGGTTCTTCTACTCGTATGCGTTGGCGATATCCGGGCTTGCCTGTAGCTCCACATGGTGGCTTGTCGCTCCAACAATGCTGGCTGTGGGAGCTCTTTCTTTCCATCCTTTATTCCACGGATCCCTCCTCTACATCCTCTTCTCCATCCCTGTCTCCGCCATCTAACATCTAACAAAGAGCGGGAATACACGTACGCAGGACCGAAAGGACTCCGGTAAGCCTTATAATCCGATCGCACAGACTAAATTCTCGTTAGCTAATGTCCCACTCCAAGTCCCTCATCCCGCAGTCCGCTATTCCCAAACCCGGCTGAACGCTCCAATGGCTCCGGAGAAAGCTTACCCAAGCAGCGGGTGTCTTGCCCCTGGAAGCAGATGGGGTTTTGATCGTTTGCGACATGGTTGCGGTAGTATGCTGGGATGCCGTGGTGAATGAGGTTGGTGATGCTGGGACGCAGAAGTTGGAGGCTCGGGTGTTGGGACTTGGCGGGATGGCCATGGGTGGCGGGCCAATGGCAGGGCACGGGTGAAGCCGGGATTAGAATGGCATGGGGTGAGAGGTGGAAGTGGATGACGGTCTAAGAGTCTGGTTCCTTAGATATTTGTTCATGAGTGGATATTATGTTATCTTCCCCCAAACGTATCGAATTCTCTATCATCTTCTATCTAGGTATATGCATTTCCCCTCACTACCACGCTGTTTGAAGCATGGAATTTGCTCTTCGCTTCTTGAAAAGAAAACCATATTCAACATTCATATTCAACATTCATGGTATATTTTCTGTAACGGCATACGCTTTTTTAGTCTCCGCCTGGGCGCGAACATTAGGTAAAGAGAGTGTTCTAGAAACCATCGCTCTTGGAAGTGGTCGTCTTTCCCGTCAGAACACGACTTTTCTATACTTGATTCCCGCCTTCTTTCCTTGCCGCGTTCTTAGCGTCGACGGTTTCGCGCCACTGCTTTCCGTAAAGCGTAGTAATGTAGGTTACAATTGTGGCGACAACAATGAAAATGGAGGAAATAGTCGAGAACCAACCCACGCCAATCTTGCGGATAGCGGGGAGACAGACTGCGCTGCCTGCGGCGGCGAACATGTAGCGGACCATGTAGTTCCCGGCTATGGAGTAGAGGTTAGGAACTATGTCATGCAGATTGGTAATTATAGGGTAAAATAAGACCTACCAACCACCTCAGCACTCCTTTTCTGCATGACATCCAAGCAATAGGTGTTTAGGCAGGGAAAGCAGAACAGCTGCGCGACACCCTGAAGGAACATCATCACCACTAGGAGTGCAACACCACCTTTTCTCTTCTCCACACTCCAGCCGTAAATAATCATGCAAGCCGGAATGATGACGCCCATAAAGATGAGGCAGCTTCGGAGTCGGTCCTCAGCCACCCGTTGACCTCTGATCCGGATGTACTTCTTGACTATATGGTCGGCCCACCGGCCACCGAAGAAAGTGCCAAGGAGGTAACCACACCCGGGAGCGATGTAGAAGAGGCCAGATTGAAGTGGCGAGGTCAAGTTGAATCGTGGATTGAGAACGTAGCGAATGGGAGTTAGGAGAGAGTACATGTTCCACACTAAGGAAGATGATGCTAGTGCCTGTAATGAGGTCAGTACAAAATATGTCAAAGAAGTTGAGGGACATACAACTGTGAGAAGATTGGGGTAGCGGTAAAGTCGTATGACTCGGAATGGGTTGAGCCACTGCCACATCTTTCTAGCTTTGGTGGAACCAGAGAGTCCTTCCAATTCCTTAGAACGCTTGTAGTGAATAGTTTCTGGCTGTAGAAAGAAGACAAGCATCGTGGCAGTTCCCGCCAAGGCAGTCTGCAACCAGAATATGTCTCTCCATGATCGGAAGGTGACAATGATGCCTCCAATAAAGGGACCTGACATCTCTTAGCAATCCCTCTAAATATAGAGTGGGTAGGATAAGGCACCTAGAGCGGGGCCAATCAAGGTACCAGACTAGGAGATGGTCAGACCGTGCCTTTGAAATGGTCGGGAATTAGGGGGGGATTGAATACCATGAACCAGCCGAGCGCAGTTCCACGTTCAATCTAGCATGCAGTTAGCTTTGTAACTCTCGAAAAGAGCGGAGGGGTCCTCCTGTATGTTGACGAAAAAAAACTACGGGAGGCTTGTCAATATCAGGGGACACTTTCTCAACCTAGTAATATGCATCAAGGGCATTCTTGACTCCGGTAGTGTTCTATACAATGGTCCAACACGGAGAGTACTTACTGGTTTGTACATATCCCCGATGACGCTCGATCCGATGACTAGAAAAGCTGTGCCTTGGAAAGCTGTTAAGATTCGGAAGACGAAGAAGGATGCTAGATTCGGCGCTAAGGCTGTTCCAATAGAGAAGGCGAGGAACAGTGCCGCACTTCCTACCGAGACCTGACGATGGGAAGTTAGTTGAGCAGTTGATCCTACGGCCCGAACAATGTTTCATCTCCTTGGGGAATATAGCATGTGATGAATATATGTATTTGGGTAATTGCGTACCCATCTTCGTCCGTAAATAGTTCCAAATGGCCCATAGAAACATGGACTAAGACCCATGAACACCATGTAACATGCATTTGAGACATTGATAATGGAACCATCACAGTTATAAGTCGCCGCCACCTCGGGCACCGCTGATAGAACAGTGGTTGATGAGATAGGGGCAAGAAAGCTGCAGAAGGATAAGACAGCAGTGATAACTTTCTTTCTGCTTGGTGAGTACCGGTTGTAAACTTCGTCCTCATCACCGGTTACTACATATGGAACATCGGCCATACCATGGTGGCTAATGCTCGAGATCGTCGGCTCCAGCGGCGGCGATCGGTCTTCTCCAGGGACGATCGATGTGAATTGCTTCTCGGAATCATTGACTTGAGAGCTGTTGGGCTCTCGAGTTGAGGGGATGTGTGCCATGGTGGGGTAACATAAGCCTCAGTGAACTAGAATGCCAGACGAGAGAGTAGAGGAAGGTCAATATATGGGTTGAAGTCTTGTACTCAGACAAGACAATAAAAGTGGGTGTTGCGAGAGTCCTGGAAAGTGTATGCAGGAACGAGAAATATTGGAAGGAAAGTGAGTCAAGAGCCTTTCATGGCCAAAGATTTTAAGGTGGCAGAGTACCCGAATATCACATCTCTTCTGCGTTAGTGCATCATCATTTAAAGAGCTTAGTTGGTTGAGAGGTCTCTTTGCCGTCATACCCGGAACGCTTTTCCGGTGAGCAGTCGATTCCCCGCCTGATAAGGTGGTCTATCCGAATCTCGGAGTCGGGAATATCTTCGGAATAATGTCTGGCGGAATTGCTTTCGGAATGGTGCCGAAAGTTTTTAGTTGCATGATTGGTGAAAACCGCCGTCAAGTAAATTTGCTCGTGTGCAGCGAGAATAGTGATGATGTCGAAGCGAAGTTTCCGAGCCGCTAACCCACCCCTGTTCTGGGCCTGGATTCACATGCTGGTAACGACAACCGCCCGTGGACGGCAATAACGCGATGAGTCTCACTTCGAGCTGGTACTATGTCGCATAGTGATACGTTCAATGGAACGTGAACAAGGATAAAGAATATTTTTCGAACCTGTTGCAATAGTTCAGGGAACATCTCATCAATGTCTCTGTAGGGGAAGGTTCCATTGTATGTGCCATCATACAGTAGGTGCATGCTGACAACGCCTGATAGTGAGTTATGTACTCATGCCCCAAAGCCCGATATCCTTCCAACTCTTGAGAGTTATCCGTCTGAACGCCAAGTCTCAAAATCTCGAATCTTGCAAGAAATCTTACCTGCATAATGCATACCAAAACGCCGATCCATGCAACCATAGCCTGTCATATTGACTACAGCCTGCTTTTATATACTGAGCCTATCAAGGCTGAGTCGGTCTACGCTTCGTTGTCTTTTCACCATACCCAGCTTGTAAAACTTCTCTTCTCCAGTGGCGGTACGACCACCAATATACCACTTCTCTGATCCTATGACCTCGCGGAATCCTTCTGATGAGCTGTCCGAGCCTCTTCGATTTTTTCGCGAAGCACCAGGTATTGGGAATGCCTTTGCCGTGGGCGATGTCGATCGGTGGTAAGGAGCAGTGTGCTGCCGTGTTGGCTGAAACTGGCCAGTTGCTTGCACAGCTGCAGCCGTGGAGCCCGCCGAAGACGGCCCAGCCTTGGTTGTTATTGTGCGTGTTGCGGATGAGGAGGCATGGGATGTGGATTGAGAAGGCGATGTAGCGGCCTTCTGGATGGCCGACTGGGCACGAAACGCTGCAAGGAAATTCGAGAAGAAGGGCCGGTTGGTGGTCATGGTGTCTCTGGAAGGGCGTCGTCCGGACTGACCGCGTTTTCGGTCGCTGTGCATTAAAGTATGCGGGTCTCGATAGAGATTCTTTCTTGTGCGGTCGGTCGAGACGGGTACGGTGCCTACTCACACTCTTGCTCGAGGGTATAGTAGCTATCTATGAATCGAACTCATGTAGAACGGTTGCCTTGTGGTGATGTGCACGCGGTTCCCAAGGATGATGATGACCTTCGTTGGAGTGACGTAACCGTCGTTGACCTAGCTTTGGTGAAGGCACGATGCGGAGGTGGAGGGGATTTGGAAGGCTTTTCACTGTCCAACCTGGAACAACTTGCGGGGAAGATGGAGGCTTATGTGCACGACGCGGATGTGTGGAAGACGTCTGGCGTTGGACCTGCGCACAGCGAGTGAAAGGAAGAAGTCGGGACAGGGATCGCGCCTGATCTGAGAGCCGAACTCCTACCGACCGAGCTTGAACCGAGGCGCGGGAACAAGCCCAGGAGGCTGAGGCGTGCGGTTTTCCAACAACCGCGCTGCAATTTGTTTTTTGTATCACCTGAGATCAAATTCATCGTGCGAAATGCCTCGTCTTTTCCAACATGGTGGTGTGCGGAAAATGCACGATTCGCTCATGAATCCCGGGCCAACGCCGCCATGCAGCGAATCCATCGCCAAAACCCCTCAACCTGCCGGCTGCCAGCCAAACACGGGCGCAGAATTGGTAAGGCTATGAACGCCTCCTTCAGGCAGCGTGCAGGGCCCCGGACTGCCCTTCTCGCCTGATACCAACCGCCTGCGAAACAAGCAATGCAGAGGTGCTTTCTGTCAGCATTGTTGCATCGAAAGATCGCAATGAACCCTCCTCTCGGGGTTGCCTAGACTCCAAGTGTGCAGGTTACTTTGCATCATCTGATAACAAAACACTTCGTATCCATGTCAACAGTTTCAATGTTGATGCTGACTCTTGCGTTTGCTGCCTCAGTCAGCGTCGGGTCGGTCCGGAAATCTGGGGTCAAAATGCTTCCTTATACGGTTTGTAAAAGACCGATATGTTAGTATGTGGCAGATTGATAGTTAATAGTTCGCTCTTCAATTGGTCATTTCAATGTTTCTAGATATCCGGAGGATTTCACGGAAGGAATGTTCCTCTCAGGCCGTTCAAGAAGCACTTCGTTCTGCGGCCACGCGGCGTTTGGCTACCCTGCTAACGAGTGCTCCGCTTCATGTATTTATTTTGGAAATAATATGAACTCCTGCAAGAGCTGCTCATCTGAACTCTTGACCCAGCTTGAACTTCTATCACTTAGGGTAGTTACTTCTATTATCCTCAGACCAACTAACATCAAATCAAGGTCTAATTACCAGAAGCCAGACATAGCTCTTACAATAACCAATGGCTTCTCGTCCACCATCATTTCTGGAAGTTTTACCGGCTGTGAGGATAAGAACATGCAAATTATATCGTCCGCTAAGCCGTTTACTGGAGGTAACGTGAACACGGATCTAGTGTTTGGGCCTGACACAATATTGTTAGGACAAAAGTGTGACGTTGGTTTTCAAAGACCTATGAGGTGATCTGCATTTGCTGCGCTCTTTCTAGAGTCCTTGAGATACTCTGTGTTTGGGTACTGAGAAAGTGTCCGACGCTCGGATCGCCCGTGAATCTGATCCCGTTCCTCTAAATATTTATATTCTAGGGCCTATTAATAGCTGTTAGAGACTATCGGTAGCATAATATCTAAACCAAAGAAGAAACCTATCGCTTCGGCAAATGGCCTAGTCCTCTAGTTACAGAGAGCAAACTAGCGTCGAAAATATCACTCTAAAGATGTGTTCGGGGTTTCGCGGTATATATATATACACCCACGGATATCTTCAACACTGTCACAACCGTGCACGCGGGGGCGGCCAATTTTGGAACTAGCATGAACTGCATTAGATTCAATCGCAAAGATGGCCCGCATTCAGGAAACACACGCCTTTACTCATCAGATATTGATGTACTATCATGCTCTCGTAATTGCTTGATGACAGAAAAGAAGTAGTATAAAGCAGAATGCCCCCCATCTTTGAAGACAAGCTGCGGCTTCTTTCAAGTCCCCAGAAATGCCTCTCTAACTACCAGCCAAGATATTGCTCTTCCATTGAAGTGGGGAACCCTTCAAGGATGGAGCGGCACGCTGACCGTCTCCACGAAATTGTTCCGAAAAGCACCCCGATAATCCTTCCCAGCGCTTGCAGCACCCAATTCCACTTGTGGCCGGCCTTCGAGAGCATTAAGAAGAGGTGGCTTCATAATTTCGCAGGTTATATTGGAAAAAGAAATTTACTGTTCCACGTCAGTGGTCGTAGAGAAGGCAATGAGGCAATGAGGCAATGTTTCGGAGTCCGCAAATGACGGATGGCGAGAAAACGTTTGGGGTTGGGGCGGATACCTATCGAACACGGCGTAACCACGACTGATATGGACATACACCGGAAGAAACCCACAGCCGCCTCTCCAGTGGAGGGGTTATGCTTCCGCCGCAGCTCTCGTTCAAAGTGCGGCTCCTTGTTCCTAATTAAAGCGTGCCAAGCCCGCGGATGCTACTTTGGGGTCAAGAATGAAATATTCTTGTTTTCCAAGCACCATTCGGGCTTACTGTGTCTTAAAGCAGCGTCTCCGGTCCATCGCCTACTTTCATGGAACGGATAGAGATCGATTTTCAGGCCATCACCGCCAAGCTCCAAAATGCTCGTTCTTGCAACAACTCCCCAGAACCAGAGCAAAAGAAGAGGACCGTACGACGCTAATGTTATCCATTGGCTGCAATCAAAGCGCGCAATGTGTCCCATCATGCTAGTTTCCGTTCACCTTAGAGGCGTGAGGTTTCCACATCAATTTCCACATCACTCGCTATGCTACCAGGGGGCATACCCCAGGGAGAAGACTGCCTTCAGCTGCTATTCTATGCGCCATCTCGCTCACTTCTAGTTGCCGTAGGCCCACAGGGCGCCGGGGCTTCCCAAGCTTCGCCCCCGTTCATCTCCTATCGACTCGAATTCCCGTATCTGGAAACCTCTATCCTTGCTTTATATTGGAGAAGCCACTACGAGCGGAGAGGCCATGATATGAGTAAGCAAAGAATGCTTATCTAACGCAGAAGTTATGCACCGCCCTCGACTCGAGGAAAATAAGCTCATGGGGGACTCACCTTGTCACTCTGCGATTGGTAATGAATGCAGCTGTGGTGGGGGGAAGGACCCTTCCAGAAAAGGCATGTCTGCCGTGGAGAATGCAGGGCCTCGTAAAGGGCATAGTGGCTCGAGATTGGCGTCCGAGTGTTTGCACACCATTCGATGGGGACATATCCATGGGGGCAGTGGGTTGCTTAGTACAGACGGCGAATGTCTGCAACCTCGTTTGCGCACAGACGAGCTCGTGATGGCGGTCTTCGCTTTTTAGAGGTTCTTGGTAATACTTATATCAATCGTTTGACCAGCTGGCCTTGCACCGAAAGGATTAAAGCATCAAGTTGGTCTCGTTTGGTACTTGATCTTAACTAGGGTTGCAATCTGCTCCCCACTATCACAGGTTCCTTCAGCTGACGCCCCTTCCGCATTTGGACATGTCACCCCTCCAGATCGGTTCGAGGCTACTTACCTTATATCTGCTCGCATCACTCGTCGTTGCAGACATTATTCCATCTGTATGGCAGCCTTACGATGTAGTAACATATTTTTGTCAACGGTGGTATCACCAATGTGAGTGGTCTTGACTGACTAACGTAGGATATGGTAGCTAATCGGCTCTAGCGGTGGTCAAAAACCGCACGCTCTACATTCACGGCGGAATCCAGACTTTCAACACCCCAAACCATGAGCCAGACTGGACAAACAACACCCTAGGATACAGTAAGTCCACCTTTGCTTCGTATACGCGTCGCGCTGACGAATTTACAGACCAGTTCCTCCTTCAAGTGGATCTCAAGACATCATGGGATTGGCAGGGGAACCTTTCTACCATTGCTTTGGAAGAGGCACCTAATCCGAAGACCGGAACCAGCGTTCGTCACTCCATCCGAGGCACGATGTATCAAGGGCCCTCGAATGATTCTATGGTCTACACTTACGGTGGCACCCAGTTTAGGGGAAACGAGTCCTTCCCCAACAAAGACGCAAACTACTACTCCGCCAAGTACTTGGACCAATATTCTCTCTGGTCCTTCGACAACAACACCCAGATTTGGGACCAGTACGATATCAAGCAGTCATGGACACCAAGCTATGGCGCAGCTGCTGAGGCCCCTGATCAAGGTTTGGCTTTTTACCTTAACGGAAGAATGGATAACGGTACCTCATCGAGCACTTTATACGATGGTGATGTCCAAACAACTTTGGATGGAATCATTGTCATCGATATGGTGCAGCACACTTCCCGAAACGCATCAACTGAAGGGATTAAGAACTATCAACCACGTGTGGGTGGGGGTATGCAATATGTTCCCGGAGTTGGTGAAAACGGTGTTCTTGTTGCTTTTAGCGGCCAGGTGTTCGACGGAAAGAAGGTTACAACCTCCCAGGACAAAGGCCGATTGGTAAGTCTTCATTCCAGAGCTCATGCGTCCCTTATCGCTAACTATGACAGCTGGGTCTTGATACGGTCGATGTCTTTGACATAGCTTCGTACTTGGAAAATCCTTCGAAAAACGGTACCTGGTACTCCCAAGCTACATCTGGAGAAATCCCTCCTCCTCGCTTAGACTTCTGCACTATCATCGTGTCGGCGCCGGATAATTCGTCTCATAATATGTAAGTTCCCTACATTTGCTGCAGCTTTCTTCCTAACGGCGACCTAGATACTTGTATGGAGGTCAAGATCCTACTGCCTCGAACGGAACAATCTACTACGACGACATTTATGTCCTTTCTCTCCCTTCATTTACCTGGATCCTTTATTTTAGTGGCAAGACTCCACGCTGGGGTCATACCTGCCATCACGTCGGTCAACGGCAAATGCTGACTGTCGGTGGGCACGATCAAAACCCAAACTCTTGTGATTGGGAAAAGAAGAGTGTGGCGATATTAGATCTTCCTTCCATAAGGTGGGGAAGCATCTACCATGCAAACGACGATCCATACGTCCTCAGCGACAATATCATCGCTAAAATCGGTGGGACGCCAAAGGGAAATGCCACCCTTAAAACCCCTGAAAAGGGATGGGCAAGCGAGAAACTTGGCCAAATCATTAGCACAAACAGAATCTATTCTAATGACCCGGTAAACAACACTGTCACTCCCGACCCTGGGAGCTCTGGCTTTGATTCCAAGACCAAGGTCGCTACAATTGTCGGTACTTCAATTGCGGGAGTTGTTCTTATTGCATGCATCTGCTTCCTCACATGGATGTACAGACGTCACCGCAATATTTCCAGGTTTTCATCTCGAGGCTCCAGCCCCCTTGTGGAAATAGATGATAAACCCAGGTTCGAGCTTTCCCCAGATGGGAAGCGGCTTTACGAAGCCGTAGGAACGGAATGCCGGTATGAGCTCCCTAATAACGCCTTGCTGGCGGAGGCAGATAGAGGTAATGCGGTGACTTACGCAGTAGAGCTGCCGACAACGAATTTTCAAGACGAAGGTAGATGGGGAGTGCCTATTATTAGGGTGCCTACTCCTGCACTTTTGGGAAGATCAAATATAAGAAGTTCCTCGGTAGATTCGGACCCGGAAACACCTAACAAGAAGACGACGGTCGTGAAATGGGTCTAATGATTTGCGAAGTATTGCCTTAGCTGGCATTTAGGATGTCTAGTATAGTCTCACAGCAGTTTAGTTGTATGATTTACACTTCCTATACATCAGTCATGTGATTGCACGACTTTGAAAAGCCCTCGCATCGATTAAAATTTCTTTCAATTGCACACTTCTCTCGCTCCTTGATTCCAAATCTAGATTCGTTCGCGATCCCTATTTCCAAAGAACTTACTGCTCTGATTCGGCGATTCTAGTCACCAAGTCTGTCCCAAGATGTCGAACCAAGCATATCACCTCATCATCCTGTTCGTCCTCCCCTGAATCCATGCTCCTCTCCTTGCATCTGTACCTGCAGATACGACACATCTTCGATGCATTTCGATTTTCCTAATCTCCTAGGACAACACGAACCTCCGAACGTCTCGGTCAACAAAAATGGTTTGGAGGGTCGCATGTTTCATGTCTCAGGGACCTCCTCATTTACCGACCCCAACGGCTTGGCATGATGGGATGCGTATTTTTAGAGACTTGGTGATCGTATCTGTCGGCATTGAACAAAGCGCCTTGATCGGGGGCTGTCAGCAAGATGTCACATTATCTCAATTTCCAAGCAGCTTTTGCGGCGGGATAGCGTGGATTAAGTAAGGGGTACGGGGTTGAGGAGATTGGGGTCGGAGGGCTGGGGTGGCGGTGTTGAGTGAAGACCGAGCGAGACTGAGACAACCCGAAAAATGAAGTAGATAAAAATAGAAGCGGCTCTTTGGGAAGTTTGTGTGATCTTGTCTTGTGGAATCTGACAAAGGTGGAGAGAGGATGAAGTTTTGTGGAGTGCCACGTGCATGGTTGATGGACTTTCTGGATCGGGTTTAGTGCACGGTAGTGATAGGACATTATTGGGAGCCCTGGACCACATCTCGTTTGCCTATGTCTACGATATTATGTTCCGATGCCCCAAATACAATTACGCATATTAGTCTTTACGATGGTTTGCATACTCTATTCCTTTTTCTTTGCTGTTTAGCATCGAGAAACTGACGCACCGGAAAACATTATCGCTCCCTCCGGGACTCCACTGAGTGAGAGGTGCTATCAACAGCTGGGTCATCTACTTCGACTTCTAATCCACTCACGACCACCCGCAGACGACACGAAGGTCGTTCTTCTATGAACCTAGTTTCAATGTTCAACTAGTACAGGGAGGAAACGGTGGGTGAGGCCCATGTCTCAATCCGCGAGTCCTAACATTCTAGAGAACGAATACCAGATATTCCGCTGTCCATAGAAATTCCACATTTTAAAATCTGCTTTTGTAAATGTACTGGCGCGTGCAATATTGAGGTCTTCTTTTTGGTCAGAGAGGATCTGCGGGATGTTATGATACATGAGATTTCATTCTGATGTTAGCTTTTCACTTCCTTCCCTTCATGTGCATGTAAATACTCGAAGATAGCGTATAGGGACTCGAAGGTTCCTTCGTGCCAGAGGGGTCGTAATGTAGCTTGTCAAGTTTTCGGGATCATCCCTCACTCTTCTGACATAGGATAGCTTTGTGTCTACCAGAATAGAGTGGATTAGACACACGCATGAACGTCACTTATATGCTCTATCTTAGCTCTTGAACGTCAAATAACGTTTCTACCTAACTGAATATACCTAGCGGGCGTATGTAGAGATTGGCCATCCGTTGTACCTTCCACAATCTAGGAATAACCCCGCATACGCACCAGCTTTCTGGTGCGTCGTCATTCGTTCCTACTACAGAGGTACCGCTTTCCCTTGTCAATAAATCCAGGCTCGACGTTGCATATAAATTCCTCATTCTGTGCTGAAAGGCTCTTTTTCCTCTCCCATCCACCTTCTTGACTTTGACCTACCCACTCTAATTGGACTTAATCCGGCCACCTATTCTGGCTCCCTTTCCACTTTCCTAAGATTCCCTAGCATCCTGGTATCATGCGGTTCTTGGCGACAATGCTCAGCTCGGCAGCAGCCCTCTCGACAGTTAACGCAGCACTCCTTGGTTTCTGTTACAGCGCATTCTTCCATGATGAAACGCCTAAACACCAGGTTGATTTCGAATATGAGTTCAACGCTGCCAAACAACTCCCCAATACCAATGGCCAATTCAGCAGCGCTCGGCTCTATAGCATGGTTCAGTGGAGTACGACAGATGGTATTATTGAAGCCATTCCCGCAGCTATCAACACCCAGACTACTTTGTTCCTGGGTATATGGGCATCCGCCGGAGACCAAGCTTTTGCGTACCAGATAGCCGCGCTCCAGGGTGCAATTCAACAATATGGCACCGCATTCACAGACCTTGTCGTCGCTATCGCAGTGGGCAGCGAAGACCTCTACCGCCTCACGCCCATCGCTATTGGGAACAATGACGGACCTGGAGCCTCTCCAGACACGCTTGTCAGCTATATCCAGCAGACCCGTGCCGCAATTCGGAACACTGCCCTTGCAGGAAAGCCAGTTGGCCATGTCGACACTTGGACAGCCTATGTCAACACTTCCAACAAACCTGTCATCGAAGCTGTCGATTTCATTGGCGTCGATACGTACCCGTACTTTCAGAAGACGATGATGAACAGCGTAGGAAACTCTAACCAGACATTCTACGACGCATACGATGCCACTGTCAAGGCTGCTATGGGAAAGCCAGTATGGGTAAGCGAAACTGGCTGGCCGGTGTCAGGTCCTCAGATGAACCTAGCAGTTGCCAGTGTGGAAAACGCGCAAATCTACTGGCAGGACGTCACTTGCAGCCTGATTAGTAAGGGGATCAATCTATACTACTACACCCTCCAAGATGCGCAATATGGATCTCCTGCTGTGAGTTTTGGCATTAAACCTGCAGGTAAGTATTTTGCCCTTGCCTTCAAAGGGTTGATCTCTTTCGTGCTGACTCTTCCAGTAGGTGATCTCCAAAATTTGCAGCCATTGTTCGACCTGTCGTGCCTTAATTCCCCTGTAAGCTTTTTCTTCCCATTTCTACTCTTGTCCACTCTTTCGCCTCTTTTCCTCTTACTACTATACAACATTTCAATCGTCTCGCTCATTGTCTCTTCTATCTTGCCGGCTCCTAAACACTGCGGTCCCTGTGATCACATACCATGGCACCTCGCCTCAGTCAGGGTGGGGAGGCCCGCAGCTTGGGTTGAGGGGGCTAATAGACCTACGAAGACACCTTCAGCATGTACGAGCAGCGTTATGGACACGCCAATGAGTACAGATTCATTGATTTCGGGTACTAGTAATTGAATCTTTAACGAACCCAGCTGGTATAGCAGTTTCAACTGACTTGCATAGGCACTCTGTTCGTTACTGACAGCATCGCAACATCCCTACCCGCCATCATTCCGGAACCAACATTCTCATTCGAATCGATATCGACACCCTCCAATTCCCTAGTTCCAACAATACCCACTGTCACAGTAGAACTAAGGCCTACACTATTCGATTCCGGAATACCTGTACCCCCGTTGCCGCCTACACCAACTTTGTCTGAAATGCCTCCCCCGACCGTCACTGCAGTTCCCACCGATCTCTCGGGACCTAACCAAGCGCCTAGCCTCATCGTTCCAATTGACAAGATCAACCCTGACAAAGTCGTTGGAAACAATTATGTTGCTCGCATCTCTCCCAGAGAATCCACGCTTTTCAACTTTGATATCCCTCCTGAACATTCCGGCAAGACTTGCAACGTGATCTTCATTCTGCCCAAAGATACAAAAGAATGGTGGTCTGGTTATCGCATGTGGGCTCCGGGAGGCATTAGTGTTTTCCAGCTTCAGAACCCAGCTCAGGATACGACGAGCGCTAACAAAGTCGGCAACGTCAAACTGATCGGTACCATCAATCAACTGAATCTGGGCTCTGGGAAAGTAATTCGCAGTGCACCATGCGAGGCTGGAAAGAAGGTGGGATATCAGGTGGACTCAGTTGGAGGACTGGACCTGCAATACTTCCAGACGAAAGAGCCTGCAATAGGACTCTGGGTGACTGTTTCATGAGAGGAATTTGGGTTAATGTGAATGTTAATGGCAATGGTGTGATGGTAGTAGAATATGGTTGTATTGGTATGTCTCGAAAAGGATAAGCTCATGTCTCTGAACCTAATGTAATGTCTTTCTGAAGGGCGTTTCGTTCTGATGATGTCCTTCGTATGAGGATTGATCTGAGAATTATGTGCTCCTTTCGACCTCTCCTACTTCCCTCAATGCCCATGGTTCAAACCCATTCTTATCATTATCGTACCATGCAGCTAGCGATATCATTCTTCTTCACATCCCCCGTCGCCTATGAAGAGAAAGCCATCATCAAAATCTAGCTCGCTCAAATCCAACACCTCCATCTCCGTTTCCAACTCACTCTTCACCTCTATTTCCAACTTTCTCTCCAAATCTCTCTTCCCTGATTCCTCCTCCAAAACCATCTCCTGTATAGCGTTAGTAATAACAACACCACCCACCGCTCTCATATCTTGCATATGTATCAGCGGTAAATAGCCCCGCCGTTCTAGAAAGTTTTCTATGAGCGCTACGCCGGTTCCACACCCTCGTTGGTTTATCTCTTGGATAATTCTGAATGTAAGGCAAGGGTGAGTATCACTTACCCACCGAGAAATCGCAAGAGTGACTTCGGCGGGAGTGTAGCGGCGTATTTGGGGGATGAGTTGGAGTAGGAGAGGGTTTGTAGTTTTGGCTTGGGTTCGGGACATGGGTGATATGAGAACAGAAAAAAGCTATGAAGACGTGTAAGCAATTCGAAGAATGCTGATATGATTTCCTTGCAGGATATAGTTCATTCGGGAATGGGCATTATATGAATGGCTTGCAAACGAAGCTTGGTGAATCCCGGTTCAAATGCCAACAGCTCTTTCTCTCCACTTGTAAGGAGTCACACATTTGTTGTGAAGAGAGCCACTATTGAATTCCTAAGCGGCAGGTTGTAGTTTTCGATTTGATTGTAAGCTGGAATTCGGCGGTTGGGACTCATGTTAGTTAATATGTCGATATCGATCCTATGCAAGCCAGGTTTCATAGTCAGCATGCGCTTCTAATGAGTTAGCGTTACTATATAGAGAATATACGACCTTAATATTTCTAGTTATCGTAAATCAATCAGTATTCAGGGTCTGATTTGCTATCAACTGCAATTCAGTAATCAGCAGGAAACCAGCTGCAAGATAATAGGATACCAAGCTATATCAGGGCGGGACATTAGAATAGGAGCAATCTGCAGCTTCCCTATTGCCTATAAGGTAAGCTTCGTTCCGTACATGCATGTCTCTTATACCCCACCTAGCTTCCACCTCCGTGCCGTCCCTAACCTGACTCTCAATCCAAATTCGCAATCCACATCAAACCCACTATCCCACCTCCGTGAAAAATCCAGCTAAAAATCCACACACTCTCAGGTCACGCAATTATTTTGGTCAACGCGGTGCTTCCTTGCTTGATGAAAGTGTGATTGTGTTAGTGGCATGGCCGGTAGTCGTGGACATGAGTTGCGGCGTGCGCTTATGGAAGTAAAAGCAAAGGGCTTGACAGTTCGTACTAGTACCTTTCGCGACGTGGTGGCGTTCGTGTCAAGTGCATGGAACAGAGCGTGCGGGCAGTGATTGTAGCTGAGCTGAAGTGACCGCTGTCAAGCCTGAATCCAACAGTGTCTACCTCCTACTCTTGAAGCTACTGTGAGAAGTCCTGCTGATAGTACCAAGAAATACAGCATAGTATTGCCTAGTGAGGAACAATACTAGGGTAGAGCTCATCCGTTAAACTACTTGCTGGAATAAGATAGAAGTCGAATGCAATGCAAATTTCCTTCCTAAATTACTCTCTACGTTAGAAGAGAAAGATAGGGTAATATCGAAAATTGTGTGGCAGTGACGAAAATACTTAGACCTACTAGGTGTGATTTGGCGGTACTCGTTGAGCTTTTTGAATCTGACTACATGTTCGAGCAGAATGAACGAAAAGAACTAGCCAGTTCAAGTCCAGCAAAAAAGTATACAACGTCCTCGTGCGCTCACCCCCCAGCCGGCACTACCTTTTCAAGTTAGGTATTCATTTCGTCAAGACACCTCTTCCACCTGAGCCACTCGCAGACTACAATACATGAAAGCCACTGGCTCGATTGTTTCGCGTGCCCTAGTAGAGTGTCGCTCTACTTCTTGGCCATGCCAACCAGAGGCGTGAGAAACACCAATCCATGAGAAGTGTATTGGCATGTTGTTGTCGTATTGCTTGGTGGTCATGCCTGGGCTCTGCTATCTGAAGCTGAATCCGAAGCTATGGAGGAAGTAGGAGGAAGTAGGAGGAGAAGTCGAGGCGGTAATTGTAGTCGGACGGGAAAGCCTTTATCCTAGCTTGAGTTTGCAAATATAAGACTGTTAGTATGCATTAGGATACAATAATGGGCATTATGCTGGGGAGAGTTTGTTGCCGCCTGCGTACTAAAGAACACCAAAGAAGTGTGCAAACTAGTTGAATTTTCAGCACTACTGTGCAAGGCTATAATATATGTAAACTCTAGGTGGGTAGGAGGCTTCATTGAAACAGTACGTGTCCTACACAGAACAGATATTGCGGACAAGCCCCCTAGCTTGCAAGTGAATTCTTCTTAATTTTTTTACTTCACAACGTAAAGGTTGATCTTATAGAATAGCTGGCGGGTGCTTGCGCGGAACCATTGCGGAAGATGTTAATATGAACCCATCGTTGATCGTCACCACTGCTGCATATTGGCAAATGTATGCAGAAAACAACAGTATCTGATGTACTAGAGGCCTGCATCCATTTAGGTCCCTCTTGAATTCTCTCAAATTATTCAAGGGACTGGATCTTTTAGAATAGTGTTGAGTAGGTTCCCCCCAACATACATCTCAGTATTCCTTAAATGGACAGCCCTTGTCTGCACTGGTTGACTTCGTCTTTTCCTTCACAATATTCCACGTAAGATCCATCAACCTCTCTCCTAACGCATCGTCATTGGCCAAATCACTCCCCTTCTCCACAATCGCCGGCGGGCAGATATACAAGCCGCTCTTGTCTACCACAGTCGCCGCAAACATGGTGCTCACCGCGCCTTCAAATTGCGTTTTCTTGAACGGTGCAAGTCCAACGCTCATCGCGTACCCTCCGAGCGGATACGGTTCGTGGATATGCTCGGTCGATTGCCGCGTCTCTACGAAGCCTGGATGCGTTGCGTTTGCCAGGATATTGGGATGTTGGGAAGTGAGGTGACGGGCCAGATATTTCGAGTACAAGATACTTGCCAGCTTCGACCGGGCGTATTGTCCCATAGGTCCAGAATCCATGTTCAATTCCTCAACGCTCTCAAACTTGGTCCCCTTCGGCGCTGACTGATGCACATTACTTGCCAAATTCACAATCCGGACTCGATCCCCCTTCTTTGCCGTCTCCTTCAATAAAGGCAACAAATGGCTCGTGAGGACCACATGGCCTATATGGTTGATTGCCATATGGAGATCCACCCCATTCTTCGCCAACTGTGCAGTCATAATTCCTCTCGCTGCGTTGTTGATCAAAATGTCGAACCGATCAGTCTTTTCAGCAATCTTGAAAGCAGTCTTGCCGGCCTGTTCCCAATCAGATAAATCGCACTGCATCCACTCGACTTTGTTTGCGGCAGTATCGCCCATGTCGCTCTTGATTGCGGAAATAGCATCGGAGGCGATATCGGACGATTGAGAGATTATGAAAAGTTTAGAAATGTTGTGAGCGAGAAGGGTGTGTGTGCAGCCATAACCCATGCCCTCAGATCCTCCGGTTACAACGGCGACTTTGCCGGAGAGATCAGGCACAGATCTGAGAGAGAATTGGGAGTCCTTGGGCGCGAGTTCATGACCTGGGACTATTTTTCCGAGGTTCTCGGCGATGGCGGTTCGGACAGCTTGCATGTTCGCGCGTTGGAAAATGATACTTCAAGATCGAATATGAAATATAAGGAGAAGTGAATGCTCTACCCGTGGATATAGGAATGAAGGCTAATAAATGGGCGCTGCTCTCCGTCTTTGGTCGGTCCCTGATGCTTAGCTTGGTTGTTATTCTCGATCTTCTCGCCATAATGACGTCTTGAGTCCATATTCCATGATCTAATAGTGGCGTCCTTAATATCAAAATACATGTGCCTAGGCACATGATGCCGTGCCATGATGACGCGTTGACTTTACGTCGCGAAAGGAGGTCTGGCTTAGCGCGACGCTGAGAGGAGCATGTATCGTTATCGATAACGATCCGAGTAAGCACCCAGACCCATCTCTTCACCGCGGGCAATGGGCATCCCGCTACCAACGTCCAATATGCCGGACGTAGGCAAGAATAATCAGGTATGTTTAAAGCTAGACCACTTGATACATCTACCACCCCAAGCTCCAATCGCCCTCCTGCCTCAGAAATCTGCTCTTGAGTGCACATTTTGTGATCCTGCCTGCGACCTGAATCTTACCGGGAATACTCCTAGCAAATCATACACTAACGCCTAATGTAGACTGGAGACGACGTGAATGTTGAATCTCAATCATCGCAAACCTACTTGGGCGTTTATGCGCCTCCAGACCCTGACTATGTTGCTCCTGAGTTTCCACCCGACGCACGCCTCGCTAGGATAAACAACCAGATCACCAGTCACATACGGAAACCGTGGGATAAGTCTAAAGGGCCTGCATCAATTCAAGGTATCGGGTCATATACACATGTCCGGTCGACTGCGGCCGCGCAAGCACCCTTGTTTCCACACCAGCGGTATCTTGCAAACCAGAATCCGCCAGAGTTTCTGCCACTTGAAGGAGGACAAAGTCGCGAAGAGAGGGGGCGGGCGAGATCTCCACAAGAGTTACCGGAGAATGTGAAAGCTGTGTACGAAGCACTGAAATGTGAATTGGAGAATGAAGAAAAGAATCCAAAGGCCTTCTCATCGAGCAGTACGTTACCTATTTCTCCAATTGCAGCACTGAGGCGAATACCTTCATCCCCGCCCCCGCCACATCCGAGAGCTCATGCCAACGTGGATGTCGAGACGGGCAGAACGGACCCTAGTCCTTCCTTCCCTGCTCCAGAGACACTCTCTACACACCTGGCAGATTTAGAAATGGGTGGCGTGCCACACCAGACGCATGATAGATCAAGACGTATGTCCGCTCCCAGCATTATTGGTATGGATAGCACGGGAACGGCGAATGTGAGTGGGAATGGAAACGTGACCGGTGGAGGGAACGCCGTAACAGGCACTTATGATGCTAGCCGAGACCCGCGGAGGAAGGGGAGGTAGCAGAAGACTTACCGGGGGAGGCTGTACGGCACGGAAGAGTGATGGTAATCGATGAGGTCAAGGGACGTGTGGTGCAAAGCGGATTGACGACAAGGATACCCTTTTCTTTGGTCTGCTGTTTCACGAGAGGGACTAGTTTTGGAGACTAGCCCAAAAGTTGGGAACAGAACATTCTCACAGCTGAATAGAGTTGCTTTGCCGTGTATGTGTAGCTGATAATTCATGAACAGGTCATGAGAGGCATTTACTTTCGCTGACAGCAGGTGTTGAAGGAAGTGGTGATCGAGATGTCTTTCAACAATGCTAATGTTTGTTTCTCTTGAGCGGTATCGACGGTGGACTTGTAGTTCCACAAGGGGGAGGAATTTCACGAAAAGAAAGAATCTCCTGCCACAGTCGGCTACTTCAGCAGGAGGGTTGATTTTGTGAGATTTGGCACGTGATATCCCAATACGGTTAGCGCATATTCATGACACGACCAGGGAACGCGTGTTGAGTGGGGGACAATTCACTGCAGCGCAATGTCCGCCCACAAACAATACAAACAAACGTAATAGCAACCTATGGAGCACCACTGCTGCAGTTATGTCTTCTCGTCAACCCCCGAATTTGAAGTCCTCATATACTGCTGAGCGGCGTCCTGCCGCTTCTAACTATCCATCCTCCTCGCGACCCCGCGTTCCTTCCGCAAGCATGGGAGAGAATGAGCGCCGGAGCTCAACAGCCTCGCACGCGAGGAAGCAATCTGCCACTAACACGGTAGGTGAAAGTCGAATAGAGCGGAAAGAAGTGCGGGAGCGGGAGACGGAAATTCGAAGGACGCGCAGCCCATTGAAGCATTCGTCAGAAAGCAGGGTCAATGCAAGAAGTCGCGCCGAGAAGCCTGCACGACAGGCGGAAAGGGCGTCTACCACCGCCGCGACTGCGCGAAAACCCCCCGAAGAACGCCCAAGTATGTTTATCGCTCACGAACTTGCACCATGGAAGAGTCGCGAAGTCCTCGGTGGAGGAGAGTCGTTCGGAAGCTGACTCAGATAGCATCATGGGAACCCCAAGCTACACTTGTCCCTCACACTACCGCACCCCTTGCGACGCGCATCTCGATCCCTCCTCTTGCCTCGACCGCTCCTGGCTCAGTACAACCAAGACCGCTAAATCAATTGTCACTCGAAACACAGGAGATGGTCATAATCGAGGACTTGCTATTCGTCTTCATGGGATTTGAAGGCCAGTACATCCGCTTTGCTGATTCATACAATCCACGCGAGGAGAAAGAGCGGCTCGTTGGACCTCAATTCCGCATCCTTCCTGGCTTGGATCCTAGCTTGCGAGATCTGACGTTGTCCATGTTGAAAATGGCCACTCATTACATTGCCGTAGAAACGTGCGTTGAGGTGCTGAGTAGGGAAGAATATGGCGCCGTCAATCATGCTCTGTGTGCGGCTGTGCGGCGGCTCCTGAAGGAGTATCTGACTCTAATGGCGCAATTGGAGCACCAGATGTTGACGAATACGTCCTTCACCCTGCACGTTCTCAATCTTCATACTAAACAAACGAGCCATATGCTATTCCAGCTGTACACTACCGGGATTGAGTTACTAAAGGCAAACGGAATTTTAGAAGACGAAGACTCGGAGGACTCAGCTGACGATACAAATAACATCGAAGGCATCCTGGAGTCGCTACGAGAAGGTGGCAATGTCCAGCTTACCAGCAAAAAGATTTGCAAAGGTGGAAGCGTTCTTGGTCTCGTCACAAGACGGCTCTCCTCGATGTCTGGTGATCCTGCAGCTCGATCCCTGCTTACAACTCTCTTACGCGAAGCGAGCAGACCATACATGTCCATGCTTAATGAGTGGCTACATCACGGTGGAATTAAAGACCCACATGCAGAATTTCTTATCAAAGAGCAGAGGAGTATCAAGAGGGAGAGGCTGGACCAAGACTACACGGACGAATATTGGGAGAAGCGTTACACAATCCGAGACGCTCTTGTCCCTCCACAACTTGACGGTGTGAAAGATAAGGTGCTTCTTGCTGGCAAATATCTCAACGTCGTGCGCGAATGCGGCGGTGTAGACGTTAGTAAAGTCGTCCAAGACGTCCCTACAAGTTTTGACGACCCCCGATTCCTGGACAACGTCAATTCCGCATACGCATATGCAAACTCTTCCCTTTTCAACCTTCTCTTAACAACACACGCACTCCCCGCGAGATTAAGATCTCTAAAGCATTATTTCTTCCTCGACCGCTCCGACTTCTTCTCCTACTTCCTTGAATTGGGCGCATCCGAGCTCAAGAAACCAGCACGGAACGTCAACAGCGGAAAGCTGCAATCTCTGCTAGATATTGTTTTACGACAGCCTGGCTCGGTCGCCGCCGAGGATCCGTACAAAGAGGACGTCAAAGTGCAGATCAATGAAACAGGCCTGACGAATTGGCTCATGAAGATTGTCAATGTCACCGGTTTGGACCAAGATGCTGCTGAAAAGGGGTCAATATCAAATTATCTGACCCCCGCAACCACGGCTACAGTGACGGACGACACCAATATCACAGGCTTCCAGGCATTGGTCTTTGATTATGCTATGCCATTCCCTCTTTCATTAGTTGTGAGCAGGGTCACCTTGACACGGTATCAATTGCTGTTCAGATATCTACTCAGTCTACGGCATCTGGAAACGAGTCTTGTAGAATGCTGGGGCGAACAGGGTAAGCATGAAGCATGGAAACACCGCTCCAAAAACCCTCGCATCGAGCTTTGGAAACGAAAAGCATGGACTCTAAGAGCACGTATGCTTGTGTTTGTACAGCAGTTGCTCTACTACTGCACCGCGGAAGTCATCGAGCCGAATTGGGTATCGCTGATGTCTCGCTTGAAAGAAGAAGGGAAGGGCAAAGAAAAGGATGAAGGTGGTGGTGAGACGCCGCATGTTAAGAGAACCGTGGATGAACTTATGCAGGATCATGTTGATTTTCTGGCGACGTGCTTAAAGGAGTGCATGTTGACCAATTCGAAGCTATTGCGGGTAAGTCTCCTCCCCTCTGCTCTTCTTCCCGTACAGCTAGGCAGGCAGAGAACATATACTAATCCAACCAGATCAACAACAAAATAATGTCCACCTGCACTATGTTCGCCGTCTTCACTACCTCACTCTCCCGATATCTCATCACCGCAGACCCGGACCTTTGCGCCCCCGCAAACACCTCCACCTCAGCATCTGCATCCACCGCCTCTAAACCTCTGCAAACCTCTCACCGCCACTCCAAATCCCAGTCGCAACAGTTCGTATACGATCCCCAGCGCGTAGACAAAATGTTCGATATTCTAAATAAGTATGAGGAGAACTTTGCCAGACATTTGAAGATTTTGCTAGATACGTTGAACTACCTTGCGGCGACGGAGACGGTGGTGTTTTTGAGTTTGTGTGCGAGGTTGAGCTCAGCGGGTGAGGGGGGAATTATTGTGGGCGGTGGGGTTGGAGAGGGGTTTGGTAGTTAGTGGTGTCTAGGTTTTCCACTTTGGAAGGGTGGTTGAGGGCGGAAGCAGGGAGAATGTTTCTTTCTGAACCCCTGTCGGAACGGACGGAGTAAGGATGTCTAGCGCTCTAGGAGTTTAGGTCAGGAGCTTTGATTGAAGGCGGCGTTTTCGGGGATACCATCATGCTTGAGGCGATGGAGTGATACCATGAAATGCTCAATCGAGATTCTTCACCCCCGACTGATCATGAAAATGCTTCGGGACTGGAGGCCGTGTATTATGAAACTCCGAACTTATGTGTAAGTTGTCCTACTGCTACGTACGTCGAGACTGTTCCTCTATTTCCGCGTGTAAGTCTCGTCAGAATTCAACCGTTCACGTAGAAGCAAGGTACTTTTATTTGTCCAAACATCACTCAACTTTTCATGCATTTTTGGGGGGCCAAGGATTCTCCTCGAACAAGGATGTATCAACTTCCGCTGAAGCACGAAGAAGTGGAACAAAGTTGAGGTGCTATCTTTTTATAGCCAGAGATGCTATATATCTTGGCCATATTTACTTTTATTACAGGACCCAAAGGAGGGTTGGGTGAGGATAAAGAAAAGCCCTGGGGTGCTGAATGGGTCTTTCATATATTTCTCCCATGGTCAAGAAATGTCTGTAAGGGATTATTTGCAGACTGTCAAGACTTTGAAGTGATCATCAACATCATGAATTCCTCGTCTTCGTTGGTGTTTTTCACAAACGCTCATCGCTCCGTCTCCGGTTCTCTCATCAGCATCGCCCCCTCTTATTTTCATCTGTCAGGTCCTTGCTGTCTCATGAATCTCCTTCACTCACTTTTCCCGCAATCTGAACCCTTGAACTTCTAGTACTTCAGTTCTCTCATGGCACAATTTCTGCCAACTATTATTTCTCAATCCTAGCGGGAGAAAGAACATGGAGTTCGATTTCGGTTTTAGAACCCAAGCAGTAAATCCGTGAACTTCTCTTCTCAGTCCCCTGGAAAGCTCATCAGAGTTCTATCCAAGTCTTCTACAGACAGAGAAGCCGCACGCGACTCCTGAGATTGTTTTTATTGGAAGGCGAAATGTGGAGTTTTGTAAAGAAAGGGAAGTCCAAATGTGCGAAAGCGGGAATTCATATACTTTGATAAGAGTGAGAGGATGACCAAGATAGTTGAGCGATATATATATATATATTTACGTCCCCTGAGATTTTTCCAACGCGCATATAGGATTTTGTCCAAAGGGCTGCTCATGGATCCTAGAGCCCATATCTTTTTGTGGCCGCGGGCCGTTAGTATAAATCCCCCTCGCGCAGCTCACTCTCAACAATCTCACTATCAGGGGTTCTCACGGGGCCTACTCCTGTTCGTACAAAGTGAACAGTACCGGTCACGTGTTCAGTACGAACGTACCTAGTCTGGGAGCCGCACCATGCGTTTTATGATGCTCTAGGTACGTTACGTAGTACAGATTGTATACCATTTTAGGAAGTTTATATAGTAATTTTGGGAGAGTAGGAGGGTACTAGTGAGTAGAGGTAGAGGTGGACTACCTTGCTCTGCTGCGATTAGTCTTTGGCTATAGACAGCGAACTATCGCAGGATAAGGCAGAGACGTAGTGTAGAGGGCTCCTAACTTCTGTAGTCTAGGTAAAGGACTGCGCAAAATAGACAATAAAGGTATCTAATTAACTAAATAAGGCCTGTAAGGTGTAAGGTGCGTGGATAGCTATAAGATACATCTAGTATTCTGCACTTGAATTATCTGTGGGTTAATTATTGATGCCCTTTAAGTTGTAATACCAGAGTGGTGCAGAGCCCTGTTTTTACAAAGCTCTAAAGCACTGCAAAGGTAACAAGCAGTGGGCTTTTAGACCCCTCTGCTTATATTACTAGAGAGAAATTGTTGTCTAATATCTATATAGGCTTTAATTATGCCTCTCTAGAGATCTATTATCCTAGCTGTTTTAACTAGAGTACAGCGTACTTTAATTAAACTGGAGTACTCGTAGAGATCACGTGAACTTTAACAGGTACAATACGTACACCTACCTCTTATCTTCCGTGCCGTACAAATGTAGGCAAAATCTCAGGCATAAAAATCGCCCAATCGTACAGTACCACGCCTCGTTGGAAGCGCTGCTCACTACATATTCCCAAACTCAGTCACTGAACCCTTTCCCCGAGATTTGTTATGTGGTTCTCCGCCCGGGGAATTCGAGAACTGAAGTCGAATCATGTTATGTATGAATGCCTGAATTCTCGAATTGGCAAGCGAGCTAAAGAAGACAACTATAATTTACAACTCTAATGCTCATTACCTCCGCGACTGCCATGCCCTACTAGGGTGTGTACCTTGCTCCCTTACCTGAGGAACACATTTCACTCCCTGTCTTTTCTTCCGAGTAGCTATAGCTATATAAACCTCCAAACTCCCATTACTTCAGCATACCGCGATAAAGGGCACCTAAATAGTTCATCCCGCCCGTAATGCTCAACCTTAACTGAAAAACTGATTTCCAACCAAAAGTCCAGATGCTTTAGAAATCGGAACGAAAACCATGATAATGCCCTAATATTGTCTTGACGGCGATGCCGACATGTTCTGGCACTCATACTCGGCGAACAACAACCAAAACGCATCAAGACATGTCAAATGCCTTCCACCCCAGACCTCGACGCCAAAAAACCCCCCAGCTCAGATTGGTGTCCCCGTGCCTACTACCTACTGCCTGGAACTACGCCTTTAGGGCAGAATTATGTAGGAATCTACTAGCTCTAGCTTCCGTACACTCTCCATGGACACGCCGAGTGACCCATCTCTACAAGAATCAAAGAATCAGCCCCGTTACGGTTTAGTGCTCTCCCTGCGTACCGGTAATGTAGTTTATACATCTGAAAAAAGTTCACCTGGTTCTTTCACATGGTTCTGCGCTCGGTTTGTGGCCTGCAGTGAGCGGGCGGCTTTCGACATCCACCCACACCCTCAGTCTATCTGCCATGGTTAGTAATAATCACTGCTCTTAGATGCTCGACAGGATGTCTCGCACTTAGGTCTCGCAAATCTGTTAGGATTCAATGCTCCCCACAAAGCTGTCGGTCTATCACGTCGTATCCTCTTTTCTGCAACCACCTAAACAACTGAAGTAACCAGTGATATTCGCATTTCACACGATACACAGCTACTGTCTAGCTCTAACCTAATCCATACGCTCAATCGCGGGATCTCGTACACGAACAATACGCGCCGCCATGCCTTGCATATCGCCCAAAAATCCAGCCCAGCCCAATCCAATTCCAAAAAGGCCTATCCATATATCCAAATCCCAAATCCAAATCCAAAAACTAGCGTTCAAACTCCCTAAATGCACCTCTCCAACCTGATCATCATCATGCATCAAACCTCCCTCTCCCCCTACTCAACTCGTCACCAAACAGGCGTCCCGCATCAACACAATACCTCGCATCCCCTGACCCATCATGTCCAACCTCACTGCCCCAGCACACTAATAGCGCATCCAGAATCCCTCCTAACACACCTTCCATTGCTCCGAGAGCACCCCATCCAATTGCGGCGCTGATCAATCCCACAATATACGCATACAAACTGCCCTTGTAACTCACACCAGCATTGGTCAGCTGCAGCATTCGCGCTGTTGAAACCCAGCCGCCAAAGCCGAGTGCAATTGTGATCACCCAGCGAATAGCGTGGAGAAGGAGTTTGGCGAGTCGGTAGGAGACGAGAGAGGGTCGGCCTTGGGAAGGGGTGAAGGAGCGTGGACCAAGGGTGGTTGTTGGGGAGGCAGGCGAAATGAAGGGCATGTTTGACACACCTCTGGCTGCCGCGGAAAGAGGCAATCCGTGAACGGAGGCATATGTCAAGGTGAGAGGGTTTGTGAGGGCTGCGATTGGAGTTGGAATGAGCGAGTAGGTGCACATGCTGATCAAGCCTGAGATCCGGCGTGGGAGGATGATGAGCGGGAGACGGACCAGGAGGGCGATCAGGGTGGATAGGCAGACCGTGCCGGCCATGGTTGTCGTTGCATGGGTAAGGGATGCCCAGACAACGGTGCGAGGTGCCGGGGCAGGCACATTGTTGCGGTGGAAGTACCACTGGGAAACAGTCGCAGCGGTGGTTGCACGCTGTATCCCGGCAATGACACCCAGGGCCCAGAAATAGTCCAGAAAGAAGATCGCACCGAGCCACCAGGTACTGATGTCAATAGTCCAGCGAGATTTATTTTTCGAGAAATGACCACCGAGGAAAAGCCGTGTAAACATTAGCATCCAAAGCCATGACCAAAGGACCACAGCAGATAAGGTTGCAATCCCGACGAAAATCAACGGGGGTTGGGTTTTCAGAATATGTCCGGAGAATTCAAGCATTTCAGCTGCCTTCTGAAGGGAGTGTCGTCCTTTGACAACGGTGTAGACCCAAAATACGGCAAAAATGAAGGGTCCAATTGACAGCCACCGCATCACCTTGTCCTGAACGCTGTCGCCATGCCATGTCCCTTTGAAGCTCGAAATAAATGGGTAGAGGAAGAAGGAGAAGGATATGGTGGGAACGGCCACAAGTATGATCATGATCAGGGGCCGTGCAAACGATCGAAGCAGGGACAACCATATTAGCCCAACTAAGACGGAAACCAGGGAATACACCCCGATCAGATGGAATGAGGAGTGTAGAACTGTGTAAATGGTGTCGCCTAATGGATTCTTCTTATCCGGGGGGGATTCCTGGAGGAGAGATATTATGAATACGCCAAGTATGGCGCACTGCGCGATGAGAAAGAGCTCTGCCCAGAACAAGTTGTGTCTGGGAGGAGCTACGGGATCGGCGGCCACGACTTGTTGCACAGTTTCGCCGCCGGCACTCATCGGACGAGGATTTCTAAGTAACGTATCTTCGTCCGTTTCTTGTGGTATAGGTAACGTTGCTCTTAGCGGGCTTCGGGCTCTTTTTGCCTTGGGTAGACCACGGAATTGCTGGTAAGAGGGCGGCCGGTCATCCATATCTCCGAAAGCTTCTTCTCCGTCCAGTTCCTCTATACTGCCTCTGACAGTAGAAGCAAGCTCTACATCGACTAGTTTGCATTTGCCTTTGCTACTAGGAGCGCTTGCTTCGGAAAGCGGCACGCTTTGATCCCGGTCACTGTCTTGTGGCTTCTCGATTACTGTGGATCTCCCCCGCGGGTTGGGCTTATCCCCCTTCCACGAACTTTTGATGCCTCTTCCTAGTCCGTACCCTGGCGCGTCGTTTTCGATGCTACCACCATCTATTGTATGGTCTGATCGTCGCTCCATGTCTTCATCGACCTCCGAAGACTCTGAGAGGTTGCTTACGCCAAACTGCCGACGCGATCGCTGCAGCGCGTAGGCGTCTGCCATCTCGCGGTCGTGCTCCTCATGGTCGTCTTCTTCCCGGAAGTCGTCGGTGGCAGAGTAGAAGAGCGGGGCGGGGGCGTTTGACGTGCGCGAAGCAAACGCAAACCGCGACATGCCCTGCGAGTGGTATGGGTTCGGCATAGTGCGGCGCTGGAGATATGAAGTGGTTGATCGCGTTCGTGACGACGGTCGGTGCCTGTCGGGAGGGTTGCGGTTGGAAGGAGCATCGGGGGGGCCTCCCAAAGACAGCCGCGACTGCGACTGGGATAGAAACTTGGAGGCATCTGAGGAGAATGGTGGTCAGTCACGAGGGTCTCTCGGGGGTCACCTAAGACACAGATATCATCTGGGGTCACATGTGCCCGATAAGGGCTCTGGAGGCTTACATTCGGAGAACATGAGGGGTGATTTGGGAGGTGAGCTGCTCGTGTGCCAGTGCAGCTCAATGCGGAGGTCTCAGGCGTGTATTTATCTGGGTGCAGCCTTGTGGTGGTAGAGTCAGTCAGGCCGTTTGGTCAGCGGTGAGGCGGCGCACCGGCCGACAGGTACCAGCAGAAGGCAGCGACGGCGACAACGAATGACGACAGAGGGCAGGGCATGCAGCTGAGGGCTAGTGGGAAAGGCGAGGCAGGCTGAGAGCGAGTGGAGACGGGCGTCAAGGGGAGGAGCTCGATATGAATAAGTCGAAGGTGGGCACGTTTGTTCTTAGGAGAGAGGTCGCTGGGGTGCAAGAGGCTGGTGATCTCTATCGTCACGTTGGAGGCCGAGCTCGCTCGAGTGAGGCGCTACCCGAAAGCTTGCAGCAGAGCCCAAAGCTCGGATCAGACCGCGGCTTCCCTCTTGTGCGTCACCGTTTCAACCCGCGACTTCAACTTCAATCTTCACTGTCAGTCTCTTTCACTCTTTGACCCAGTTCTCTCTCGCCGTTCAGCTTCATGCCGAGCTGCATCCATGGGCATGTCAAGGTCATCGCGAAGTTCTACTCACTTGACGCGTCCTTCGCTAGCTCTCACCTACATTCGGCTTGCAGCGCTTGACCTATTATGTCGCATAAATCAGAGACGTAGTCTGAAGACATATCCCAGCTCACGAGTAGGTCCCGTGCTGGGCCTTCAGTCTTTTTCCAGAAGTCACGGTATGTCCCCGGCAGCTCCTGCCCTGTAACGCCTTTCACAGTGATGCCTGATGTTCCCATGCGTGTCCTGTCTCAAGACACTGTCCCGATAGCATCCAAACCTGCCTTAGTCTCTACTATATTAACATACCACGGCCAAAGGCAAAAATGAGGGCACATCTCCCCCCTCAGAAAGTCAATACCAGCTGCCCAGTCCGGCATTTTGGGGGTATCTGCTCCTCTACATCGTCCCCTGAGACCTACGCTAGCTTCTGCTTCCCCTCATTAGTCTTGCTCGTTAAGAAGTCTACCACCAGTCCGCCCAAGTTCCGAAGTCCCCCGTGCAACTGCTGGGACAGGCGTGAATATTAAGAGGATGGCGTACTCGTCCCCACAAAGGCATCGTGTCTCGCGAGCCTTGTGGGAGAAAGGAAGCTGGCCGGTTGTTCCATGAAACGATTGCCCGTGGTATGAAATAGGTGGCTTGTCTTAACTAAGCCGATCTTCTTAGCTATTTCCTCGTCCTTGTTATCGCACATCCAGACCTCAGCACGTAGGAAGGCCGTTCGGCCGACAGAGAAGTCGACGTTGTTCTTCCGGCTGCTCTTGTTATCGATAGTAGTAGGTACCAGCGTGATCCCTGACTTGCATGTTCCGAGAACACCCGGCACTTCGTAGCGCGTGATGTAGTAGTATTGTTGGAGAAGGGGCTGGATTGGCGCCGCCATGGTGGAGAATTACTCTCATATACTCTAGGAATGGTTGTTGGCTGGGTGTGGTGACGTGGTTCAGAGAGAGTTCGCAAAGGCGGCGCGAATTAGAACGGTATGGTGTTACAGTAATTTCTAGTGATGGTGAAAGCAGTCATTGTCGTGGTGCTACTGTTCTGCCAGACCTGGCTGTCACGACTGTGATGCAGCGGTGAAATCCTTAGGACGAGCATGATTTTAAACGGCTACAACCACCTGTTTAGAGCCTATTATTTCGCTCATTAAATATACAGCTTTCTTTCATGAGCTCCGTCCACAAAGATGCTGCATCATGGATTGCCTCTTTAGGAAACCTGCTGATTAAGGCAACGCCTGGGCAAGCTATGACCTCAGTCCGAGGCTCGGCATCAGCCACACTTTATCCTTTGCTGTCCCTCGCCCTCAAGGCCACCGTTAACCCTCCACTCTCTCCCACGTCCCAGTAACCTGCACTTGGGGACTCTCAGCAACCCGGACCTAATCCAGTCGTCCAAACCTACGGTCCTCTCCTTATCTAACCCCCCACCAGCTATCATAAGCAACACTCGCAAGCTAACGCCGCAACGCCGAAACCTCATCCCGTCCTTTCATACACTCGCCTTTCGGGGACTGCCCCCAAATGACTCAACCATGGGACTACATAGCGAAAATCGTCTCGTTAGGTGACTCTGGGTGCGGAAAATCCAGCGTACACCCCCCAACCCCCGTCCCTAATGCCTCAAACTTCTAACATCCTGCAGCTCACAGTCCGCCTCTGTGAAGGCCGCTTCTCCCCACACCATGACGTAACCATCGGTGTTGAATTCGGCTCCCGCATCGTCCCTGTCGGTCCTCCCGCCTCCCTCAACCTCCACATCAACAACCCCTCCAAAGCATCCTCGTCACCACCCGCCACATCGCCCAAACAGCAACAGCAACAGCAACAGCACATGAAGCTGTCATTATGGGATACCGCTGGGCAAGAAACCTATAAGAGTATTACGCGGAGTTATTTCCGCGGTGCATCGGGCGCATTGCTGGTCTTTGATATCACGAGGAAAAACACGTTCCTGAGCGCAACGAGCTGGTTGAACGATCTACGACAGATAGCGGAAGAGGGAATTATCGTGGTGTTGGTGGGAAACAAGAGCGATCTAGCACCCTCGTCGACCGTGTCCGACCAGAGCGAGGACAACAAACGACAAGTCACAAAAGAGGAGGCCGAAGAGTGGTGTCACGCAAACGGGGTCATGCAGTATGTAGAGACGTCCGCAAAATCTGGAGACGGCGTTGAGCGCGCGTTTTTGGAGGTCGCAGAGCGGATATATCAGAACATCGAAGCTGGGAAATATGACTTGAATGACAGGAGATCTGGTGTCAAGGGTCCTGGGGCGGGAGGAGGTAATACAGCAAGGGTGAACTTGGGTATGAATGAAGCGGCGAGGAAGGGGAAGGGTCAGCCTGGGTGGGGTGGGGGATGCTGTTGAGCAGCATGTTCCCTGTTTCTGTCTTAGCCCTTCTGCTACCAGTTAATAGGAGAGAAGACTTATAATTCTAGGGGAGTGCAGGCTTTGAGAGGCTAGACATACAAGCGAGTTAGTGGGATTGCATCCGTTAATATTCTTTTTGAGTTTCTCGCAAACTTGCATTTCTCGGCGCTTGGAATGCCTGAGGTTGGGTTTGACTGGCTAAGTACTTTAATGGGCATATATCTTTACTATTCGTAGGTATTCCTTTCACCTGCATTCTCGAAGTAACCATGGAGCAAACAACCCGATTTTCTAGGACCCAGCGATCAAAACGCGAGCAATATCGTGAAGTTCGCGCGACCCCAGATACCGCGCTCAGAGAATTAAGGGGTTTGGGTTGTATTTAATTATAGTATCTAGTGTGAGAGCACTGTGAAGCAGGAAGCATGAAGCGCAGAAGGGGGTACAGGATAGTATTGATAGACGAATCCTTGAGGAGACTTAGGGGTTCGTGAGAGGATATATATATATATATGTGCTGGGGCACGTGACGGGACGTCATGTGCCCAAGGCCGGGCCGAGGGCTCTCCGGGGAGAGTCCGAGGCATGCCCAGTTAACCGTGACATGTAGTTTATCTTTAAATAAATCTATGCACTTTTAGTATTTAGGTAGTATTTAAACCTTATGTAAGGCCGAGATGGCGCTTACAAGCGACAGGTATATATACTACTCTGCACTTAAAAATTAACGTTAGTTAATTATTTATACCTTTTAGTTATATTAGCATAGTAGTATAAAGCTCTGTCCTTACATAATAATTAACTAATAATAAGAACAATTAGTGTTTAACCTACACCTTAGTTAGCTTTAAGCTAGTTTTTAAACTAAAACATAAGGCAGCCTCTTCTGCTATTTAAAAGAAAAATTCTTATATATATAGCTTAAGTATAGTTTTAATAATTACCTACTTTTTATTATTACTTAGCTTTTATAAGTTAGCTGTAGAATTAGCTTATAAAGGTTATCTAGTGCTATAGTTATTTATTATTTTTTAAAAAAATTTATATATAGCTATAGTATATTTCTTTAAAAGTTTTATATTTTATTTAAAAGGTTAGAGTGTAAGCTATATCTAACATTTTTTTAGCATGTCTAAGTAGTGTTGTTAGAAATGCATTAGTATAAAAAAGATAGTTTAGTAAAGTCTTAGCAAAAGTAAGCAACTTAGGTATGTAAGCAACTTGCTTGTAAAGTACGTTATAGTAATTATAGCACACACGTAACCTATGCTGCCTAGGGATATAAGCATTGCGCTGCCTAGGGCAACAAGCACTAGAATTACTAAGCACAAATATAGAGTAAACACGCAGTGTTGCTCTACTAAGCTAAGGTAACGCTCTACGCAGGTAAGCTGCTGCGCAGCTCACCTAGGGGGTGTGTCGCGTATACTAAGAGCCTTAGCTAGGGATTAGAGCCTAGGACGCGGCTTAGGATCTAGAGATATTATGTTCGAAAGCTTAGTGTATATAAGAAGAGCCTCTAGCTCTTTTAGATAGCAAGAGTTACTTTATCTAATCTTTTAAACAGCTACTGCTAGGCTATTTTATCCTCTACATTATGTAAACCTAGTCACATTCCTTGCAACAAAAAAGCTATTGCCTATGCATATGCAATAGGTAATAGAACTAGCATAGTTTAACTTTACTATTAAGCATGTAGCTAGCATAAGTAATTAATAGGTAAATGCTCTTAGTTAATAAGCTAACTACCTTAAAAAAGAAGATAAAGATAGTAAAAAGTTTACTATTTTTTAAAAAACTCTAAAGAGACTAGTCTATAATAGACTTAAACTTTATAAAATATTTACATTTTTAACTTTTACAAAAAAAAAAAAAAAACTTAGTCTAGGAATACTATAAGTCTCTAATGTTTAAACACCTAGAGATAGGTATCTTTTAGAAGAAGCTAAAGGACACAGTTCTCTAAACTATGCCTAAGATTAAGCAACTATACACAGAAGTGTTGCGTAAATGTAACACTTATAATAGAAATAACCTAAGAAGGCATAAACTCTATAGGTTACTATAGCTTATTAAGGCTCTACAGCAACTATAGATAATAATTATAATAGACGTTATTACTAGCCTTCTCTTTTCTAAAAAACTAGAATTAGAAAGATTATGTAATATAATTATAGTAGTAGTAGACAAGACTACTAAATTTATACACATATAGGTGTTAGAAAAGTCTATTACTGCCTTAAAATTTATCTATAAGCTTAAATAAAAGGTTATTAGCATTTATAGCTGCCCTACTATAATTATCTTTAACTAAAATCAGTTGTTTATAAGCTAGTTCTAGTAAGCTACTATACAGCACTTAAAAATTAAGCATAAGCTATCTACAGCCTATTATCTATAAATAGACAGTTAGACTAAATAGATAAACGCAGAAGTAGAAAAGTATTTAAGAAAATACATATTAATGTAACAAATAGACTAGGTAGAATAGATTTAAATAGCATAGCTAGCTATTAACATGTTAGAATCGTCTATAATAAAGGAAATACGTTATAAAGTAAACTTTAGTTACAAACTATACTTTAGACTCTCTAGCACACAGCCCTATAACTCTAAAATAGCAACAAGGAGAGCAAGTTAGCTTATAGACCTATATTAGTAGTTAGTAAAGAAGGCCTAGAAGACTTATAAATAAATAGTAAAGCAGTTAAACTAAATAAAAACTACGACTCTAAAAATACAACTAAGAGACTATATATATCTTAATATAAAAACCCTAAAAATACATAGACCTTTAAGAAAACTTGCTAAATGTTAAATAGGCTCTAACAGCTAGCTGCTTATAGTATAAGCACTTAAGTAGCAAAAGTAAGAGTAGTGTATAGTGTGCACAGCGTACAAGGTAGG